ACTGACGAAATAATCATCCACACGGTGAACAGTAATTATGTTTGCATTGTGCGTGCACTTAGTTGTCATCATTTCACCGGTCTGCAATTTTCCCCGTTCAACATATTCCGGTTTAGATGTGTAGATATTCATCATCCCAGCTGAATAATCAGATCAGAGGCAAAGGTCTATCCGACAGTCCAACTGTTAATCAGCAGGCAGGCACTCACGGCTGAGAGCAGAGATGTGGTGTATTAGGGGCCTCAAATTTAGCAGAAATCAACAGCTTTTATCTCATCAATTATACAAAAAAACAAAACTAAATGACACAACCAACTCCTCTTGTGGTGTATTATTTTGATACAACACAAATTATTTCAGGTCCTATAGAAAACTGCATAATAACAAGTATGTATTCACTCATACTGGAGTTTAAAACTAGGAAAACAGGTTGAACAACTAATTGAGATTTCAGAAAAAAAAATCCCTGTTTGAAAATTTGGAGAAAAGACCACCAAGACGAAGAGTAGCAAACCAACAGCCGTCTACTAAGTTATGTTGATCCAACCCACCGCACCCTTCTCTCAAAGTGGGCTTTGTTGCTCCAAATAACCTTCCCATAGTCCGTCCTCTGCTTCCGTCGTGCTAAAAACGGCCACCAGAGGAATTTGTGACTTGAAACAGGCTTCTGAAAAAGTGCCTTAAACATACATTCTTTCGTGGTTGCATAAAATTCCATTCTTCTGCATTTTTCTGTAATCGGCTTCTGGCAAAAACAAAAGACAGTCGGCCGAAATGCAATAATTGTTGCTCACAAATAGTTGACAAATAAATGGTTGACGTCACAGTGACAATGTTAACTTTTCATAAACAATCTGTGCTATTTCGTATTGGAGCTGCCGGCCTTTTCTAGATGACCGAATAGCTCCTTTTAAACAAGATCATACGCAGCAACATTGTGGTGCATCTATTGAGGGGCAATGACAGGCGGTGGAGATCAACTCCAAGACCCTGCTGTGCCAGCATCTATCCCACATAATTACACTTGGCCACAAATAGAAGGCAGTTTTCTCTCCTTCCCTCCTTCCTGTGTCGCTCAGCAGCGCTTTGCAGGGATGCGCAGAGCACATCGGGGGCAGGGCAGAGGTATTTAGATGTGAGAAAAGGCAATTTGTCAGAAACCTAAGGGAGTACTGGAGTGATGACAAGAGAATTAGAGTAGAAGGCCCAAATGTTGAATGGCTAATTCTGTCAGAGTGGAAGAGAAACGAGGAAGGAAGCCTGAGTACTCAGCTTGTGTATGTTGGAATCCATCATTTTCTCATATGTGCGAGAAGAAAATAATTGAAATTCTGGGGCTCGGATGCACCACACAAACATCTGAGTAGATGCGATGTGACGTCGGCTGTTGTGTAACAAAGCCCAGTGAGTCATGAGAGGGAGGAATGCGCTGTTGTGATGGTTGGAGGAGGAGGAGGAGGAGGAGGAGGAGGAGGCGGCCTGCCTGGGGAGAGACTGGCGGAAAGAGTCAGATCCGTTGGCAAAGTCATCTGAGAGAGAGAAATAGGCCGGACATTTGGTTTCAGGCCTTTGCCTCAGCGGCCAGCGGTGGTCTGGATCCCCTGCCACAGCCGAGGCGTAAGTACAGCCCCAGCCTCGACCCCGACGTGGGACCGGACTGAAAGAGCATATGTGCACACAACAACATACGCACACACATGTGCAGACGCGCACACAACACGGAATGGGTGGGAAATGACGCAGTGGGAGAGAAGGAGGTTGTCAGGGGCCGCGGGCTGATTCAAGCCATCCGTCCTCCTCGGACACAAACACATATTGAAAAAGTGCATGTTGCTTTGCTTTGAAATTGTACTGGAATCCCACAACATGTGCCAGGAGCGGATGTGCATGTTAGGTGACTGTGTTGTCATTGACTCCCTTCTTGCGCCGGGAGCCATGTGTTTTCAAAGGTGCGTAGGCAGTTCTGGTCTAGTACATGCAAATAAAACGCGCACACTCACGCCTTCGCTCGCTGTCGTACTTGCCCAGATTCGCGCTGTTACTCCGTGGCAGCGTTATCGTCTCACGATAGCGAACAGCCAGCACCTGATTTAATAAGCCGCCTGTGGGAGTCACAGAGGTGGGGAAGCACTATCAGCTGATAACCGTCCTCCCGGCGAGCCCGGCCTCTCCTCTGATAGCCCTGCCAAGAGAAGACTCGGCTTCTCCTCGTTTGTCTGTGTGAAGGCTTTCCTGAGTGTGGGAGCGATCCGGAGCCAGCTGCCGCCCACGCGTCTGTGGGCTGCCTGCGTGCAACCGTTGCTGCATCTCCCTGGGTGTCAGACACACAGGGAGAGGAGAGCCACACATGCCAAAAGCAGGCCCGAGCCCAGCACCGAGGAGCATATGGTTAGAGTCCTTTAGCCCACTGACCGCCCACTAATCGCGTACCCCACGCGACACGGCTGCCCATCCTGCCGGGCCGCAGGCAGGATCAAGCCGCGGGCCGGACTGACTGCTGATTTCCCCATCTATCGCACTTCACACAGGACATGCGGCAGCAAGAGGACGGTTGGGCTAGTGGATGGGTGCACAGTGCGCTTGGTGGAAACAGCAGACCTATAATTAAAGCCAGTCATGTCATGCTAATTTATTTTTTCAGTTTTACACTACTTTAATCAGGAATCAGGAATCACGAAACATTTATTACCAAAATATGCCAAACATACAAGGAATTTGTCTTGGCGGTTAGTGCGCGACAGTAGACACAGCAGTGCAGAAGTAATAATATAAAGTAAAATGAAATGCTAATGCAATGGGTTAGTAGAATAAGGCTATGGGTTAGTATAAAACAAGGGAATAAAGTTAAACATTTTAAATATTAAAAAAGTAAAAAAAAAATATTAAGCATAAAGTGCACTAACGAACAAGTAACAGACAAGTAACAAAGTGACGAGTGACGACAAAGTCATGAATTGCAGTTAAAGTGACATGTGCAGTGTGAGGGGGAGTGACCGGTGGAATGTCAGAGTCAGTCAGTGGGGGACCGGGCTCTGTTGATGAGCCCGACTGCCGACGGGAAGAAACTGTTCGTGTGGCGGGAGGTCTTAGTCCTGATGGACCTCAGCCTCTTGCCAGATGGAAGGGGCACAAACAGGTTTTGTCCGGGGTGGGAGGGGTCGGCTACAATCTTTTGAGCTCGCTTCAGAGACCTGGAAGCGAACAAGTCCTGCAGGGACGGCAGATTGCAGCCGATCACCCTCTCTGCAGAGCGGATGACACGCTGCAGCCTGCCCTTGTCCTTGGCTGTGGCTGCAGCGTACCAGATGGTGATGGAGGAGCAGAGGATGGACTCGATGATGGCCGTGTAGAAGTGGATCATCATCGTCTTTGACAGGTTGAATTTCTTCAGCTGCCTCAGGAAGAACAACCTCTGCTGAGCCTTCTTGGTGATGGAGCTGATGTTCAGCTCCCACTTGAGGTCCTGGGTGATGATGGAGCCCAGGAAACGGAAGGAATCCACAATAGTGACGGGGGAGTCACACAGGGTGATGGGGGAGGGTGGGGCACTGTTCCGCCGGAAATTCACAACCATGTTGAAAACATTGTCACGCTGTCCGTCTGATTCCGTCTGATCTGCGTTCAGCCGCTGTGTGAAATGTTCTGTATTGGTGGCTGTTTCTTTAAAGTCTCTTACCCAAAAAAAAGCCCAGTTTTCCCTGATAGACTTGAGTGAGAAATACGATGCCACTTCGCAGAGTTAGTTTGCAAGTCTTTGGGTGAAAATAATATATAAGTAATGTAGTGAGACTGCATGTATAGTAGAAAGAGGAGACACATGTGAATGTTGAATCACATGTTTCCTAGTCAAGACAGCTGACAAACAACTGACTGGGTTGTGTTGAATGTATAAATACACAATTTAGCTCAAAACAAATGAAAAAAACATAGGTTTGGATTCAGAGAAGCTAAACCTCAATGATAGTTCAACTTCACTGTTATTAACTTTATCAGTGTTGAATTTAGCATTTTTTTTGCAACACGGCCATTTGAAATAAAGAACTTCAAGAATTCCGTCTTTTTCCCCATAGCGATGACGTCATTTTGTCTTGACAAAAAAGCAGTAACACACATGACACACTCCTAGCTATGGATGTATTGTACATTTTCCCAGACAACCTTTAACTTTTTTTTATGCCACCATCTCTCTCTGAAAGATTACATGTCTACATCCCCATTTCCTGAGAAGAAGCTTTTATTTTTTACGTTTCTCTGTGTTTCTAAGGTATTATTATATGTCAGTGATTGCTTTTTTTTTTATCGGTGATGTGTGTGTGCGGGTGTGTGTGTGTGTGCGGAGGTGTTTCGCAAGAGGGGCTCACATTATATAGGCGCACGGTGACCCGCAGCTGACACTGATGATTGATCCTGGTGCTGTGATAAGTGCCTGTGCACCGGTGAGCACAGTGGTCCACTGAAACCAAGCCAAGCGGAAAATTAGAAATCTCTTCATCCCTGGTCCATTTGAAACGTGATACCTCCCGTCTTCCCCTCGCACAGGCACCTTTCCTTAGCCAATAAATCAGTAATTAAATGATGTGTTTGTGTGTGTGTGTTCCCACATGGCGACTAGTGCCTTGTCCTTGGGGGATCGGCCTGAGCTGGGGTGATGGAAGTATTAAGTCTCAAGCAGAAGTGCCCGTTTACATCTCCTATGGTCTGCATCAGAGAAAAGAGAAACACACACACACATCATATTGTCCCAGATAAATGCACACGCACGCTGTTAGACACACGCGCTTGAACTGTACAATGTGTGTTGGATGTCAGCTGGAGGTGCAATGGTGCCTCTGGTAGCTAATAAATCAAAGTCCGGCCTCCTGTGAGTGCAGCGCCTGACCTTTTGGAAGCCATCAGTTTGGTTCTACTCCTACAATCACACAGGGACACAAATGCCCCCCTGTGTTAACATTTCCCGTCCTTTTTTTAACTTGTCACATCTGTTTCTCTATGTTGTCCAGGTACATCGGCCCAGGGCAGCCCCCTTCTGGCCTCCCTCCCCATCCCGGGACGGCCTCTGCAGCCTCAGCTCGACCTCAAACACCTCCTGCCCTTCAGACTCAATGGATCCTCTCCCCTCAACCTCTTCCCTAACTTCAATGCGGTGAGTGCAGTGGCTGATTGCAACCTGACATCCTAAAAGAAGAAGAATGTGGTTTTTCTCTGTGCCAGGAAGCAGCTTAACTTCATAGGATATATAAATAACCGGGTCCCATAAACTCTCCCGCTGTCCCTTCAGGGGCTTCGCCCTCAGTTTTGGATGCTCATCTTTATTCTGACCAATCCAGTTGTCACCTCAGAATGAGCTTCTCAACAGATGATACCGTTATTATTGGCTCCGTGCCTCAGTGCTCAGCGTGCCTCGGCCCAGGTCTTTGATCCTTCACTTACCAGCGCTATAACCATTGTCGTTTTGTGTGTGTGTGTGTGTGTGTAGGCACTTCTGATTTCTTTGATCCCAGTCTTAAGCGCGTGTGCTTGTGCGTGAGGGTGTGTGTTTGTGTGGTTTGCTTTATTCATGGTACACTATGGAACCACCTCCAGTTCCGTCAATGGAAAGTAAGCCACAGCTTTTGCTCCAGCTTTACACCTTTTTCCGACAAAGCAGAAAAAGGTTTGCGAGAGAGAGCGAGGTAAGGCCACATAGACAACTGAGTCTCCAAACTGCTTAATGAGAAGTGCAGCTTGTTCATGTGGTCTGCCGCGCTGCACCGCGTAATGGAGGAGTGAGACATCAATTCCTCTAACCCCCCTCGTGTGTTTATATTAGTGGTGGAGGCAGTAGAGCAGCCCTCTGGTCAGTGTTTAGTCTGTGTGCTGCTTATGTTTCAGTTAGGAAATAGACATTTTTATTCTCAAACCATTGTCTTCTATGTGATTTGTTTTGTTTTGTTTTTGGCCTCATTTTATTAAAAAAATGCATATTCCAAAACTATTTTTGGAGAATATTAATTAAATCAGAAAATCATACTAACAGACTCGCAGTGATATTCAATCTTTCCGCCACGGTGAGAAAAAATACAACTCGCAGTCGGACCTCAACCATAAATTATGATAACTGTGGAAATGACATCAAGTGATTGTCGCTTCAGTCCCGGGAGCCGACGATTAGCCTCCACAACGCACAGTCTGACATTAATGGCATTAATCACAAAGTCCACTCAACGGGGGCCCTCAGCCCCGTCGGGGCACATGTCGCCCCTCACGCATGCAGGAGGGGAACGATGAATGCACCTCTCTCCAAAACGAAATATCACCCCCCGTTCCCCTGGTGTCCCATCTCACATCCCCTCCTCCGTCTCCCCCTCTGTGTGTCTCTCTTTGTCTTCACCCATATGCCATTAAACCCCATCATGGTCTCTGCCGCCCGGAGCATGGATAAGTTCTGTCTTCACCAGGATGGTGGGGGGGGGCAGGACGGAGGGTTTGGACAAAAGACTCATTTATAGCAGTCGGTTCAGGATGGCTACAGACGGACAATGGGTACATTCTTGGGGAACTAAAACAACTAGCTGTGTGCAGCCTGCCCTGCTGAGGTGGACAGAGGGCAGCAGGAGCGGGAGAGCTGGGTTTCAACAGCCCGGCTGTGGCAGTTGATCCCAGTGGGGGCTTTACAAAGGTAAAGACAGCCCTTAGGGAAAGACGAACCTGCAGCCTGCAGGTTTCAGTGTCAGGTGTGTTCATGTTCCCGCTCACACCACGGCCTTCTCGAGGAATCGGTAAGCAATCAGACTCCATTCTTGCAGAAAAGCAGCAGTTGTGTCTTCTGAAGGGAGCTGATGTTGTTGTCGGGCGCGTGTATCAGAAAGGAGGCGGCGCGTCGTCCTCACCGCCGTCAATACGGCTGCACGCCGCTTGATCTCTCAGGGGCTGAGGCCGGCGCAGATCCATTAAGCGCTCTAACTCTGTGACCGGGCCCCCGTCCAGCCCGGGGAGGGATCCAAGATGATTCTTATATTTGATACCACGGCGAAGGGCGACACATCGAAATCAGCTGCGGCACTCAGACCCTTCTAATGAAGCGCCGGCTTTCACTTGACTGTTTATAGTGTTCCGTTCTGGGACTGTCTGCAGTCTATTCACAGACAGTTAAGATTGAATTAGTCTTCCCAAAACCCCTCTCCAATTACTGCACTGCCTCATAATGTATTAGGCACTCGCATAACTGGTATTACATGAACTCTAAACTACATTTAAATATGAGCTGGAGCGGCCAACAGACCAATGTAGCCGCGTTATCCTGCGAAGCCCGGTCCATGTACATTCTCACAGAACAGGAGCCGCTGCTTGACTATTAGTAAAATATTTGTGGAGTGTAACCCGCTTAGGAGTGTGACTCAAATTGACAGGAGTAAACTCAAACTCAACTGTAATGTTAAAGCTGCAAAGTTCACAGGCAGCCAGCAGATCTCTGAATATTCCATTCATTTAGAGAAAATGCTGCGGTGGGTATAACTCTCTTTTACATCATATTTACATTTTTATGTCAGAAACAACTATCGTATGTTATTAGTATGTTTCCATCACTATCGCTGATGCCAGTGCATTGTGACTAATCCAGCATGAGTCCCTTTGTGGTTGGGCCCTATTTTTGAGGTGTGGATGTCGAATAAAAAATGGTGGAGCTCTTTTAACACGTTCCAGGCTGTGAGAGCTCTGATAATCCCGCTGATTACTCGCCTGCAGCGCTCGAGTCATTCTGACGCACATCTTAAATATCATCAGAAGGCAGTGACCAGTGGCCTCCTGTCTTTACTGTGTCTGCAATTAAGAGCCGGCGTCAGCGGATTGGCTGAGATCAAAATCGAAATGTTGTTGTTTAACACAAAAGTATTCAGTTGAAAATTGAAATGACATTTAAACCAATAGTTCCTCGGACTGTCATTGGTGCTCACAGTCATACTTTCAGGTCACTAAAACCTGTGTTGGTAGACAATAAATGTGTGTTATTTTCAGGCAATCGGACTGAATATACTTACATTGATGCTTATTAGAGTCACATTATTTGTCAGCGCTGGGTACAACTCACCAGCAACATTAAATTAGCTGCCATTCAAGTATTATAAGTCTTTCTCTCAAGTCCCCCCTCAAGGTGCCTTAAACATGCACACAGCTTCAGCTATCACTGTTGCAAGATGATCACACAGTCGAAATATAACCTCTATTAAAGGGATTTATTTTATAAGCCGAGCATTGTAACCTTTGCAAGGATGAAGTTTATTGCAGGACTGATGGATTAGACTGCATTAGTTTTAGTTTGCCAACTGTCAATCCTCAATATATTTCTCAAGATTGTTGCCGAATGTTCACCACACAATAATACCTCATTATTTCCCCATTACATTCTTCTCTAGTTAAACGAAGTTAAGTGGGCACTTTGGTCATTAAGAAAAAACTATATTTGGCTATTTTGTCTAAGTGAACTATACGACCACTGTTGTTTGACCTATAACTTCCTTTTTTTGTCTTCGTATGACCCAAAATCAAAAAGAAAGATGGCCACCTCTGCACTAGAGGACATGCAATTATGGCCACACAGAAGAATGAATCTTGTCTGTCTGCCTCACCTCTAAATGGTGAGCTGCACAGACCTTGCTCATTTAGGAAAATAAAATTGCATGGAACTGATGTGGTTTGCACTGGTCTTTTCTGTCTGTCCCTCAGATGGACCCTGTCCAGAAGGCAGTGATCAACCACACATTCGGTGTTCCTCAGCCCCTGAAGAAGAAACAGATCATCTCCTGCAACATTTGCCACCTGCGCTTCAACTCAACGGTAAGAAATGTTTCAGTGCCAATTGTGTTTTGATGTTTATGAGAAATATAGTTTGCGGTACAATAAAAGAAGGAAAGAGACTAAATAACAGACAGTTTGATTTACAACATGAATGCAAAAAAAAAACATGTCTAGCCTCAGGGAAAATAATTGCTTTGTTTTGAGCTTCTGCTATCTTCTTCAATGAAAATGTGGCTGCCCTCATTTACTGAAGCCCTTATCATCCGCACTGACTCTGTTTGTCTGTGTGAGAATAAGCAAATATTTGTGTCTGTATGCAAAACATAACACTCCGTGGAGCCCTCTCTGTGAATTTATCTAAAAGTAAAAGATGGTAACGTACTTTTTTCTTGTTATGTGCACATAAAAGTTGAAAGTCTCCTTTCCATTGGGATCTCTATGTGTGTATGTGTGTGTGTGTGTGTGTGTGTGTGTGTGTGTGTGTGTGTGTGTGTGTGTGTGTGTGTGTTGCCTGTTGTTCTGTTATGACGGATTAGACAGCAGGGAGAACTGTCGTTTATCAGCGAGGAGCAGAGACAATCAGCAGCCGCAGCAGGAGGCGGCATTCTCCGCTCCTTGTTCCATTCCTCCCATCCCTGCCACTGCTCGCACAAGCACATACACGTACACACATACTGTAGGCTGTCAAACATGCGCATGCATTCATAACACATGAGACCCGCAGGCTAGCATCCCATGACACTTCATGCATATTCACACAAACAAATAGATAATAGTCCAGAAGGCCTTAAATCATCTCGTCTGGCACTGTAAAGTACACACACACACACACACACACACACAGGGACTCCATCTTCAAAGAGGGTCTGAGGTTCAGGGGACCAGGAGCTGAGGGAGGGGGGAGACTCCTCACCCACAGTAGAGAGAATCGCATTCGCTGCCACTGCACACCGACTTGAAGAGGAGTGTCAGGTCCGACTAGCTCTGTCTGTCACTGCGGGACCATGAATGCGCTCCTAACACCTCCATGTACCCCCCCGAGTTTTCTAACATATTACACACAAGTTATCCTGATGCTTAATTCTCAAAGGCAAAAAGAGGAAGCTTCCTCTCTTGCTCAGTGGAGCACAAACTGCCTTTAAAGAGCAACTTACTAGCAGTGGAAAAGTCTTGTTCTTGCTGATCTCCAGTGGTTCAACTGCTCACCTACCTGCAGTGATGTAAAGGTGTACTACAGGGATTGTGACATCACTGATGGGTGGCACAGGTAGCAAAAGGAGTCTAACGACGCTTTTGATGTACTGGCAAATACGTTTGCTCGTTTTTTCATAGAGCGATATCAAAGATCAATGCACTGTCACATCTGTATGTTAAATAAACCGTTACACTAATCTGGTTTCATAGTAGGTGTTCCGGACGATTTCTTGGTCAGAAAAAGTAACTGTACTATATTTCTAACGAAAGCCATTTAGCATACTGTACTTCCTGAAATGTAAAATATATCTTTTAACTTTACACCAGAGGAACGCCTGGGTAGCTAAGCCTGTCTGCTGCAAAGCTAAAATCCAATTTCCAGTTCCAAAAAGGAAATGGTTTGATAACTTGTTTGTTTTGGGGCATTTTACATTATACGTTGTTTTTTTTCAACTTTCATTAACAGTCGAGATAGTGGGACGGATTTTGTCCGTCAATGGCTACCGAAAAAGGCCTGAGGATGTTTGAAAGGCGTGAGTGTGTGTGTGCGTGTGAAGAGTTTTCAGTTTGTTTTTGACTTTTTTACCTGCATGCATTTTTCCTTTGATGTCTTTTCTTTTCATATTTCATATTCTTACATTGTGATAACATGATGGAACATAATTGCGCTTTGCGTATTTATAGCACAGTGCAGCAAAAACTAACAAAGAGACAACTGTGACAACAAACGTATCAAAGCCAATACATGATTACCAGCGTTCCTGCACCTTTTTACTGGCTCACGGGGAAACGTTCAATCAATTTGAAGTGAGAAAACCAACTGGCAGTTGCTGTTTTATGTTTTTGTTACATACTTTGCCACAAGCAAGTCATTACTGTAAGAGAGCACTATAGGGGGAGGGGGGGGGGGGGTCACGTCCCCCGCCCACTAACATAACACACACCTTGTCCATCCGCCAGGACTCAATCGGACGGAGGGACTCGTGTTGGCTGGATTTGTTGCATCGTGTTAATCTCCGGAGCCTTTTCATGGCACATCAGTCGCACAATGCTCTGTCACTATATCACACCGTCAGACTTGCTAACGGGAAGTTCACATGTTTAACTCCTGTCCCAAGCTGCTGGTGTTCATATTGTAGCTAACGCACACGGCATGTGTGCGTAACCTGGAGCACAACATGCACCAATCTTATTTATTGCTCATGGTATGTAATTTATTGTTGATCCTCAGGTAAGCAGAGAAATCCACATTTTGCTCTGAATGAAAAAGTATTGTAGATCTTTTCTGCATGTGATTATTCTTCAAATAGGAGCCGTTCACAATATAGTACAAACCCTTTACTGAACTGGGTTTGTACTTCAGGATTTGCATGACCTCTGGATGAGAGTTTGGAGGTGAAGCATTGCAGCAGTGGAAGAAAGACGTACCTAACAAACATCCTTCCAAAAAAAAGGTTATTTTACACCTAATGCTTCAACTTTAAATATTGAGGGAATGAATATATCCAAATTACTCAATAGTCTCAATGTTTTGTTATATTTTAGGACATTTACTTTTTTTCCCACTTTGGATTTAATTCAAAACCAACTCCTCATTTACCCGAGTGCTTGTATTTCTGCTTCTATGTCCTATCGAAGCCACGAGCAGATGAGAGCTGATCCCTGGAGGTTGTTGTAGCTTTTAATGAGTAATCGCTGCATTGATTATCTCTGCTGTTGCGATGTATCCACGCTTCTCTGTCAACAGGGGCTTTGTTCTTGGATTGAATAAGACCGTGAGAATGTGAAGCTAAATCTCGATCCACCCAGAGGGAAATTTGCAGGAACGTGTTTATTGCTGCATGGCAGTTCGTCTTTCGCGTCCGATTTGTACTTGTGTCCTCGCAGGTGCTCGGATGTGTGCACGTGACGCCACGTGTCTACCATGTGCAGACTCTCACAGTGCACGTTAATAGGGTAGTTTTTGGAGACAGGATCCTCACTCTTGTTGCAAATTACGCATGCAATTATACCTCTGGCCTCCCCATGTGCCAGCTCCGTTATCAGGTTGGAAACAGACTCGCGTCCTTGCAGCCTGTGTGTGCCTGCAAGAGAGTCAATTTCCAGTCGTGTATTTTCCGTTTATGGCTCGTGGGCTCCATTCCTTCCAGCGCACAAAAGGTTCAGTCGAAGCCTTTCTGCCTTTCACTTTCTAATCTTTTTTTCTCATTTTCCTGCAGAACCAAGCAGAGGCCCATTATAAGGGCCACAAGCACGCCCGGAAGCTCAAAGCCATGGAGACCCAGAAGAACAGACAGCGACGAGCCGGGGAGGCCCCGTCCACGGGAAGGGACAGAGACAGAGACAGAGACCGGGGACGCGATCGGGACAGTTGCAAGACGTCCGCACCCGAGGCCGCTCTTCCCGCGCTCATGGATACAAGCTTGGTGGAGGGCGCAAGTAAGTAATCGGAAGCATCCCTTGATGAAAACTTCATCCTCCCCTCCGAACATCGTTGACAGCTTTCATCCTACCTGCTCCTCCTCCTCCTCCTCCTGCTCCTCCTCCTCCTCCTCCACCTCCATATATTGACCCCCCATATCTCTGTCCCTCCGCTCCATCCACCACATCTTCTGCACACCTTATCCTTCACCCCTTTCGCCCTCGTATCCTCTGCGTTTCTGTGCACTCACACCCCGGCACTTGCAACCACACTATAACCCTAAAACCCCTTCTGACCCGGCCTCACGTCCCTGAGCCTCGTGATGGATGGTTGAATTCTAAGCTGGATTGTCTGCGAGCAAGGCGTGTTGTGTAAACAAAGGGGCTGGCTGAGATCTATTGAGGCCTCGCTGGGCGTGTTTTTTGCCTCCCTTTGCTCTCTCCTATCTGTCTCGGTTAGATAAAGAGGGTCGCTGTAGAACCAGAATTGGTGTATTTGTGCGAACATGAAGAAAACGTGAAACGGGAGCAGAGGAGTTTTCAGGGGCTGTCAAAATCAAAAAAAATCAATGGCACTTATCTTCTTTTACCGAGCTGTGCAAATGTTTTCACAGTGCCGGTGTAAATATAGACATTTAAACTTCTGATGAAGAAAGAGGAGTGCATCGGTTTCCTTCCTGCGGATAACAAATGTTGACTTTTCCACACGCCTTGTCTGCAACTTTAAGCACAAATTGCTCCGATGTCATTTCGACAGCAGGGTGAGCCCATTACCGACTCATGTTGCACTCGACGGGCTCCACCCTTTTTTCATTCATCCATCCGAGGTGAGGAGAGCAGTTTTCGCTCCCTCTCTTCTACTTTCCTTCCTCCTCCTCCCCTCCCAATAGACAGCCTCGTGAGATCGTGGATACATTCACACAAGCACACTTTCTTTGCCTTGAGCACTAAAAGTCTCCTTCAGAAAGGAGAAAGTGGACAAAAGACTGGAAGGAAGATAACATTCTCATCAAATCTCATTTTAATATTCCGCCGTTGAAAAGGAGAGCTCTGAAAGAGTGAAGCAGCACTGGAGACACGACGAGATGAGTGAAAAATGAAAGATAAGATGAAATGAGAGAGAGAGAGAGAGAGAGAGAGAGAGCTTGACGGTAAAGGAGGAATCAGAGGAAAGAGAAAGCAGATAAGTCATAGCCAGCTTATGTCCTGTGAATAATTTTACCGTTTCATGGCAAGTTTTTTTCGGGAGGAACACTCCTTAATAAGCCCAATTGTGTGATAGGCCTAATGTGAAATTGAAATGCAGCAGTGCGAGCCAGTGGTGGTGTGCACCACAATGCCAACCTGTAATGGAATAGTGCTTCCAATTAACCCTCTATGAAGAGAGTAATGTCTGCCATAAAACTAAAGGCTGGTGGAGCCGGCCGAGGGTTACTGCACACATTGTCTCCCTTCAGGAACCAATAACACGACTGCCGGCTGTTCGTCCGTGTTTGACTCACAATGAACAGACTCAGAGCCACCAGGAGAGGGTTATTAGCTCCATTAGAAGATGCATATTTGGACCTAGAAGGCATCTACCCTCCAAATGAAATATTATAGCCTGTATGTGGTTTACTTTTAAGCCGTCTGCGATTTCACACCCACATTCTGTCAGTAAAGGTACAGCTCACACATACAGGAAAGAGCAGAGAAAACGTCCGCAGTCGTTCAAAGGAACTAATCGGTGCTTATAAACCGCGTCCCGGACCAACAAAAGAGAGCGCGAGCGCGCAGCGAGAACAAGTGGAGCAGCAGGCTGATGCTCAGGCACACGGGGCCTGCATCACCGGCGACAGGCATCAATCACCCTCTGCTTTGATTGACTCCGCTGTTGAAATCGTCTTCACGGGGACTTGATCTGTCACCAAAGGAATAATGATTTAAGGCAAGGATTTGTATCCCGGGGGGAAGTTGTTTATGTTGAGGATGCCATCGAGTGCTCGCTACCTGAATGTGAGCGTGTGCATAATCAGCCCATGTTAATGTTCCTTTGCTGTTTGGCTTTGGTTAAAGTTCTCAACGGATCACTCGGACGAAATGGGACATTTGACCTCTTCAGATGTGTTTACACCCTAAAAGCCTGTTAATTAAACTGTTAAATCAATCATTTAATTATTTTTAATTTAAAGAAAACTGGCAAATTGGCAAATCAAAGCTTCTGTTAGAGAAGATGCGTGTTGGCAATGTCAGCGATAAAAATGATAGTCAATAGTGATGTTACATTTCTCCTTAACTTTAATTATAGTTTTGCTCAATTTCTTTTTGTTTTTCTTTTGTTGAACACAAATTACAAGTACAGGGAAGTGGAGAGATACAGTAGCAATTATTTTTGCAAAACTGTTAGAATTTGGGCTGAGATAAATATAACTATCAAATATAATAATAACCTCAACTGGGATAGCTGAAATTATTGTTTGCTGAACGAGATCCTTCAGGATCTGAGTTTGGGGTTTGTTTGATTCCTACCAGCCAGCACGTCTTCCTCTCTGAGGTTCCAGCGTCAAGTCATTTGATCAATATCACTTCCCTCCAGAGTCTTCTCAGGTGGCCCTGTCTTTTCACATAAGCTCAGGATCATACCTACCGGTACCCCCCCCCCCCCCCACCCGTCTCCCCTCCCCACACCTCCATCCCAAACAGGGGAGCATAAATCCCTCGGGGGGTCACTCTCATTACAGCGAGGGCACTGTCTAATCTGGCTCTTTGTCTTTTACGGGAATGAGAGCGGGAGCACAGTTATCTCCAATGATGAATTTACTCTGGGACGTAAAAAGTAAAAATCAATGGAGCGGATGTGTGCGGGGGAGAAGGCGCGCTAAATGAAATGGTTATATTCAGCCAGCGTAGTGCACAGTGCTCTGGGTTGAAGTGTGCGACTCCCTGCGGAGGGCACCGGGGTGAAGGGGAGATGTGTAATGGAACTCCGGTGACTTATCGGCCCGCACTCGGCAGTCGATAGTTTGTTTGCATTGACTCGGGTCCTCTTAATATTTGGATAGTGTGGGAGAAAAGAGTAAGGTAGAAGACTGGTGGCAATTTAATTCAATTAAAAGAGAGTTGTGCTGATATACACATGACAAGTATATTTTTCAGGCTCTTTGTTTGTCTTTTAGGCATTATGCCAAATTGGTATTAAAAAAGATTTTAAAAAGCGTATAATCAGTGTCAGGCAAGTTTCTGTGGCAAGTGTAGCATATTGAAATAATACAACTATAACACCAATTATTCAAAATATAACTCCTAACATGACATGTAACTTTTTCCCATACTTCAGAGTTTCACCTTATTGTTTAGCATACATTTACCACTCTAACTTTTCCCATAGCTACACCCAAGATGAGGTGTAGGTAAGCACACAGCTCTCAAAGTAACATATTTGCTTTACCACACGAACCATCCTTGAGAAAATGAAGAAGGTATTCTTCTCCCATCCGTGTCACGAACAATCAGCTCAAAAAGATGATTTGTCAATGGTGTGTCAACAGCTTGTTTACGCTGAACAAACAAATCAATTATTGCAGCTTTAAACGAACCACGACTTGCTGACGTTATCCTTTACTTGAACCTTTTGTGCAGGCCTTCAGTCCGACCAAGAAGCAGCCAACATGGAGGAAAAGGTCGAAGAGAGTCCCGGGAGCTCAGTCATGCCGACACTAGTGTCGGAGGTTTCCCCCGAGGAGTCGGTCACCCTTTCCCCTCCACAGGTATCGCCTTCCTCAAACCTTTTAGAGATGCCCTCAGACACCATCGCCCCCGAGGTCCCGGAAGCTATGGAGGCCGCGGGCCTCCTCACCGAGTCCGCCAGCAACGCAGACACATCCAGCGTGAAGGAGGAGCCCCAAACGGATGAGGACACGGACCCTAAAAAGAGCAAGGCTCACCTCCATTGTCCCGTCTGCAAAGTCACGATGAACTCCACCTCCCAACTGGAAGCACACAACAGTGGTAAAAAGGCTATTGCAAATGTTACTGACCGTTTGGTTGGCCAGACGTCAAATAAATGCATGTAAAGTGATTTAAAGTGAACCATAAATAAACCTGCCAGCTCTCTACTCCCGCCACCAGGTACGAAGCACAAGCTGATGCTTGAAGGTCACAGCGTTCTGCCTCGACGCAGGGGGAAGGTGGTGGCGGCTCGCGCGGGCTGCAAGAGCAAGCGGCTGGCCAGCAAAGGCAGCGTCGGGGTGCCCAGCAAGAACTTTCAGTGTGAAGTGTGCGAGATCTTTGTGAACTCTGAGACCCAGCTCAGCCAGGTAAGTGTCCACGAGAAACATTATGTTGGGTATGTTTGAGTCCACCTGTCAGTGTTTACGTTTTGTCAGAGGGGCGGAGAGTTCTTTTGCAAGAGTTGGTACAAAGTAATGGATGCGGAGTCATTCTAATATCAAACGTTAAGCACCGGCAACATACCAAAACCCTGGGGCGTAACTTTTTACAGTAACAAAAGAGATCTTGTACAGAAGTTGTACTGACTCAAAAGTTCAAAAGTGCATTGAAGCACTGTGGACTTTGTCGACTGGATAAAGCACTCTCGCCCAATCACATCCAGCAGTGGAGAAAATAAATGCATATAATTACCTCCCCTCCACAGACAGAAGCTTTCTGCTACCTGCAGATGTTTAGCAATTACATTACACATGAAGAGATATTAGTCTTAAACTTTGACCAGGCTGACCTATAGTGTGTCCCAGAACAAAAGCTATCACAAATACCGTATATTTACATGATAAATATGAATGCTGGCATTTTAACAACCTTACATAATATAAGAGTCAAACCACTTCAACGGATGGCTTGAAACAAAGCAGCACATTCATTTACAGCCACATGAATTTTGGCTGTGATTGCTGAGAACATTCAAGCAGCCGCTATTTTTCTACATTACATAGATAACATCTGCTGGTATAACTAACTGCAAAGCCGTTCAGTTTTATTCACACAAGTTTGCGGCCATGCCGCCCCTATTTAATTGTCTGGTCACGTTGGTTAATTTCTCCCCCTTTGATTACATCTTAATGAAGCGATTTTCTTTGCCTGTACGCTGCAGTGGAACGATGGATAGATACAGGTTATGCGTTCCGGCGATCTTATACATAAACGCCGTCTATCCCAGCAGGACGTTTAGCGTGCAGGTGCTGCAGCCGGAGACGGGGATTTTGTGATGTCACTTCTGTGTACAGTCATACTCATTGTGTAATAATGTACCCCCATTGTTAATCAGCAGATAACACATGAAGTTGTTCCACTGCGGCACAACAGATGCCCCCGTTAGCTCGCTGATAGTGTTTTTGCTGGTTTTCGGCAGCACATGAATAGCAGAAGGCACAAGGATAGGCTGGCCGGAAAACCGCCCAAACCCAAATTCACCCCCCACAGCAAAAGCCTGCCAAGCACCAGCTTAGCGGTAAGTCTCAGCATAAAGACACAGACAAACAAAGCACGGCCACGCACACATTCACGCGCATGCACAGAGCACACACACTTGAGGAAGAACACTAACACGTAATTGCCTTTCTCCTTTAGCAGATATACACAAACATGCTGTGCAGATGTGCCACGGTTGGAATAAAGTCAGTCCAGCAGTTAAATCGATGCATTTTTAAACCCCATCCCTAGTTTCAGTTAACTGGTTTAACCCCAGCTCAAGCAGACATGCGGTGAAGAAACACACGCCGACATGGATCTTGTTACATTGAGCTCACGGGCTCAGCATGCTTGTACACTGTTGTACTCGTTGAGTCCTTTACCCCTGAGACCAGTCTAGAATAGTCCTGCTCCTCCCGCCTGAACAGCTCTGGCATCAGCGGCCTGAATCAGCACTCCAGATGAATCACTTGTCTGCTCCTGTCATATACACACCTCCCCATCTCTCCTTTCTCCTCCTCCTCCATCATCCTACAGAACGTGAGATGGAGTAGCTATGCAGGCGTGGCCGTGTCCGCCATGAAGAAAGCCTTCAGCCAGTACAATCTCACCTCGCTTTCCTCACAGGTCAGTGGCAGAAGAGGCCGACCGCCGGGTTGGATCGGAGGGCGCCGTAACTTGGATTGTGCAGAGATGATGGAGACATCATGTTTATATTAATGGGATAGTTCTGTTTTATCTTTTTGTTTTTTGGCTACTGATTTTATTACCACTGATACTTACTTAATGGAACTAATCTTATCTAAAGCCTAAAACTCAGACAAACGGAGGAAGACTACTTTGTTGAATCTATTTTTGTTTTCAGTAGACGCATTTGTGTTCAGAAGTATTTTGAATTATCTCTAGCAAGGGCTACTGAGGCTTATTGATATTGTCGGTATATGTCTCCATTTAATTATTTTGGAAAATCCAATTTTATGTTAGTGATTATATGGAGGGTTGTGTTCAAATCAAAATGTGAGATGACTGTGGGAAAATACTCCCACTTCGCAACTTTATGGATGGACAGCTTAGATGGCATTCATTTCTGATGCTTCTTCCATGGTAGATAGGACTCAACAAGGTTTAAGGAGTCCAGTTACGTCTGGTATTTAGCGTTCCTCTGTTTAGGCCAGTTTGGTGAACACGTTTTCCCTCATTGTGTTTGTCACTTCTCACCCTTCCTCCTCTCCAGACTAAACTGGCTTTGCAGAAGCAGCTGACCAAGAGCTTGACAGCCGGCTTCCTGCCCGGCCCCCTCACACAGCCAACTCTGTGCACATTGGCTACTAACCCCCTGGCTCTGCGCCACCCAATGGGCCCCACCACCTTCATCCAGAGCCCCTTCCTGGGCCCTGCACTGTTTCGGCCGGCCCCGGGGCCGCTGCGGGCCACGCACACACCCATCATCTTCTCCCCCTACTAAAGACTTGACCCACTTCCTGTTTGAGCTCCACCCTCGTCCCTTTACCGAACCCCAGGCCCTCCTTTAGTGTGACCCAAATGACAAAGGCCACACGCAAACTATGCAGCCCGTCTGACTTACTAATGGAAAGAGTGCACAAGTCCTGATGCTCCGCAGGCCATGAGGCCCGAGAGCTGTTCCTATCATAAAGGCCAAGATCCCCCATCATGCCTTCTTTCTGCTCCTCTTATCGTGACCTAAGGAGCAGCACAGGCCTCCAGACAGTGACTGGTGCACACAGGCCGCTTTTATAGCCATTTCTTGGGTCGACATGGTTTGGGTTATTATATTATTGTGTAATTTATTAGAGAAAATGAATATAGACATGTCTAGATGTATGTTTAGTGTGGTTGCCACAAAATAAGGTCCCTTTACTTGATGCTCTTTTAAAATCTTTTTTTAACTTATTGAGTTAGTGGATTTCATGGAAAGGTGGGAGGGTCATAGGTCATTAAAGAAGCTGTACTAGAGGCCTCCTCATTGGGAGGACAATCCTCTCTCATAGATCAGTGTTTTCAATCAACAATCTCCAAGGACTATCTGAGGTTGATTACTGTCACGTTGTCATGTATATTATGGCTATAATCAAACAGTCCTGTGAGTGGTATGTACATCTGCCTATATTAAAACCCTGCTTCATCTCGCAACTTTATTTCTGAGTCGCAGCCATCGTCATAACCCTCCAGATTAATTTTTTCCCTCCCCATATCCGCAGGATTAAGCGCTCATTAAGGTTGAGAAAAGGTCAGCTGTCAACTTAACTTTGTTCCAATTTGCATATCTGACTTTTTTAGTGAATCGTTCACGCTATGCAGCTCGAACACTATGTTCTAGCCAAGCTAGTGTCACAAAAACATTCCCCCAGCTATTGATGTCTTATGTTACAAAGTGCCATCGTTTCATTCACTTGTGACTGCTCTTTTTTCTTTTCCACCTCGCTGTTGACCGTGATTTTCCTGTGGCGTGATCTCAGTCTGAGATGGTGATAATAATGATGAAGAGGAGGAGGAGGAGGAGGAGGAGGGGCCACACAAACACTAACGCGCACAGGAGGAGAACATGAGGGACAACTTGTAGACTTGATGGGATCTCAGTGCTCGCTGAAAAGTTTGATTGACAACCAGTGTCATCGCACAGCGTGGGAGGAAACAAAGCACAGTGCCATGGCAACCACATTAAAAGCACCTTAAAAATGATTTTACTTAGAAAAGGACGTTGTTTTTGATGATTTGCCTTTCTTTTGCCCTTGGTGCATGTTTTTACACATCAATTTAATTTTAAAGAAAAAATAAGGTGGGATCGAGTCACATTGTGTTTCATCCGTAACTACGAAAAGTCTCACGTTCAAAGCAATACATGCGGTGTGTTCATGTTTTTATGATGTGTTTTTCAGTTTGTCGATGGCTTTATCTACTCTATACCGGCCCCCCCTGTAACAATGTATTATGTGCTCCGACACACAGCCAGGGGCCCACTCTGAGTCATTTGGAACGAGGGGTCGTCCCTTGGGCTTGGGGATAAGTGTCACTTGCACAACCATGTCAACTGTCAAACTGTTTTTCATGCCCCCCTCCCAGGATATCTACTAACTCTCAGCCCAAAACGGACTGTTGGCAAGGTTTCATATGGACTCTGGGCTTAAACATCATCCTCTCATCAACACTCATCCCACATGGCGTACTCTTACATTACAGTAATGGAGGTGATCCTATGCATTTCTCATTGTGCAATATGTATAGTTGTCCTGTGATGCAGCAGTGCCATCTGTCGTGAAAACCTTGTAATTGCCATGCAGTGCTAGTGGTTCCCAAAACCCGTGGTCATACGGTACGTGTATTTCTGTTTAAGGACCCCTAAGTATTTCTGGGTAAGCGAGGCCATACTGATGTGATTCTCCCCCCGTCGCACTACTCAGCGAACCAGACAGCCTTTAATCTTCACTGTTTGTTTGTTTCTAATCGCTTCAGTGGGAACTCTAACCTTACGAACTGAAACTTCTGAAAAAAAAAGATCTAGATCAGGCAGATTATATGTAGAAATCATAGAGGAACTATAGAGATTTTATCAGAGTTACTATTGTTATCTGTATCATAATCGACTGCTATCATAGAGGAGAGTAGATGACGTTATCGGAGGCTCTGTACAGAATACAGGGAGAGGAAAAATGCTTTGCTTTCTTTAGCTCTTTGTTTATTTACATGGTTTTGACAATATGTTTTTTTTTATTTTAAGTACAACGCAAAATATTTAAAGCAAACGTTTTTTGAGTGAGCTTTTCTTTTCTGAATTAATAATGTAATTCAAGGCCTTTTTAAGACAATATCCTAAAGTCACATTAGCCAGGCCTTCTCAGGGGTGACGGGTTGAGCGAATGCTAACATGACCATCCATTCAGGGTATCCCTCCATTGCTCCGGAGAGCAGGAAACACTGTACTCGTGGATGGATTGACAAAATAAAGCAACAATATTCACAGTGCTGTACCATAGAGAGGATAAAGGATGGATTTTGGAAAATAAAGCTTTTAGAACTTGTAAAAGAATTGGTTTCAATGACTGTGTGCGTGTGGATGTGCATCATACAATCTCATCATACAATACTGACGCAGAAGATCCAGGAATGAATCAGCAAGTCGAATCTGAGCATGTCCTGCTCTCAGAGTCGGGAAGTAAAAAAGGGATGGCACATGTGTTCCTGACCTTGCAGGTGCAGAAGGTTCTGGACACACTCACAGCATCTGTTTACGTGGCAACTCACGGCTACTCATTGTGCAATGTGTGACAGCAGGGCTGGTGTTTAGCCAACGTACGGCGGTGAAAGCAAATGGAAGCGAGCGTCTTGAGTCCGTGTTGCATCTGTGGCACACGAAGGAGCGATACAATGACACACCTGAGAGGCCGGTGTGGTATTGTGACAGGCTAATCTCTTTCATCTGCACATGATTCTCTACATACGGCCATTACAGAGCGTGTTGTCCTCCGAAATGGCTTCAGCGGCTGCGGAAAGATTGGCTTCTAGACAATGAATCCACGTGGATTGTGGAACAGCAGCTGTCGTGTGCGCCGACGTGACACAGTGTTGCCCGTCTCGTGCTCATCGCTCAGGGCGACTTCAACGCAATGCTACCGAGCAGAGGAGTGTCTTCATAGTGATGAACGGTGACTTCATCTCGCTGGAAAAAACATGTATTTTGGCTCAGTTAATTAACCAGATTTCCCGTTCATTTAAAGGACAGCCCTTGGATTGTTTGTGGACGGCGTGCCAGCCCGTCCTTTGTGTCAACAGTAGATAAGCACAGAGTCCAAGTCCAGGCCCTCGTGTGGTCCAATCAAAGGGAGTCATCAGATCCCCGGCGCCCCCTGAAGCCTGTATTGTGGCAACAGGACAAGATGACATTGCTAAGCGGTGACACCGGTGTGTATCCAGTGTATTGATCAATTACCTTATCAGCCCCCTCCCCTCAACTCAAGGGCCTTATAAACAATGCTTGTGTGTGTGTGTATGTGTGTGTGTTATGAATGTTTTAGAAACTGGAGAAGAGAGTTTTCCCCACATATGCAGTCACATGTAACATAACGTCTAGGAAAGTTGTGTGTTTCGTTATATATGGCAGTAGCACCTGGTTTTACAGCACAGTTACTTGATAATTCCAGATTACAATAATTAGAGGTAATATAACATTATGTCACATGTCACTGTGGTAATTGTGTTCAGTACCACAAACCTACGGAACATTTATTTAGTTTAGGTTGGTACGGAAATGTTACAATTATTTAAAGTAATTTCCAGGTAAGTATTACTTCTGTTATCATTACTAGTCATTATCACTAATGAGTAACATGACGTCACAACATTTCAGAATATTAATGGTGATTTCAATTTAAAAAAAACAGTCCTAGACTTTTTTATCATTATCATTGTTCATATTATTCTGCTGATTTTAGGTTCCACTTTGCTTTGCATGTCAGATAAATGTTGAGTTAATTGGTTTATTAAAACATATTGTGTCTAATCACGCATTGCGTTTGGTACCTATTTTATTTTGGTAATTCATACCAGCACAATTATCTATCCAATACTGATAAACAACCTTTGAGCGTTCCTGTCGGTGCTGCAAACAGAATAAGAGTACTGACTAAAAGCCAAAGGAGAAGGAGGTAGATTTGATTTTTTTTGCATCCACAATTTACTCCCTCATTATTCTTAAACTGTTTGGAGGGAGACAACGTCTCCACGTGTCCCCGTCGACCGAGCTCATTCAACATACTCCCTGAATGCAAAAACCTTAAGCGAGATCCAGCTTGTCGACGATTCTGAATGTCTTGTATTTTTGCCAGAGCGATCGAGGCCGTGCTTTGAGGATCAATGGTCCGTCTCCGAGGTTCGTGGGTAGCCGGCATGACGACTAACATTTCCCCTAACAGACGGCTTCAAGGGCGGTCGGTCTTTGCGGCCCACGCTGATAGTCCAGAGAACAGCAGGCACAGCGGATGTGTTCACTGCAGTGTGGAATTGTTTGGTTGGACTGACGCCTCGTCTATGGGGATCGTGAAGAGGGTCAATGAAGCAGCTTCCAGGGAGAATAAAGTACATATTGTCTTTACAAAATAACAAAACATGGGGGGAGTGGAGAGGGGAGGAGAGGCTAAAAAGGTCTTCCTAGTTTTCCTGCGCTCCCCTGGGACGTGGATGCTCAGCTGCAGGCATGAGAGAACATGTCATGGAACAGTAGAAAGGTTATTACTGGTAGCGACCCGAGGGCGTGCGTGGCCTTGTCGCCCTGTGACTCCCACAGGCATGTGTGAATCTCTCTTTTGTGGTCAGTGTAGTCTGAAGGTTCTTAAATCACTCAGGAGAGTGACAGACCGACGCTTCGCTCCTGCACCCTCGCACTGTGTATTTCACATTTTGTGTAGAGAATCTTCTGTTTTTTGGGGGATTTTTTCCCCTGTGTGCTGTCACGTGTTCTGTCACGGTCTAAATGTGTGATACAATAACTGAACCAATTTCCAGTAAAGTAACATCAGGGCACTGGCTCTGATTCTAGTCATTAAAAGGAACATGATCGGAATGAGATGGTACACGATAGCACCCTCTGGGGGAACTGCGGTCAGTGTAATATAATTTCATAAATGTTCCACTTGAGGTTTTCTCATTATCTTGCATTAACCTCTCCAGTCCACATGGCCGTGTGGGACTAGCAGATTGTTTTCTCTGCCTAAACATCTCTGACCTTGTCGGAGACACGTTGTTTTCACTGGCAATGCAATGATGTGTCCTTTATTGATGGAATTAGAACGACAAATTCATTACGATCCGGTAACAACCATCCCCAACAGATTTCTGTGAGGTTGTGCATTGAAAAGGTTGGAGTGCACAGATCATGATGATAACTGAACACAAACCGGTTCCGTTTAATACGTCTGTTTAATACGTCAGCTTAATACGTCAGCCTAGGGGCATTTCCATCAGTGAAATGCACAGAATGTGAGCTTTTCCCCCCGAATAATGTTTTTCAAACGTATTTTGCTTTTGTACACTCCATATTTTGTTGGCATCAAGTATGCTGATGACCGTCATGCTTGGCAGTTGACAATTTTGCCTTCTCCTGATTGGGTTTTAATGAATGAATTAGTATGAACGGATCTGCGTTTTTCTCTCTATCAATGGGCACGTTAGCACAAATGTTGATCTGTATCAATGATATACACCTCATTACTAGATACCCCTGGGTCGTAGCGTAATTGGGAATGTTTTGCCCAACTTTATTACGGACTTGCTACTTCACCCCGCTATGTCATGTTGCTGCTTGTTACGTGCCTTGTTTGTGCGTGTGTGTGTGGGTGGGATTTTCTTCAGGTGTGCTGGGGGACGTCTCTCCTGTAGCGGATCAGCATGGGGTTAAATGGCTGTCCCAAGCCAGAGTCTTTAGGTTGCTTCAGTGGAAGCCAGAGGGGGACCAGAGGCGCGTTAGCTGCTGCCGTGAGGAGTTTTTGAGCCAGTGAAAAAGGAGCCGGATGCCGTACTCGTCTTCCTTTTGGAGATTGTTTTCAGGTGCTTTGCGTTGAGTTTCCCTCATTAAATACCTTTTTTTTGCGTTTGTCCAGATCTCCCGGGTTTATTATTTTAACATGTTTGCGTCCTCCACCCCTCGACACTTTGGGGACGTAACACTGGTCTTGACTTGTGATGTCTGCTATGGGCCCTACTAATGTAGAACCTGAGGCCGTACATGTGGATGTTTAGAACACCCACGTGGTTTTAATGGAAGATCAGAGACATCTGCTGACCATGAATCAAATGTGTGGGATTGGAGTTCAGTACATTGTAACTTTTTACCTGTACATTGTAAGTTTTTCTTCCATAAAATGCCAATTATTTATTGTCGTTTGTGATGGGGAAAGTTTCAAGTCCCAAAGACAGCCCACCAAGTATCACCTTGTTGTGTCACAGCGTGCGTTTGTCCATAATAATAATAATAATAATACAAAACAACGTGGTATATTCAAAGATACCCTGTATTAAATAACTTCAATGTTTGAAACACCACCAAAACTTCAGTTCAAGCACACAAAAAATATTTAATTTGTTTACGAAATGTGCAAACAAATGAACACGTAAAAACCTGGATTTTCACAAAGGTAGCCTGCATAATACACAGTGTTGATAGCCGGAGGCACAAACAAATCTATAAAGACTTCATAAATGACCCCCCCCCCCCCCTCTTTTTCCATCAAACAAACATTTATAGGTCATATTTTTACTTGAAGGAACACTTCAATGGTCGGCTAATGAATACTTTGGAATTTTTACAGCTTTGTTAAAAATATACCAGCTCCAACTTCAGCGCTGACTGTAACAGGTTATATAAAGAGTCATGGTGATAATGCTACGGCATTTGAATACGTCTTTCATGTGTCACCGCCAGAAAAAAAAGTAGCACCCGAGCCTGCAGAAACGGCCTTTCATTGCTTGTTTTGTTTCTAAATCCTGTACAGAAGGCAACACGTGGTAAGGAATGTCAATCATTCACTGTGCGACAACCAACAGTAAATCTCAGCAAAGGACAAATATAGTGGCGCACATCTAGTATCACAGTTACTGTACATCATCAATAATGTATCAATAAAATACCTTCACCAATAACATTCATGTTCAGCATTTGTTTTATGCAATATTAACGTAACATGAGTAACTGCTGCCAATTCTGATTCAATCTGTGTATACATGCCGTGTACATGTAAATACAATAATAACCAGTGTATATGTGTACATGGTCCTGATTTATCCAAACGGTGAGTGCTGTGAGTCTCAGATATCTGGAAACGCAAAGGGCAACGCATGCATCTGAGAGTAAATGTTTGAGAACTACATTGTGTAGCTTGGAATATGACTGCTCTCTGTCAACAGCTGTTATTTTAAAGAATGTGAAAGAATAATTTGACTATAATCAAAACTAATAAAATGGGAATGACAAACCATAACCCCCTTTGTCTTTTAACTTCTTAGAACTGAAAGTATAGTGTCCTTTAGAATTAAAGTAGCATGTATTTCACCAAAACATAAAATATGAAAGCTATACCAATACAAGAAGAACTCACTGGCTATACATTTCCACACAATCTTCTGCCTTTTCTCGTATTCTCCTCACTATCTCCATCTTTAATAATATCAGAATAGTTACCTTTAATACACATCTTGTCCCCTTTCCCGCCCTCTTAAACATGACAACAGCGTTTGACCCTTCAGCTGTCTGTAGAACCACTGCCCTTATTCTTATTGCGACTGAGAGGGAAAGTGGACTTGCTCTGTGGTTGGGTCATTTTGCTGGCCAGGTAGACAAAGGGTTCGATCAGAGAGTGCCGCTCCACCACCGACACCTCCCACAGACGCACCTTCTCATTCTTTGCCCAATTCTGTGCCATGTTGGAGTCCACTCGCCTCTCATCCTGCTTGTCCTGCTTGTTACCCAGCACAACAATGGTGACCTGTGGATCAGGATGATCTGGTTAGTCAGAGTATTCACTAAGTCGGTTCACATCACATCACTACATTTGATACGGTATTAACAATGGCAACAACTACGGAAGGTTGTCTGTTGGGACGAAGAGAATCAGGAGGACATGACATTGAAATGAATCATATCTCATTCCAATAATTATAATTGAAATGGTAGGAAACTATGGAACTTATCATTCCCAAGCATATACATGGGTTCAGTCCCCACCTCTTTCTTGTCTCTGTGGCGGTCAATATCCTTCTTGAGGGCCTCCATCCTCTTAAATGACTCTTTACTGTCAACGCTGTAGACGAGAACAAAGCCATCTGCGAACGTGTAGTAGTGTCGAGGGAACTCCATCCCATCGCGGAGTCCTCGTGTGTCATAGAAGCGAACCTGCTCTCGTGTACCACGGTCCGTTTCTATGGAGCCGATGTAGATATCCTCCAGGGTTTCCATGGGTTCTGAACCTAACAAACAAAGGTGAGTATATTTGGTGATTTAAAGAAAAACATCTATATTCATATCATTCATAGCATATTCTATGGAGCTAAAGAAGATAACGTTATAACTTACCTGCAACATGATTGGCATACAGTAGTTGTTCCAACACGGCCGTTTTACCGACGGCAGCCTGGCCGCACACAACCACCTTACAACTTTTCCCCATGACTCTCAGGTCAGTTAACGAGGATCTGTTTTTCGGGGAGAAGATGCACAGATGGGAAACTGTAATACATCCTTTGCTTCATGTTGTGTTACAATGTAATAACATTAGCATTAGCATAGCGTTGTGTGCAGCAGCATTTCCCAAATTGATTATGGTATAAATAAGTAAGCGAATAAAAATGTCATTATACAAAATGTCACCTTTCGTTAGTCGTGCTGATATATTACCGAAACTAGCGATAGCGTTTTCAGGTTATGCTTAAATTTGTCTATGAAATCTATGAAATTACTAAATAGCTTAGCATTAGCTCGGGACCGAGTCACGATAACGCATAGAAAATGACTGATTACATTTGAAACTCACTAACCTGAGTAACCGTGTTGTCTTCGAAATGTAGTTAACTTTGATATTAGTTAGTTGCCAACGACTAGCTAGCTAGTAACCGCTAATCGCTACGGGGAAGTCAACAGCTATTCCTGTAACGTTAACGGTCTTCTTCCTGTTTACAAAGTACGTCACGACTGCATTTAAATTGCCCCGCCCCCTCCCCGGTTGACGGCAAAATGGCGTCGCAGGACTGTGATGCTCTGAACATGGACCCTGACATGGAACTGCTCAGTGACGAAGAATTAGAAAGGTAAAACAAACGGAAGGCGATGTTGTCATTGCCAGACGAACAACGGTGGCGATGCATCGAAGTGAAACGTGCGACCTAAAGTCCCTCGTATGCTCATTTTCTTCGTACTTCTCATTATGAAGGCTAACCAGCGCGACACCGCTGTGTAGCTAAATTCTGCCCCGGGAAGCTTGATAGTTCTCCTCTTCGTGGATTCCCGGGGTTACACTCAGGGGCTGTAATGTCTTCAAACCGGCAGTTACCCACCAAATAATACAGCTCTGACATTATTACGTCGATCCTGATAAGATGCCATCTAGAGAACTAACTAGTTATGCAGGAACCTTCCACCGGCCGTGCGCTCGTGGGCTAAAACCTGACAGACTTCCAAAAAAAGTAACGGCCGGGGGCCCACGTCGTGGTGTCATATGTCCCTGCCTCAGCGAGATGGCGACTTGTTTGACTTGTGGCAGGCACCTCTATGTTTAGCAGGACTACCCGTCACATTCCGGGACATCTGGGTCTCTTCACACGCGCCCATGAAGGTGATGGTTGCACGTAACGGTCTTAAACAGTTTAAAGGTGCATTGTGCGCGATCAGGCCAAGTTCTCCTCACCAATAGGGGGCAGCATTTCACCTTTTACTACCTGGGGCCTTTTCGAAAAGCGGGTTCGACAAAAAGCCCTTTTAGAGATTTGTGTTTGACTTGATCCCGAGTTGCTGTGACCTCATGCACAATGATGAACTCGCGCTCAAGAGATCTCGAAGGCCGTAGTTACTCTTCGGCGACTGCGTGACCCAGTGCATCACAACGCCTTGCTCTCCCCTGCTCTGGGTGCGCATTTGGCTCTGAGATTTTGCAGAAAACTCCCTTTTTGTTTAATTGTAATACTTACTAGTCCCACGTTGTGCGTGAAGGTTTATTCTAAAAACATATATTGTGTGATTGACAATAATAAACCGCATTCACCTGAGTCTTTGATACCTGCCTTGTTTTTCTGTCTGTCTGCCTACTTGAACACAGGGAAGCAGAGGGCTTCAAAGAGCAGGGCAATGCCTTTTACATCAACAAGGATTATGCAGAAGCCTTCAATTATTACTCCAAGGCCATAGGTAATTAACACGGAGTCATTTTCAGTCAGTCCTCTTTGTTAGTTGAACGGATTCTGTTGATTACCTGTTTGGACAACAAATAAATGTCTGAATTCTGTCTGTCCTTGATAGGATGTCAATAACTTGTTTGTTATACAGACATGTGTCCGAAGAATGCGAGTTACTATGGAAACCGGGCAGCCACGCTAATGATGTTGTATCGGTACAGAGAGGCTTTAGAAGATTCCCAGCAAGCAGTACGCCTAGATAACGACTTCATGAAGGTAGATTGTGGCAAGCAAACCCGTTTGTGGATTTACTTATCGGAACATGTCAAAGGGACAATCCATTCTTGTTATTGTGTAACATTGTTGTGTATTCTATATATTGTCCAGTCTTTTTGTTTCGCTGTACACGTTTTCCACTCGGCCTACTTGCACTAATGCTTTGCTAAATTACTTTTAATATTTATTTTCCAAAATGCTGTGGACAAAGCCTGGAGAAGGGGAATACTGTGTGTGTGCGTTTTGATTTAGCGATAAAAGCCATTTTCCTCATATTAGAGTTCTATACATTTTGGTTTTGGAAGGACGCAATCTCTTCAGCAAGTATACTGTGAGTCCTTCACCCACAGGGACATCTGCGAGAGGGCAAATGTCACCTGTCTCTTGGCAACGCTATGGCTGCAAGCCGCTGTTTCCAGAGGGTTCTGGAGCTGGAGCCCGACAACAGCCAGGCCCAGCAGGAGGTGAGTTGGCCTCGGCCTTATAGAGCGTAGCGATGGGACAACTTGGAAATGGTTATTCACTATCAACTCTGGTTGAGTTTTAATACTGTAGTGGATTAACAAGGGCAGGGGTCCCCAAGAGACCGGTTTCATATTGGACAATATTTTCCTTTCAGCTAAAGAATGCCGAATCAATCCTGGAATATGAGAAAATGGCAGAGATTGGCTTCGAGAAGAGAGACTTCCGGATGGTAAGCTACACCGAATTTTATTTTACTCTTGACAGCTGTGTGGCCTGTCGTCTGCAACAGACACGTAAAAGCAACGCAGAGCTCAGGCGTGCCGTGGTTGTCTCCAGGTTGTCTTCTGCATGGACCGCGCCTTGGAGGCCGCCGCGGCCTGTCACAGGTTCAAGATCCTGAAGGCCGAGTGCTTGGCCCTGCTGGGGCGCTACGCAGAGGCTCAGTCCGTAGCCAGGTAAAACCGCCTGTTTGGAAATACTTGGTGACTCACTTGTTTCACTGTAATACAGAAGTATGACACCAGTGGTCTGAACAAACAGGTTTGAAACATTGTCCTTTCCACTGCCCGTCACAAATGTGCAAATATTTGAAAAATTTGAACCATATTCTATTTGAAAAATGCCATATTTTTTTAATTATTTTTTGTCCTTCTTCTTAAATGTATTTTTTTCCTTTTTAATATTGATATTTATCGTTTTGTTTTGGTGTAGTGATATTCTGAGGATAGATTCTACCAATGCAGATGCACTGTACGTGCGTGGTCTTTGTCTGTATTATGAGGACTGCATCGAGAAGGCCGTCCAGTTCTTCGTCCAGGCCCTGCGCATGGCTCCGGACCACGACAAGGCTCGGCTCGCATGTAGAGTGAGTCATTCACGAGACACTTAGAAATGAAATTTTACAACAAACTATTTGGGGAATTCCTATTGATACAACAATTACATTACTTTTATTCTCATTGGGAGCCTTCCTTCATTTTACGTTCAATGTAACACTCATGGTCCTCCGTGTGTTGTCTTTCCAGGATGCCAAAGCACTAAAAGCCAAGAAGGAGGAAGGGAACACGGCGTTCAAGGAGGGAAACTATGACGCAGCCTATGAGCTGTACTCTGAAGCACTAACAATAGACCCCAACAACATCAAGACTAACGCCAAACTGTACTGTAACAGGGCCACTGTGGGATCTAAGGTGAGGACACCAACGTCTGACAACTGTAAAGTGAATCTTAGAGTCTTTTTTTGCTGTTTGCTGAAAGCCACCGAGGGCTAATGTGTTGCTCAGTGAGTATTCAAGCGACGACACTTCTATGAATTAAATTGGGAAGTTAGATCAGTAGATATTACAGACTGAATACAATAAAAGGGAAGCAAAAAAGGGACTTTGGCTTGTCAGATGAAGACTAGAACACAAACAAACGCACAACTTCTGAATTCATCTTGATATTGCTAGACTAACTTCTATAAGCACACAAGGCGTTGCCCACGCATAATACACAAACTCCTTCTGTTATTCATAGAGAAACGTGTCATTCTGTCCCTCTGTCAGTATTATACGTGTTGGCGTTGTTGCCATATTGACATCTACGCCACGACTTTTCTCTTTAGTCTCCACCTCACATGGTGACCGTTATGTATTTGTCTTTGCAAGCTGAAGAGACTAGAACAGGCTATTGAAGACTGCACGAAGGCCATTAAACTGGATGAGACCTACGTCAAGGCCTACTTAAGGAGAGCACAGTGGTGGGTCTCCCTCCATTTCCAACTTGATTGTTGATAGAGACGCTGCGTTCCGTTCTAGTTGGGTGTCAAGCGCGTTCAAAAGCCGACTTGTTCGTACTGTGCTGCAGCTACATGGACACGGAGCAGTACGAGGAGGCGGTGCGAGACTACGAGAAGGTTTACCAGACGGAAAAGACAAAAGGTGAGAATCGGACAGGCTGAACTGACACGGCTGTCAACACGGATTTGTCCTCCTTATTATGATTTGCTTTTTTTATATTTCTTTAGAACACAAGCATCTTCTGAAACACGCCCAGCTTGAGTTGAAGAAAAGCAAGCGGAAAGATTACTACAAAGTTCTTGGGGTGAATAAGAACGCCACCGAAGACGAGATCAAGAAAGGGTACCGCAAACGGGCCCTTTTACATCACCCAGGTGCTTCATCCAAAGCGAATGCTCCTCCCCACATTCGGTCGTTGCGGTCGTCCCTGTGCCGGGATTTATCTCCCCGTTTGCCTCCTGTCAGATCGTCACAGTGGAGCTAGTCCTGAGCTGCAGAAGGAAGAGGAGAAGAAGTTTAAGGAGGTGGGCGAAGCCTTCAGCGTGCTTTCAGACCCAAAGAAGAAGTCGCGCTATGACAGCGGTCAGGACCTAGAGGACGATGGCATGAACGTGGGAGGTCAGCACCTGGGCGGGGGTCAGGGAGGGGGGAGCTAATGAATGTTTTTCAGAAAAGTTCTCTGTGTTGATGTCGATTCTCACCTGCTTTTTGTCTCTAGCAGATTTCGATGCCAACAACATTTTCAAGGCATTCTTTGGGAGCCCGGGAGGCTTTAGTTTCGAAGGTGATTCTAACTCCTATATATTTTTTTTCGAAATTTTAAAATAATCCAGTTACTGACTCGTTTGGCATTTTGTTTCAGCATCTGGACCGGGGAATTTCTTCTTCCAGTTTGGTTAACTGGAGGATTGGAGGTCCACCTAAACAGTTACTACATCAGGACTTCAACAATGTCACACCCGCCGACCCACCATCCATATTTAATGACTGAATGCAAGTCCAAACCCTATCAAATTATGTTTTAAAGCCCTAAGCGAGGACTCCACGATGGCACAGACTGAGTTGAAATAGTATTACTGGTTTTAGATTTGGTTTCCGGCCTTTCAGAATGAAACAAACTAACAAGTCAGTTATGTGCTGCAACAGAGGTCCATATATTATCTGGATTTTTGCGATGCCAGAGATTGCGCAGTTATTGTATCCAAGCTTTTAGGAGTCCGTGCAGGAAGGGACATCCGGGGGAAACTCTTGAAATGCAACTGAGGTTCTCTGAGATTCTCTGCATGAAAGCTAATAACTTGCTTAAAGATCCCTGAGCAAGTGGCATCTACCCCATTTGAAGAATATGTGCGACAGACCGTTGGCCACTACAAGTTCACAATGAAAACTGCCTCCTTGTCATAAGGCAACAGGAGCACTTGAGCATTTTTTTTTTATTGTATCATTTCACAGCTTGAAGCTGAAGCCGAGACCTTCATTTACACTACAGCTGAAGCCCATTAGGAAGATGCCAGCGGAGGCAGCTGTGCCAGCATTGTAGCCAGCAAAGCCCCCCCCTCCCTTTTCAGGTTTTGTTTAATGTTGCCATTCACAGAGTGCTCCATTGTACATTTTACTGGAATGTCAAGTGTTTATTTGTAATGGTATTTTTTCCTTTTTTTTTTTTTTTTTTTTAATTTTTACAACGTGTATTTATTGTAAATTTGCTGTGTGATTGATCGAGAACCGTCTGTGTAAGATGACGATGCCTTTCTGTTGTTTGGGAGAGACGTTGATGATTAGCATCCTTGGAGCTTGTTCTGCATGAAACACTGCGCAGAAATGGATAATCATTTGTGTGTTCTTTGACTGTAATGCAAGCGGTCTAGTTTGAGTCGACAGATGCGCAAAAGAACAGATTACATGGTTTGCTGGTGTCCAAGTTACAGGGTGGTGGAAACGAGTCTGTGTTCGGTTCACTTCCGGATGAGTTTGTTGTTCTCTTGGTGGACGTCACGAAGAAAAGAAAAGCGCCTCCATCTTTGCCCTTATTATTTTTGCTCTTATGGTGAATCTCTCTCCTTGAAAAGTACCAGCCGTGTCAATAAATAGGTCTCCTCTGGGTTTCCCCTAAATTGTGTTTGATTGTTGTGTTTTTTTGTTATGAAAAGGATTTATTTTAAGTCTGTCCCATACCTGGGCTGCTGCAATGTTCCATTCCACTGTGCTTGAATTTACATTTTAGTCAAAACGGAAACGGGTCTGTCCTTACTAATCGTTTTTCGATTATGTTTTAAACAAATACATTCACCTTTTCCTGTGCTGCATTAACCCCGGAAGTGGAGAGCCGCGTTGCATGCCGGTCCGCCGGAGGGCGGCGCTGTTTCCCGCTCTTGGTTTGTTGTTGTGGTTGCTAGGACACCATTTGACCGCAGACGTCTACTAACGGTAGATGCCAAAGTTATTGTACGCTATTGAAAACGTTATAACACAAATGTCGGACACGGAGGAAAAGCCCAAAGACCAACAGCCGAAGGGCGTGTTCTCCAATTTGATGGCGGAGGGTGATTGGCTGTACAGCAAGGCGGAGTACAAGAAGGCTATAAGCAGCTACGCGTCGGTACGGTAACGTCAGCCACCGATGGCTGCGGAGCGGTGGAGGATATTATTTTATCCCAGGGTGTCAAGTGACTTCAGGACCGGCTTTATTGGTCCACTCATCATCTGACTTTTCCTATTCAAATAGACAGTGGACGTTTTGAGATAACATCATACTGTAGTTCAGCGTTCGCACGGGCCATCGGGACAGTGTTTTCATAGAGCTTTCATAAATGCCACACGGCCTTTAATAAAGCAATAAGGGACGAGAAGCTGTACTTTATCGTCCAGTAAACAGTTCAGGGGTGTTGTTAGGCCCGATTATTGCGTTTATAATACGGTTTCATCTACCTGTACTATAATGACTGATACAGTTTTGTTCTGTTTGTGTTGTTTTAATGACTGATGGCCATGTGGACACACAGGCGGTTCTGTTGCTTTGTAAATCACGTGGGTCTGACTTGCTCCTGGTCTTGGTTCAGGCCCTGGCTATCAAGCCTGAAGACAAGACTTGCTATGTTGGCCGATCCAGATGTTACCTGATGATCGGGCAACCTCAAAACGCTTTAAAGGATGCAGAGGCTTCACTCAAAGAGGACAAGTTCTTTTTCAAGGTAATTTACAAGTTACAGACAGGTAAATGCTTACTATCTTTGGTCATGTTTTCTTTCATTCAGTAAATACTAACATCCAACCGGGCACCTAATTGAAATTTAAGAGAATTTATGAGCACAAAAACAATTATTTTATTGTGATTTTTTTTAGGGATTGTACCAGAAGGCCGAGGCCTTGTTCTGCATGGGGGAATTTGAATTTGCGCTGGTGTTTTACCACCGAGGAAAAAAGTTACGTCCACAAATGCAAGAGTTCAGACTTGGTATTCAGAAGGCACAAGAGGCTATAGAAAACTCTGTTGGCAGTAAGTCATTATTCTCATTTAAACTAAATTATAGTCACAAATTTGAAAACCCTAAAAACCTAACATTATCAGTTGCTCTCTGGCGTCTTCTAGGCCGTTCAGTAAAACTGAAGATTGAGGGAGACTTGACATTTCTCCAAAAAGATCAGGAGGTGAGTCTATATTTAACAAAATACTGAAATACTAAAAAATAAATTAGGTAGAGTTGGGATTAAAGCTGTACTAACAACGATGGCACACATACAAACATCAACCTTGGACAATGAATGACTTTTCTGCACTATAAATGTATCTGTGTGTAAAGTTCAACACTGGCCTCCCTTCTGGTACATAATAGTATGTTTCTCTATGACTGGTGGTTAAAGAACACACAGCCGATTGCTGCAATTCAGAATCTGACAAAGCAGAAAAAAAAGACAACCCAAAAGATCCCTAAGAGTGAGAAGACAACCAAGCAGCTGTTGGGAGAGTTTTACACGGACAAGAAATATCTAGAAAACCTGCTTAAAGATGAAGGTACTCCTTTTTTTTACCTGGTGATTTTGCTTGCATCATTGCATCTGGCAGACATAGTACGGTGTAGCTTCAAATGTTAACTATAAACTACCGGTTAGACTGACATTTTAAATGGTTACACGATGCAGATTTGGTTAAAGGGAAGACGAAAGGAGGGGAGCGACTGCAGGACGTCATTCACGGGTACCTCTCATACATCGACTCTTGCACCGAGTTCCGCACCCAGGAGAAAGCCACCGGTGCACAGGAGAAGGAGCGCAAGGAAAGTCAGGACAGCAAGCGCCGTAAGGACGCACCCTTGGAGCCTGCGCCGCTTCTGCTGGAGAGCCTGGACAATATTGACGCAGGTAAGGCCAGGCAGGCTGGACACGGAATTACAGGATCGACAAAACTACAAAATGCTCACTGCCCGTTTGTCGTCGTAGCGTTGACATGTGGAAATACAGAAGGTGGTCTCAAGAAGGCGCAGGAACTCATGAAGACTGTGCAGGGCTGGTCAGAGAAAGAGGTGCCTAATAAGAAAGAGGTTTTGGCCAACCTGCACAGCTGTATTGGGAATGCCTTGATGGACCTGGGAGACATGGACAAAGCCATAGAGCATCATCAAAAAGACCTGGAGTTGGCTAAAGAGTGGTGAGAATTTGAAGAAATGACACTAGTGGTGTTTGTGTTTTACAACAATGGATCAAATGTTCCGTTGTTTTTCTTATCAACAGCGAACTCCCAGATGCAATGTGCAGGGCTCTGGAGAACATCGGGCGGGTTTATGCTCAATTCGGACGGTTCACACAGGCCATTGAGTTGTAAGTACATACTGGAAAAAAAGATTCACTCGAATCATTTATGATATTTCTGTCCTTCGCAAAATACCCTTTTGATGTCCGTCTCCATATTCACACCTTTCCTCTCTTTTACATGGAGGTGTGATTTTTGTAGATTGGTTTATCGATATTTAACTTGTTTTCTCTGAATGCTTTCAAACCAGCTGGGAGAAGGTGATTCCTTTGACCCACGGTGGTCTGGAGCAGACCTGGTTGTTTCATGAGATTGGCTGGTGTCACCTCAAGCTCGATCGTCACCAAGACGCCAGAGACTATGGCGTGCGTTCAGTTGCTGCAGCCAATGAAATTGCCGATGAAAAGTGGCAGATGAATGCCAATGTTTTGGTAGCACAATCAGAATGTAATTACTCATCTTTCTCATATTCACAACATCAGTTACTGGGACATTAACTTTTATCATTTAGACTCACAGTGCTGTTGTTATTGTACAAAATACAGACCTGATCTCTGTTCTATTCCCTTCCGGTACATGTTAGTGAAACTAGGAAACTTTGAATCCAGCGTCTCCCACTTTGAGACAGCCTTGACCCAGGCCAAACTGCAAGATGACAGCTCTGCTATGAACGCCATTCAGAAGGTCCCCACACTGTGATCATATGCTTCTCTTCACCATAGTTTCAGTTCTAGTTAAAACTATGTGTTATCGCTGACATTCACCTTTTTGGTTGCAGGCCCTTGATGAGGCAAAGCAACACTTCCCACAATGAGGATGTCATCAGTGAAGATTTATGGTGCTTCAAAGTGCCTCAAAATGAAAGACGAACAAAAAAGGGATCAATAAAAGTGTTTTCCCAAACTGATGTGAGTGTCTGCATACATTCAAATCTCAAAATATAAACAGCTCATTAGGAATCACAAATATCAGGTCTCAGATTTTAGTCCAAAACTATAATAAGAATAAATTGGACTGTAATAGTCTATTGTTCTGCACTGTTCTACCTCTGACTTTATTATAAAACTGAAACATCTATTAATTAGAAAATGCTTCACTTTATATACAAAATTGAGAGGAATTGAAACCAGGAAGTCCTTTTACCTTTTGATAACTTAAATAAACAGCTATTCTCGCTTCAGGGAACTTCCCGTTGACATATCTATTTTACATATGTCACCAGGCTCACATTCATTCACAGGTCATTTACATACAAAGGATTGCTTCCTGCAGGGTTTAAACAGCGTCTGGTTTGTGTGAGGCACAAACAGACTGTGGATGTACAAATAATGCACATTGCTTTTTCACCAGAATGTCGAGCTGGAGGCAGAGTGGTTCTTATCAAGCAAGCTGTCTTGGAGACTGAGCGTTGAGTTGCTGGTCTGAGTGAGACAGGGTGGACCCCAAGTAGTTGGATGATGGAGTGACCTGGGGAGCCCACTGTGTGGTGTTATCTAACTTGAGGGGAGGGGCTAAGATTCCAGCCGTCTGCATATGGATGTGATATATATATGTGATATATATATATATGATATATATATATATATATATATATATATATATATATATATATATATATATATATATATATATATGTGTAGACCAAAAAACTGAATTATTACATGACATGAAAAAGGTTAAAAAGTTTATTGTGTTTAGACAGATTTAGTTTTGAGCACACTGCAACTGAAAAAAAGCAGTGGCCAGGTTTTATAACATTTTATAACTTCAAAAATGCATATGTCAATACCAAAATAAAATGCTAAATAAAAACACGTAACTGATCCATCTTGAGAAATTGCGTTTTGTCATCTTCTCCAGGATGCGGGGCTCTTCCGGTCACGGGAGGGAAGGAGGAGGGGGGGCGTGTCCACGGCCCCGCCCAGTTCCGCGCGTCCGCCTACATTTCCGTTTGTTAGCGCTTCTTGAAGAGCGCAGCGGGTGCACGTCTGCGCCGAGCTTCGCCTTGTCATTGTACCCAGAGAGGAGCGCGTGGTCAGCGGCTCTCCCGACGGCTCCACTGCAGCAGCGTAACCGGTAAGCCGGCGTCCGGGCGGACAAAAGCGCCGCCACGTCTCCTCCCTTATTCAGTTGGTTCCCTATTATTGTTGTTGTTTGTTTTTGTTTGTACTTAAAGCCAGAGGAAGTTGCTGCAACAGCAGTACGTGGCGCTGCAGCTGGTGCTGGTGTAGCCTAATTAACCGAGTGCCAGGCTGAACGTGTTTTTGTCTGTGTGGCACGCCGCTCCCCGCCCCGCCACATCGAGTAATGATGTTAACCGAAAATGGGCCATGGCTTTCAATTCCTGTTTTCTAAAAGCTTTCTGTCCATTTTTAAACACAGACGCTCCAAAAAAATCCCATTTGTTAGTTAAATTAACGCGATGAAATTAGTCTGAAGTTGCAATAAACAAAAAAAACGCAATGACCGTCTCCCCACTGCGCCATTTGCTGCCAGTACGTTTTTCTTTTAACGTTAAAATCGAGAGCGGCCGTTTTCAAAAACGCCTCAAACGGGTTAATATTTCCCCAGCTGGATCCGTTCAGTTTCGTTTACTGACTTCTTTCCCGAGCAGGGAGAAGGTCCCCGTGTGCGGAGTTTGAGTCTTTGTTGTTGTGGGCGCTTCCCCTCGTGTCTCATGACACATCTGGTGGAAACCTTCGGTCTCGCATCTTTAAACAATGAGCCGCCACATGGCGGAGGTCGCACAAGTCCCAGTGGCCATCGCGCCTTTTCACGACGCGCGGCGTTATTAATTAACCCATTTTTATTGGGCGACGGTCTTTAATATAATACCTTGTCAGTTTATACCGCAGTGTTTTTTTTGTTCTTGACAAATGCAAATTAAAATTTGCTGTAAACACCAGAAGGGGGGGGCTCCTCCACTCATAATAAAACACCCCGACTGGACATTAATGGACTCCGTAACTAAAGGCTGTTGCCTAATAGCTGATATCTGATCTCCACATCCACCATTTGTAACTTTTAAAACGGATCCACCCTCAAAAAACTTTTCTCAGACTTAAATAATGGAGGTTGAGTAATTTCCAGTTTCAGACTCTGATAGCAGTCGGAAGTGAGGGTATTTAAGCACATCTGCATCTATCTGGTTAAAGAACCTATTCAGACTGTAATTCATTAATTCTACAAAAAATCGGAGTAAAAGTTACCAGTGTTTTTTCTTTCAATAATCATTTATCTAAATGGAAAACTTCTTTCTTCCATTTGTGTATTTTAAGGTACAAGGTGTGTAGAATCAGACTTTAAGCCAGACATGGACCCTGAAATCAGCGCAGAGGTTTTAGATTCACCGGCGACTCCACACCAAGAGGAGACCGCAATGGAGAGCGAGATTGCGTCAAAGGTGGAGACCTCAGAGGAATCCTCAGAGCCTGAGAAGCTTCCAGCTGCTGCCGACGAGACTGAGCAGCTGGCAGTGAATGGTCACGATACAGAAGGCCCAAACTTTAAAGGAACCGAAGAGTTGATTGTTCCGCTGTCTGAGGGGCTAAACCAAATGGGGTTGGAGGACAGCTCGCATGGAGAAAAGTCCGACATGGAGTCGGCGCACGTTGCGGTGGAACCACCAGTTCCAGATGAGTCATCCGAAAAGATCCCCGACTCAGCCGCAGCAACAGACAAAGCCCCAGAAACCGTGCAGCCGCTGCCAGAGAACAACCCGGAACCGTCGCCCGTGGGATTGGCAGAATCCGTTCCACGAGCTGAAACTCAGGAGCCAGCCTCACCCGAACCAACCGCGCTGCCAGTAGACTCTCAACCCCCCAGCCAAGAGGGGACGGGGTCCGAACAAGTGGGGACTGAGAAAGAAAGGCAGACTACAGCGGTTCCCGAGGCAGGAGACGCTTCCAAAGAAAAGGCTGCAGAAAAAGAGGTCGCCGCTGAGCCGATGGTGGAAGAAGAGAAACCAGCAGAGACGGCAGTTTTGGCGACTGAGGTTTCCTCTGTTAAGCCAAAAGAGACCGTGGCGTTGAAGGGGGAGGCACCCGCTGAATGCATGGAACCGGCCAAAGAAGAGAAGCCTGAAACCCCGATGGAAGCCAAAGCCGCAGAAGGCGTTCCACCTGAGACGATCGCTGCCGAGCTTAAAAATGAAGAGGACGCAGTCCCTGTACCTGACTCCCTGGCCTTCGCCCTCCTGGATCGAGAGCAGACCAAAAACGCCCTGCGGACGTCCCGCACCCTCGTCGTCCTCCGAGGCCTCCCGGGAAGCGGCAAAAGCTTCTTGGCGCGCGCCATAGCCGACGCCTACGAAGGCCACTGCTCTGTCTTCTGCGCCGACGACCACGGCGTGAAGCCGGAGACTCCAGACTCCTCCGTGGAAGGATACCGGGCTCTGGATGAGGCTCTGCTGGCCTGCTGCAGTGCTGGGGCGGCTTCGTCCGCGCTGATGGTGGTGGACGACACTAACCACACCCAGGAGCGACTGGCCCGCCTGGGGGACATCGCCATGCAGCACCACCTAGTCGTGGTGTTTCTGGAGCCGCGCACCAACTGGCGCAGAGATCCAGCACAGCTGACCAAGAAGACCAGGCGTGGAATGGAGGTGGCCCAACTAGAAGCCATGAGGGGTTCAATTGAGGAAATGTCAATTCCTCTCTACTATGGCTGGTTCCTTCTCTCCTCCATCCAGGACAAGGTTAGATGCACGTCAATGGACTTCCTGAAAACGCTGGACACCTTGGAGGCCTTCAAGAAGCACTTGATTGACTGTGAGTGTGTTTTATAGATTAATTCAGTTAATATGACCGGTTTAGACAAACTTAAGATGGTGTGTATTTTAAATCTTAGGAACTACTAATGTAGCTGATCTTCTTCTGTTCAATAGTCACTGGTAAAGCTGAGAAGGAAGTGGACTTGGAGCAATACTTTGAAGCTAAAGGAACCCTCCATTGCACTACAAAGTTCTGTAACTATGGAAAAGTAGAGGGTGCCAAGGAGTATGCACAGAATAAAGTAAGACTTACAATTTGTTTGCCTAAACCTTTTTTTGCAGTAAACATTTATAAAAAATATAATTTACAGCCATCTTCCTGCATTACACCTTATTGTATTCAAGGCATTGTGTGAACATTAGAAAGGGGAACATCCTAACAAAGTAATATTTCTCTGTATTAAAAGTCCGTCTTGTGATTCATTATTAATTCTGCAGGCTGTCGGGGATTTCTACGGTTCTGCCTTCGAGCTGTCCCTCAGTGCCCTCTTTGTGACGCCTCGCACTGTTGGTGCCAGAGTGTCCCTTTCCGAGGAGCAGCTTTTGCTGTGGCCAGCTGATGCCGAGAAGGAGGCCGGGCCCGCCTCCCTGCCCCCGGGTAGCCGCGCCCACGTTACTCTCGGCTGTGCCGAGGGAGTTGAGCCGGTTCAAACGGGCCTGGATCTGCTGGAGATCCTGGCCCTGCAGCAGGGAGGCCAGCAGGGGGAGCTCATCGAGGAGATGGAGCTCGGCTCGCTGACCTACTACGGCGAGGGGAGGTGGCTGCTGAGCCTCAGAGAGCCCATCGGTGCCCTGGCATGCTTCTCCAGCTTCTACGGGCCCAGGGAGCTCGAGGTCCTCAAAAAGGAACCAGAGAAGAAAAAGAAGCCAAAGTGCACCATACTGTAAATGGCAAATGCTGGGGAGTGTGTCCGGGATCAATAGTGAAATTAGGACTTGGGCTTACTCTGTGCAAGGTTTGTGTGTGTGTGTGTGTGTGTGTGCAGTGTTTAGGGTTGTTTATAGCCAGCCTAAACTCACAAGCGGTGTGCCTTTTTTTTTTTTGTGTTCCTGTTTTGCACCACAACCCAAGATGCCTTCAATCCAGTTGGGCTAGTTGACAACATTATTCAGTATCTTGTATGACCTGTCGGTGGCAGTATCTAGCTGTCTGCTGGAGTGTTAGCTGCAGTTTTAGAAGGTAGTATAGCCTCCTTCCAGAGCTAGTTATCTAAAACTTCTAAATGTAGATTACCTCCTTTACACATGTTAGTGTCTGTCAATAGCCAAATGTGAAAAACTAGGTACTTTCATTGCATGCATCACAAGTAAAAAGAAAAAAAGCTGTCTGTCACATATTCATGACATTTGCATTTTAAGCATTGCATTTTCCAGCAATGACTATAGTAACACATGTCTGCCCTGCTTAAAGTACCTTTACAGCTTCAACTGAATTTGTTTGCTGTCCTTTTTGGCTTACTTGTAAGTGGGAAAACTAGCTGTCATTTCTGTGTAACCGTCTCTGCTGCCTAGTTAAATAGCATATGGGCTAAAGTTATCCAAGTGTATTAGAATGAATGTCATTCATAGAGGTGCTTCCTTATAAAGTCCTTGCACTTTGCATAGTTTGAAATGGAGAACGCTGATTTGTTGCAGCAGCTTGCACTTAATACTTATCCAATGCTGTGAACCCAAATTCATGTTTTGCAACCCTTTTCTACTGCGCAAGACTGCACCATCGATCCCTTTTATTGTCTTTGAACAGCACTTCATGTATTGCAGTTTAAATTTGTATCTCCTGTGACTAATTTTTGAAGGGAAATTCCTACTTTGTGTAGCTCTTATGAATCACTATTTTTGCACTTGTTTTGTACACTTAATAAAAGAACATGCTTTGCTCCGACAATACAATTTTGCAGTGTGTTCAATATTGCTGATGCAGTTTGGTGTCCAGCATGCTGATGCCTCAGTTTAGCTACATCCATCTCTGCACGCAGTTGTAGTTTCCTGCATCAGCAGATGGACATCAGTGGGGAGATGTTGTATACACCTAACCTCTATTAGCTTCCACTGCCTTGTGTAAGAGTTTGAACTAATGAAATACTGTTTAAAAAAACACAGGATTTCCCAATTTCTCTGATCTCCTGTCAGTTTGCATTTGTGAAAGAGTCTGGCAAAATGCCTGGCAAAACTATAAATTCATGCACTGCTAAGAAGCTCAGGTTATCAATCGCAATCTACAATTCTAATTTATAATTCATAAAATACTATTTTTATCATGGCTGAAACACACACCGTAATGAAACTCGTTTAATACTAAATTCCATAATTAGTTTATACAAGTGCCAATGGGCTGTATTCTGCGGTTTCACCATTAAAGTATGTTTAAAGATGCAACACGCTTGTGTAATCCACTGCATCCTTTGTACTCCAGGGTGACTGGAGTTTGTTTCGATCAAGGACAAGTTAAAGATCATGAACTGATTTCTATTTATAATGTTCACTCCAAAGTTCGGGATGCGCGGTGTCAGACCTCATCAGCGGGTTGTGAACCAGACCACGTGGTTCCCTCATTGGTAGCTGTGTTGATAAAGAACAATGTCAACCAATCACAATGAGCCGTTTTTTACTCCATGAGTGGTGTGTGGGTGAGAGAGAGCTTAAGCTAATGACGCCTTCAGGTACTCCCTGGAATCTGTTTCAGAAGTTTTTCTAAAATATGATTCGAAAAATGACGGTGTGACAAATATTTAGAATCTGTGTTTAAGTGAACACTACTACTGCCTAATGTGCATTTCCTGGAGGAGGAAATGCACATTAGGCACGTATTGTTTACGTTTGATGTTGCAATGAGTATCAGCTATAAGCAAACAATAGTTTAATTAATTCACGTATTTAATTATGTTATTGTATTCCAGAATCTCAGATGAAAAAAATCTTACTTGTTGATACATATTCTTAGCAAACTAATATTTAAATCGGATTTCTATATTGATATAAAATATCATATTTTCATTCTGTGTTTTGCAGTGGTGAAATGTAATCAAGCTTGTTCACGTAACGGAAGTAATGTACTTTGTTACTTTGTTACACATTTGAGGTATTTGTCTTAGCTTTTTTAGGATTATCATTTTTCATCGCCTTCCTGTCCAATGAGCAGAATACCATATATTTTTCTTACATTCTTTCTGAATTAAAAATTCAGTTAAACCTACAATTACTGGATTTGCTCTGCTCGGTGGCCTTGCACCGCGTTGTTCCGATATTTCCCAGTATCCCTGAACGCAGCAATAGAGCATGGTGTGAAATGAACCAATCAGAAGCCAGGAAATGTCAGCCCAGCCTATCGGCTGATGGGTGATTGGAACAAAACTCCCAGGAAGCCCTCTTCCTCCGCACCTCTCTTATCCACACAGGACAGGAGAGAAGCTACATTGCTGGGAACATTTGCACTTACACCTGCAATTTACTTCTAGAACCGTCTGGGGAAGAACATACGAAAGGTAAATTACCATTTTTGTTGTTGTCTTTTTATTCATTTTAACTATTTGTTGATACTTGCTTAAACTCTTTTTGTCTCTCTCTCTGACCAAAATGAAAAAAAAGTTGCTCTGCTCGGTCAGCCACTTTAAAACACGCCACATCACGGTTATTCAAGTAGTTTGAGTTATTGAAGGATGTCCTGGAGTGCTGGCTACTTGCCAAAAGCCTTTGCTGTCAGACCGGTTCGTCAATGAATGAACTGTGCAAAGTCGCTTTTATTGCACGCGCCAGGATGTCGAAACGGTGACGTCAAAAGCGAATAAGAGGCACCGACTTTCCTCTTCCTACCTCGCTGTCTGTTTGATTTAACAGCAGTCAAACATGTGTTGGTCCAGAAGTCTGATGCTGTCTCCTCCTCCTCTTCCTCATCCTCCTCCTCCCAGTCACCCATCATCGCCTAAATGTTATTGTGCGTCATCTGAATCGGTGTTGTTGCTGATGTGGCGCGTTGATATTTAATGCCTCTGACGGTTCGCTTTAACAGAGGAAAATGACGATGCATGAATAGAGATCCGGATGATCCTGGCTCGCTGTGGGGACTCGAGGGACGGGCGCGATGATCAATAATGAGAATGGACCCACTTAAGAAAGTGTGGAGACGCATCGGGGCTTTCAGCTTAATGAAACACGTACTTTGCACGGACAGTGACTCTGATTTAGGAGAGACGCTGATTATTGAAACCCTGCGTTCGAGCTTTAATAAGCTAATAAACATCCATGCACATTTGATTTGAGGTAGAAACATTGATAATAGTAATAATTGATAATAGTTGATCAGCTGTTGTAGTTCGCCCAGTGTTTGTGTGTAACAGTATGTGTGTATATATATATATATATATATATATATATATATATATATATATATAATCAATATTCCAAAAAAACGCTATTGCATTCAATTAGCCAAAATAAATTCTTCAAAAATAGGTTTGTTTGAATCTGACATTACACACAGTGGTGTAGCAGTGTTATGTGTAGTCTATATTACAGCTTAATTCATTTCCAATATTTCATGATTTTGGGTCGTTGAAGGAAAAATGATTCCCATGTTTCTATGTGTCTCCTCTAAGGAACCCGTACAGGAATAAGACCGGCATTGTCTATCAGGTTTTGATTTATATGAGAACGCTCCAATCGTTGGTGGAATTCACTTTTTAAATGGCCGCCTCTGGTTGGAAAGGATCCACCCTTACGTCTTGCTGTGTGTGTTTGTCCTGTTGCAGATGACCTCATCGAGAGAAGCTTGTGGCCAAAGTGCAAAGGTCCTTTTTGTAATCAAAATTTAGTGCTGCTAATAATCGTTTACTAGTTTCCCTGTCTACGCTGTGCCTGTCATGCTGGCGGCAGTCATTTGTAATCTGACTGTGCAAAAGGCAGATCTTCTTCGTCAAGATTAGCTGCATCGTTCAATGCCTTAAATACACTAAGTGCTGCTGTCTTATTAACCTGACTGCGAGACCATTTCTTGACTGTTTTTTTTCTCATTCATAATGGAGATCTTTCAGAAAACAGTAAGGAAAGATGATGCTAATTCTGCATCTCTCTCTTTCTGTCCACGGTGTATGTTTTGTGTATTCACCCCCCTCTCCTCACCTCTACCAACCCCTCTGCCTCTCCTCAGTGTCAGTGACCAGTCATGTCGGCCAAAGCCATCTCCGAGCAGACGGGAAAGGAGTTCCTCTACAAGCACATCTGCACGTCGGCGGCTGTGCAGAACCGATTCCGCTACGCCAACGTGACGGCCGAGACCGACTTGGACCGACTGGCCAAGGAGCACCCGTGGCTGCTCACCGAGGTGAGGCCAGAGGCTGAGGCAGAATCCGAGTACGCAGGGACGACGTAAGAACGTCCTCGGCTAAACGAACGGTGTCTAATGTAATAAACGGCATCGAGCACAGGCCTCCTGGAGGCAGCGCAGGGAAACAAGCTCCTCTTTAAGGAGACAATCACTCAGGCCGGCAGCAGAGTGCCCTCTCGGCGCTCGTTATGGGACGTCCCGGTTTGTCCGCCTGCATGAGATCGTGACGTCCCCTCGCTTGGAGATCACCTTCCCCTGGCAGATAGATGGGCTCTAATAGAAGCTAATTGAATTACGTCGTGACTCATCTTGCAGGACCAGAAGACATTCTCCCCCCGTCCCTCCCCCCATCCCTCGCTCCTGGCTGAAGTTTTTTGGTTTTTTTACCCTGGAAGGTACGAGGAGGAGGTGGAGGGCAGATGCACGGAGATATATGTGCAGTGGAATTGATTATGAAATTGCATTAACTTTCTCCGTCATCCCTGTTTCTTTGCTCACTGGCGAGCACCCAGATACTAATGGGTCCACTGTCGTGACCTATTCTCTTCATCTGGCTTGCGAGTGAGGTTGAGCAGGCTCGGTTGGGGGGGGGGGGGGTTGGGTGTAGTGTCGCATTTGCGTGAGAAGGGAGAGATTCCTGCCCGGGTGAAGTTCACCTCAACTTCCAGGTGGTAAAAGGGTGTCTGGATCTGGCATTTGCTGGTAAATAATAACTCGACACCTGCGGAGATGAACAGTTTAGAGATGTTATATATCATTTTCACTCATGAGCCCCATTTCAAGGCTGGATTCCTGTTTTATGATCTTTGTGGAAAGATCCTTATTGGACTAGTTTGTCAGTTATTTTGGAACAATAATCTTAATAAAATAAAAAACTACATTTGAATTAGAGTTGCATTTGAGTTTTACTTAGATATGTTTTCTCTTAAATAATTTCTTGGGTGATTAACTGATATTCCACATTGAAATAAAAGATCTAGAGAACTAATCAAGAGTAGCTGTTGGGAAATTTAAAAATAGCCTTTTCTCTTTTTACAGCAATCTGCCCGAAAATACAACGCAGTCTGAATGTAGATATCTTTCATAATAACTGCCATCAATTATCTTCCTGCTGCAGAGGCTGGTGGTGAAGCCCGACCAGCTGATTAAGCGGCGAGGGAAGCTGGGCCTGGTCGGCGTCAACCTGGACCTGAACGGCGTCCGCGAGTGGCTGAAGTCCCGCCTCATGAGAGAGACGATGGTACGCCATCCGCCCTCTGCTTCTCTTCTCCCCCGAGCCCCCTCCCCCCCCCCCCGTCCTCTCAATCAATATTATCCCAGCCCACCTTTATTCAGACACCTCCCCCCGTTGCCCTTTACTTCACCCACCACTTTGTTTTGCACCGATCGTTTGTTTCCTCGTCAGTTCCTCTGTTGTTTTGTTCCGTCGATCCGCCGGTTTGAATAAGCAGTCAGCACAGAAGATCCGTCACCGGGACGCGGCCTCGCCTCAGGAAGCGCGGCGCTGCGCTTCTGGAGGGACTGGGATGGCTCGTGAAGCAGCGGGCGTCAGCGTTTGTGTTTGTTGTGTTGCGAAATTGTGTAGACGTGCGGCTGTATCTCTCCGGGGGATGAGAGGAAGCTGTCGGCTGCTGCTGGCGGCAGTAAATAAGAATAAATGAAGCCACCGCTGTAGTATGGCCGGTGTTTTTTTTACTGTAAAGGTTCTAGTATGTCATCTTTATTGTCCTCTTAAGAGTTTATGTAGAATAGAGATAAAGAGGATGTTTTTCTATTGGATGCATGTTGTGACAAACTTGTATTTTTAATTCTGCTGTCTTTTTTGAGTGTAATTTGTTAAATTAAGCCATTCTACCCCATTACGGATCACTTTAACTGCCCTTTGTTCTCGTGGTTAAAGTGATCCATTCATAGCATTAATGGGTTAAGGGCCTTTTCCTTTCTTTTTTTGAATTGGTCTGAGCCCACTGTGGGTGTTTTTTTCCCCCTCACATTTGCCATTCTCTTTTTCTCAGCAGACTTCAAACTCCCTCTTCCTCTCCCTCGGCCCTTTTTAAAAAAAAAACATTTTTTTGTCTTGTTCTCTGCGGCTGGCTGTTCTCAGCCGCTCCCTGGTTACTTGGTGCCTGTTGGCCTTTAGCAGAGGATCGATGACAGCCCCTCCAAATGAGTTGTGTTACTCCTAAGTAATATGTGACATTTTCCTCCTCCTCCTTCTCGACTTGTCTCCTTTTTCCATTGAAATGTTAATGGTCTTGGTTATTGTATCATTTTGATTCAATGTGGCTTTTGTCTCCTCCTCCTCCCATCAGTCCAGGAAGCATGTCGGAAAATAAATGCAGACACTGCTACGTTGATATATAAAAGCCCACAATCAAGACAATAGTGTCTCTTTTTTTACCAATAAAAATGCATGTTTTACTGTCTTTATACTGTTTCTATCTACCAAGCATTTCTTTTAATGCATCTTCTTATAATGACTTTGTTGTTGATCCTCAGGTGGGAAAAGCCAAGGGCGTACTCAAGAATTTCCTTATCGAGCCTTTTGTCCCCCATAAGCAGGTAACGCTCTCATTACCTCCGTTTTTACATGTTCCCACTACTACCAGTGCGCACTAATCGCTGCCATAATACAAATGTGTGGTAAATAAACATTTACCGAGTCACCGCCGTCATTTCAACGGCTCCGTTCTGCAGGAGGAGGAGTTCTACCTGTGTGTCTACGCCGCCCGCGAGGGCGACTACGTGCTGTTCCACCACGAGGGAGGGGTGGATGTGGGAGACGTGGATGCCAAGGCGCAGAAGCTGCTCGTTGCAGTGGATGAAAAGATCAGCGAAGACTCTGTGAAGAAGGAGCTGCTGACTCACGTCCCCCGCGACAAGAAAGCGTGAGTCGGATGGAAGCATTTGTTGTCGTGCGTGTGCAAAACTTCAGTGATGGCCGCACTCTAAATTGTCAGTGCTTTATTCTTTGTTGTTTGCATCGAATGGTAACGCTCAAAGAAATGAATCAAACCATATCATTAAACCATTAAAGGGCTTTGTGATAATATTCCCAACTCCAATGAACCCATTTTAATATATTAGCTTTTTAGTATAAGATGTTGAATTGTACCGCATCAATGTCTCTATTATTGTTTCCACCTGGACGCCCTTAATATAATGATGCCCATAGTACGTTTTTGTATATTGTCGCTAGTTGTTATACTATTCGCATGCCATGCTTTTCTTGTCAAAAATATGTTTAAATGACATAAAGTACTTTATTCTATTCTATTTTATCTTAAAAACCAAAGCGTGTATATATATATATATATATATATATATATATATATATATATATATATATATATAGCAACTTATTTGTGTTGCTTTACAGCAAACTACTGAAAAAACAGGGTTTATTTTCCTTTTTTTTTTTTTCAAATTAAACCAATGAAGGAAAAAGGGTCACACAAATGGAGCAAGAGAAAGCACTTTGATATTGGCAGTAAATGTGTGTGTGTGGGGGGGGGGGCAGCAGTCGGGCGAGGTGGAGGATGGAGAGTTTCCATCAGACAAATGAGAAACTGTCCGCCCGTCTTCGATCAGCCTCCACCCCCGGCTTTCTTATTTTTTTATACATCACCCCATTCAGAGCATGTCCGTTTATTTTGATGGGTACGACCGAGGTCCTGCCTCTCCCCTCCGTCTCTCCATTTGAAGAATCACCCCGTGCACTCTCCTCCTCTCGCTCCGGATTCAAAACAAAAGCCTCACTCGGCCGGTTTCGTCGCCCTCCCGTCAGAAGCAGACGTGGGGAAGCTGAGTCACTCTGGGTTTTGGGTTTGGGTCATGCCCCCCCCCGCGCTCCCCCCGGTCTGAGTCCTGACAACCGGCTGCGTGGTTACGCAGGCTGCGAGCCTCCTGCACAACTGACAGGCAGGAGAGCAAAAGGCAGCCTCTCCCTTTTCCTCCCCCTCCCCCTCCAGCAACCCCCACTCCTCACTGCTCTGTTTTGACATGTGCAAGAGGAAATAAATTAGCTTTTTTATTTATTTATTTCCCTCTCTCCAGTAGCTAATTTACCGGTACGCTGTTTCCAGTCCAGCCCGACTGTGACAATCTGTCAATGATACTGCCTGTTGTTCGTCACGGAGTGAATTACATTGAACAAATTATATTTAAAAAAGGTATAACGGTCAGGCCTTTTTAAATCACCTCGTTTATGTTGTACGAGCAAATTGTATTGCAGAGTAAATATTAAAGAATTAGGAATAAATTAATGTTTACTTAAAAATGTAAAATGTGATGAAATCCAACGCAAACTGTAAAACGCGTCTACACAGTTTTGCATTGCATTTATTTTCTTCTTTAAATTGATCCTTCCCTGTTTGATTTAAATGAAAGTCCACCTAAATAGACGCGGAGACGACCGTCTGTCCATTTTCTAAACGAACAGTTTCAACCGTATCGTGACTAGACCTCTTTAACGTGATTAACGGCACGTCCTCGGTCGCTGGTGGTGCTGAAGCAACGGATCCCAGCGGCAAAGACGAGAGTTGATCGAGCTGAACGTCGTCTCTCTCCGCAGGGTCCTGGCCAGCTTCATTGTCGGGCTCTTCAACCTGTATGAGGACCTGTTCTTCACGTACCTGGAGATCAATCCAGTGGGTGAGTGGTTTGCTTTTCTTTTTTTTGACATTAACATTTTGTTCCAACACATATTCAAAAATATGTCATCAGATTATGGGATTTGAAAGGGGGCATCAAAAGGAAATTGGAGATGAAAACACCAATGCATAATGAAATGTCTTCCTAAAGCCAAGAGGCAGAACTTTATTCTTGGTGATTTTCATTACTAGGGGAGGAAACCATTTAATAATTCAAGCACTTCCTGTTTGATGAAGGCAGCCTGTATTTAAAATAGAATAATTGGGCACCAGTATGTTTCTTTCTGGCAGCTGTTTCTGTGCATGTTGCTGCTTTGATTTCATGCCACCTCCTCCCCATCTTCACTTATCTTCCACCTCCTGCAGGGACGACAGGAAGGTTGTGGTCACTTGTACCTGAAGTCCTCCCTGGCCGAACTGATGAAACTCAGTGGGTCGGAGTATTGATCTCTTTTTATTCTATTTTCTCTTCTCTCAGTGGTCACAAAAGATGGAGTTTACGTGCTGGACATGGCAGCCAAGATCGATGCCACGGCCGACTACATCTGCAAGGCCAAGTGGGGAGACGTGGAGTTCCCTCCACCCTTCGGCCGGGAGGCTTATCCTGAGGTGAGGGAGCAGCGACGTGTTGCCATCAAATAGTTGGTGCTGCTCTCCAAAGAGGGAGAAGAAAGCTTGTTAGGAGTGTTAAGTGAGAAATGTAAATTTACGCAAATGATCGATCTTTAGAAATGTTTCTGTATCATTTCAAATGAGATCATCACAGATTTACCTCCAATACTGAATGGGCTAAACTATGAGCTTTCACACAGTGCCTTTCATTGACGCATAAATTGTTATTTTTTGTTTTGGCCTAAAGTAGGCACAGTGTATTGCTCTGCTTCTGTCCTGTAGTAGCTCCTGGCCACACTGCCCCATGTGTATTATTAATAATAATATGATGGTCCCTCTGGAGAGGAATGGAGACGAACGCAGAGCCTGGCTAAAGGTCGTCTCGGCCTGCGCACAAAGACTGCGAGACGTAATGAGATGCATAAGATGCTTTTGTTAAAAATATCAGATTTCTATTGCAGAATCTTTTAATAATAAAATCTAATTTTGAACTATGCAATTCATACCAGCTGCGTGACTCCGTAATATGTATGCAGAACTTTTCTTATTGCCGGCTGATGCATGCAGGAGCTCGTTTGAGACCGAGTGTCTGCGCGCCAGACGGGCCGGTCTAATTGGGCTGCTGTGAGACTCGAGTGGGGATGAGGGACAGCGGGTGTCTTTGATTGGAGGCTTCTTTCCTCTCAGCCGCCAGCTGTGACCCTGGCTGCCACAAACAACCACTGACACCCATCAGCCTCAATCACTCTTGATATTTCTGAAATTTTTTAAATTTACTAGCTCTTTAAAATTCACGCAAGCACAGCAAATGAAGGTTACAATCCCACATCCCACCTACTTGTGTAGAAATCATATCTCATAAGCGTCTCACAACTCTCGATCGGCCATCTCTTTAACATCTGCAGGAAGCCTACATTGCCGACCTCGATGCCAAGAGCGGTGCTAGCCTGAAACTGACCCTGCTCAACCCGCGAGGAAGGATCTGGACCATGGTGGCGGGAGGAGGCGCCTCGGTGGTGTACAGGTACCTGGTCGCAGCACTCCGTGCAAACATGCAATGTATTAGAAATAACAGGACGTGTTCTTCTGGCTGCTGAAACATTACATTGATAACACTCTGCGTAATTGAGTTTAGCGACGTATGCCAGGGATGCAGTAGTGAGGCCGGTGGTGCAGCAGCTCAGGCTCCGTGGCCAGCTGCCTGCTAAATTAGATTCTTGAGGTTTTTAGTGAGTCTGGTGGAATGAGCGCGTCTCCCTCCTTCCCTCCCTTCTGTTGGAGGTGCACAGCGTGACAAGCAGACACCTCAGCCGTGACTAATTATTCCCGCTGTGCACTGCGACGTAAATTCCTGTTGTCGTCTACAGTTCAGTGGTAATTCAGAACTGATTAATTATGTTTGGTAAGCTCATTTCATTTAGGACATTGATACGTCTCAGCACAGGAGACAAAACGCTGCTCGTGGTTTGGCTTTATGGTCTGTGTGTGGGTGACCCGTATAAACCTCCTCTTTAGTGACACAATCTGTGACCTGGGCGGCGTCGACGAGCTGGCCAATTACGGGGAATATTCCGGCGCACCGAGTGAACAGCAGACCTACGACTACGCCAAGACTATCCTGTCCCTGATGACCAGAGAGAAGCACCCTGACGGTAGGAGGACCGTTCTGCGTCCACTCACAGTGGTCTTTTTCTCTTCTAAAATTGTGTTTCTGTACTGAACCTTTCCAGGAAAAGTTTTGATCATCGGCGGAAGCATTGCAAACTTCACGAACGTCGCCGCCACGTTTAAGGTGCGGTTTCACGGGCTTTTTATTTACGTAGCCGCCGTGAGGGCGCTTCACGATCAAGGAATTCATTGAGCTTCATCCTCGTCTTTGCTAGGGCATCGTTCGCGCCATCAGAGACTATCAGGTGCCCCTGAAGGAGCACGAGGTCACCATTTTTGTCCGCCGCGGAGGCCCCAACTACCAGGAAGGCCTCAGAGTGATGGGAGAAGTTGGTATGTTGAACTCCTCCCTTGAGTGTATTTTTAATCTGTAAGCACCCTACCGGTATTCAAAACGCCGTCCGCTCTCCGCAGGCAAGACGACCGGGATCCCCATCCACGTCTTTGGCACAGAAACCCACATGACCGCCATCGTCGGCATGGCGCTGGGCCACCGGCCGATCCCCAACCAGCCGCCGGTCGCCGCCCACACCGCCAACTTCCTTCTCAACTCCAGCGGCAGCGTGTCGGTACGACACATTCTGACCCCACAGAGACAAATGGGCTGTCCCGCTGTGCGGTGACGCAGTGAGCAGAGTGACTCGCTTTAGTGTCTTCTCCTTTTGTGGTCAACCAGATGGCTCTTTTGTTAAAAAAAATAATGCATTGTGCATCTTTGTGGATGGCTCTCACTCGCAGAATCTTGAGATCAGTCAGTAACTGACAGTAAGTAAGTCAGTAGCTGCAGCTGCCCCGAGGCATCCATTAAGTGTTGTGCAGCGCCGAGGCTTTCAGCAAAGTGTGCGAGTGCTCGCTCGTGGGCCTGCTAGTATGCACAGTCGTGCACGTATTCGCCAATTTTGCTTTTGCTTTTATCCTTCAAGCTAAGACTGTGAAATCCAGTGGGTTGTACTTCACAAAGGACTACTTGTGTAACCGATGAAATGAAGAATTGAGGACACAAGGACTTGATTTGTAACAATCCATAACATTACATGTCATGCAGCTGACGCTTTTATCCAAAGCGACTCACAATAAGTGCATTTCAACCACAAGGATACAAACGAAGAAGAAGAAGAAAGAAGAACTGTTGGACGTTTTATGGAACGTTTTATGACTTTAACCACCCTGGTCCTTGACTCGTCTTTACGATCGGCACGCACACACACTTTTACATTACATTACAGGTCATTTAGCAGACGCTTTTATCCAAAGCGACTTACATTACACTTTAAACCCATGGCTTTTTCACATTTTTGCCCGGGGAGCAATTAGGGGTTAGGTGTCTTGCTCAGGGACACTTCGACATGGAACATGGGGCAGCCTGGAATCGAACCACCAACCTTGTGCTTCCCAGCACACCTTCTCTTACCCCTGCGCCACAACGCCCCCTTTTAAAACGCACAACTCCCTTTTTGTCATTTTCCAGACCCCAGAATCCAGCAGAACTGCTTCTTTCTCTGAAACCAGAGCCCAGGTCGAGGACTCGCCAGCAAAAAAGGCCAAAGGGGGAGCTCCCATCGGTGAGGAAAAAAAAACCTGCGCTTTTAGATCTAGGCGCTGTGAACGCTGAGGTTAGGATGTGTTTCCATGCATGGGTCCACCGCTGAGCAGCATGACAGGTGGAAGGAAGCCTTGTGATCATGCATGGATCCTTTCAGGTATTATAACGCCACCTTCTGTCATTCAAAGCCACTACAATGGAAGTTATTAGTAATTTAATGCATACACACCTAATCCTATTTTAAAGGTGAAATTGTTTGTTTGTGTTTTGCGGTATGATTATATAAACCAAAAGTAATCTCCTTGATGGGAGAAAAGGCCTCATTGACCTCTTTTTCATCCACATGTCGGTGGTGGTGTTGTTATTTGTACCTTTCCCTTTTTTGCGTGTGAAACATTTTATATTATAAACTTCACAGAAACCAAGAGAAGAACAAACATTATGTCTAAAAGCCATAGATGTTTTTTCTTGTTGTTGTTGTTGAAAACAAACAGTTTTGTGACCTGGTATTCAGATCTCTTTCCGTAACAGCTTTGCTTTCCCTACAGCCAAGCCAACTACCCTCTTCAGCAAACACACCAAGTCCATAGTGTGGGGTATGCAGACCCGGGCAGTACAGGGCATGCTGGACTTTGATTACGTCTGCTCCAGAGAGGAGCCATCTGTGGCAGCTATGGTCTACCCGTTCACGTAAGTGTGCTTTTACTTTGGTGAATACTTCTGTTCTACTGTGAGAAATAATGAACAGGGTCCTTTCACTGTGTGACTTATATGTGTTCTGCATGGCTGCATTTCAGTGGAGACCACAAACAGAAGTACTATTGGGGCCATAAAGAGATCCTCATACCAGTGTATAAGAACATGAGTGACGCCATGAAGAAGCACCCAAAGGTGGACGTGCTCATCAACTTTGCCTCTTTGCGCTCAGCCTTTGACAGCACCATGGAGACGATGCAGTACCCACAGGTAAGTGCAAGCCCGCCCTTTGCCACCTGCAAGGTATTTAATATACGCTGAGAAATCTACATTGGCGTCATTCTACTGCTTGCCTTCAGATTCACACCATTGCCATCATTGCTGAGGGAATCCCTGAAGCGCATACCAGGAAGATCATCAAGGCCGCAGACAAGAAGGGCGTGAACATCATTGGACCAGCAACCGTTAGTCCTGCTTCCCTTCCCGTCGGGATTATCAACAATTTCACTCCTGCCGTCTTGTATGCCGTCTTATGCGAGCAGACCGACAAATGTCGTGTTTTTTTTTTCTTTTGTTGTTGTTTCACCAGGTTGGAGGAATCAAGCCCGGCTGCTTCAAGATCGGGAACACGGGGGGAATGTTGGATAACATCCTGGCCTCCAAGCTCTATCGCCCAGGCAGCGTGGCCTACGTGTCTCGCTCGGGCGGCATGTCCAATGAACTTAACAACATAATCTCGCGCACCACCGACGGTGTTTTTGAAGGCGTGGCCATTGGCGGTGACCGGTATGAAGCTTACTTTTATCCGCAGCGTGTAAAGCGGCTTCGAATCGGCCCTTAAAACGTGGCCCCTTTTGTGCAGATACCCGGGCTCAGTGTTCACTGATCACGTGCTGCGCTACCAGGACACTCCTGGAGTGAAGATGATCGTTGTACTGGGAGAGGTAAGGAATAAATCACACACACACACACACACACACACACACACACACGCTGGTGCCGGCAGCTTCCAAGCGGTCATTGATTTGCTACGTCCCAAATCTGTCTCTCTCCGCCTTCAACAGATTGGAGGCACCGAGGAGTACAAGATCGGCCAGGCCATCAAACAGGGCAGGATCACAAAGCCAGTGGTGTGCTGGTGTATTGGTACCTGCGCTACAATGTTTTCCTCCGAGGTGAGCGAGCAGACGCAGATTAGATACTGTAACTGCTACTGCTACTCTGAAGACATCTCTGACCTCGTTCTACCCCTTCTCACCTCCTCAGGTGCAGTTCGGGCATGCCGGAGCCTGTGCCAACCAGGCCTCCGAGACCGCAGTAGCTAAGAACAACGCTCTGAAGGAGGCGGGTGCATTCGTCCCAAAGAGCTTTGATGAGCTGGGAGAGATCATCAAGTCGGTGCATATTAATTAATTCAGTATCTCTTTTTTGAACAATTCCTGCGCTCCTCATACAATCTTTGTCTTTTTCATCCCTGCAGCTCTGTTTACGATGACCTTGTTGCCAAAGGTGTCATCAAGCCGGCTGTAGAGATGCCTCCTCCCACTGTGCCGATGGATTACTCCTGGGCACGAGTGAGTACGCCCTCAGAACATGAAGGAGTCAAGCTTTCAGCTATACGAACAGGGCAAAAACCAAATGGGGAAACAAATCATCTTGTTTTAAAATGAGTGGGATGGATCACAACAATTATGCAGTTTCTTCACTTTTCCCTTCGGCCTACAGGAGCTGGGTCTGATCCGTAAGCCTGCTTCCTTCATGACGAGTATCTGCGACGAGAGGGGCCAGGAGCTCATCTATGCAGGCATGCCCATCACTGAGGTCTTCAAGTCAGAAATAGGCCTGGGAGGAACTCTTGGGCTTCTGTGGTTCCAGAGGAGGTCAGCCTCATAACGAAGCCGCTGTGATAAACGAACCATTGACCAATCATTTGACCACGTATGGTTATTTCCCCCCTACTTGTGTGCAGGTTGCCGAGGTACGCCTGCCAGTTCATCGAGATGTGCCTCATGGTGACGGCCGATCACGGCCCCGCTGTTTCCGGTGCCCACAACACCATTGTCTGTGCTCGAGCTGGCAAAGACCTCATCTCCAGTCTCACCTCCGGCCTTCTCACCATCGTAAGGCACCTGGGATTTGCGCGCTTTCTTTAGTGACCTACAAAAGTCCACGCTGAGACTTTTTTTTATTTTTTTATTTAGGGTGACCGCTTTGGCGGAGCTCTGGATGCTGCGGCAAAGCAGTTCAGCAAGGCCTTCGACAGCGGCATGCTGCCCATGGAGTTCGTCAACAAGATGAAGAAGGACGGCAGGCTGATCATGGGCATCGGCCACAGAGTCAAGTCGGTGAGTACGACGGCTCCTCAGCATGTGTGGATCCAGTGTGGACGTATCCCTGCAAGTACTAGAGATGGAGGAACCCACAATTGATTTAGAGAAAGGATTTTAAAGAAAGGGACTTTTCTCTGCTGTCGCCAGATTAACAATCCCGACATGAGAGTCCAGATCCTGAAGGACTTTGTGAAGCAGCACTTCCCCTCCACCCAGCTGCTGGACTACGCGTTAGATGTGGAGAAAATCACCACCTCCAAAGTAAGATCATCCTGTCAGTCTTTACTAAGTAGTGACCTGCTGTTTTTTAATTACATAATCGTCTCCCTGTGTGCCTGTTTATTAGAAACCAAACCTGATCCTGAATGTGGATGGCTTTATCGGCGTAGCCTTTGTGGACCTGCTCAGAGCTTGTGGTGGTTTTACAAGGTGAGCTAAATGAATTCTTCCGTTTCTTCGTAAAGTTTACACTCTGTATCTCACCTCTCAAGGTCACCTTTATTTTATGTAAGAGAAAAAAGGCTTTCAAGTTACATTTCTGTATTCAAGATTCTTCCTTGACACTGCTGTAAAATCATTAAATGAGATATTTAATGTTTGCAAATTGGAGACAGAATTAATACGCATACAAGACATGCGTCAAGGCTACTCAAAGGTTCCCTTTTGCAGCGCCAACATACACACTGAGGTAAGGTATTCTAAACAGGGAGGTTTAGCGCACGTACAAAGATCTCACCGTACGGGAACCGTCATGTTCTTTTATCCTGAGACAAACATCTGACCATCACGAGACATCGAGTGGTCGGTAATTTAAAGCCAATTAGCCAAGTGTGGATCTCAAAGACTTGTAAAGATACTAAATATGACAACAAACGCTGAATGTGTCTTCGATAAATAAAGACACTCCTGGTCTGTATGTTTGAGTTTAAGTACAGCATAAGTAGCATTATGCTGACATTGTAGCAGCCTTCTTTTCAATTTGAACAACTCTCATCCGTGTCATCCACTATGGCCGTCACAGGGACGAAGCCGACGAGTTTGTGGAAATTGGAGCTCTGAATGGCATCTTTGTCCTGGGGCGCAGCATGGGATTTATCGGTGAGTCATTTCTGTGTAAAGACACACTGCTACAGTGACAAGACGGCAAACGCTTGACAGTCAATACTTCCTCATGATTCCGCAGGACACTACCTGGACCAAAAGAGGCTGAAGCAGGGTCTGTATCGCCACCCCTGGGATGACATCTCTTATGTGCTCCCAGAACACATGTCCATGTAATCTGTGAGGAGTAAAGCAGAGAGCGTCGGCCCGCTGTCCCCTCACCGAGCCCACACTGTGATCAGTCACCCCCGAGCAGTGGCGTAATATGTAACTATCAATATTGCTGCAAATGTTGAAAAGAAAAGTGTGATTTTTAGTTTTAGAAACCTGTCAGTGCTGCAGCTTTTCCGATGTTAGTGTAACCTGCCAAACTGTGACGCTCTAGTAAAACAAACTCTGGTTTGACTGAGTGAGATTACAAGATAGAGCCGACATACAGCTAAAGGGGGAGAAGTTGATTATTACAACTGACCACCACCACTCTCGTGGCTAGTGAAGTAGTTCTTTACCTCCAAGTATATATCATTGTTGTATTAACTAGCATGTATCACAGACTATTGTGTCTCTGTGCAGCTCTCTTCATTGTGCCACTTGCGAAGTTTGCAAAACGGGGTTGAACATGTAGTGCAATAACGCCTATAATATGAGAACATACTGTAGATCAGAGCTTTATTTATGTATAGATGTATTGAAGTTATAGTTTGGATTGTCTGTAAAGTTTTTGACACACCGTGTGGGGGTGAAGAAACATCAGCGTGCTTACCGTGGCAAAAGGAACCATTATTACTCACTCCTGGCAGGTGCCGCAATTTGCCGTCCCCAGAAAATATTCTGCCTCACCTGGTGGAAAATGAGGGAGATTCTCAAAAAGTTTGAGTTAAAACAGAAATTGAATGTTAGTCATGAGAATACTAAAAATAAAAAATGCCTCCCCAGGCATGTTGCCACCAGCCAAAGGATGTGGTTATAGTAAAGCCTTCTATGAGAAATTAGCTATGAAAAGATGACATTTTCTCTATTTTTTTAAGGTCCGTTTTGTCTTTATAATGTTGACATGAATGCACTAGTCCCATTACGATAACCTAAACTATTATTAGAATATTTGAATCAGCACTAAAATAAATGTTGTCATAATTGTCTTCCCATATTTGTTTCACATGATTAATATACTGGCTCACAATATTATAATTAATAAAGATTATTTAATTTCTTTCTCACAGTACGATTTTAAAAGTAATCACATGCCCAATGTCTTTCCATTTATTACTGACTAATTGCAATTGAACAAATCCAATTAATACACGTCTTTGAACAACCATAAACCTCACCCATATTCTAACAATGTTTGTCATTGTCTTCGATGTGAATTGAACATGACTCTACTGATGTGTTTACAAATGTGTAATTGTCAAATTAAATGCAATTAATAAAACAATACATTGTGTTTGTGTGAGTGCCTGCAGCATCATTATTAAAATATATTTAACCTATGTCCAAAGGTCAACGTGAGTGCTGTTGCTTTTCACTTTATGAAGTGTGAAATCTTTTGGTACAATTGTACAGAAATGCAAACTTGCCCTTTTAATACAAATCAAAAATCTGCCGTGAGTACCACCGTGCGTTTGTATCATTTAAAGAAAACCTGTTGAAATGAAATTGGTGTCCGACTTGCATTTTTATTTCAGACATTGACGGCGCAGATCGTATATCGCAGTTATCGAAACATTCTGATTATTGGGCAACGTCTGTCTTTACGCCTGCAGAGAATACTGCATGCGCGTCACAACGACTTTTCGGTATTAACCTGCTTAGTGGGAGCTGTTTTCCTCTGACGTAACGCGGCCACGCCTCTCCGCACTGCGCATGTCAGCAAACCTGTCTTGTTTCCCGATCTGAAGCTGGTTCCTTTTTCGTTATTTCCAAAACTTCAGTCGACTATGCTCAATGACGGTGACACAAAAAGGTACGTTTTTAGTTTATCTGTGAATGTAGAATCATATATCAGTCGGTGATGCGTTATGCACATTCAGCCAGTGTGCTCTATAACAACGTGACATTCAAGTTAACGCATTGTTTGCTATCGAGCTTCACTAGAATACCATTGCATTTACGGGTTTTCTCTTTAAACACCGAGAATAAGCTACGCACTAAATTATTACATTTTGGAGCTCGTGTACCAACAAATTACTGCCACCTGCTTACACCCAAACAGCAACGGCCAAAACAGGTGTGACCTTTAAAGCTTCATAAAAATCAAATCTCGAACGAAATTCAAAATCCCGGATGATTAAAATCCGTGTCGCATCGAACGCGAAACGCGCTTCACTGTGGTTCCCGTGTCGCGCCTCCACGTACGTCTGTCGCGCGCGCCTTCCTCTCTTCCTCCCCCCCCCCTTTCCTCCTTCGCCACTTCCCCTCATTCACCGCCTCCGTCCCCCGGCAGCACAATGGCGGCGGCGGCCCCCAACCCGGAGGACTCCTCCAGGAGCGGCAGCGGCAGCGGCAGCAGCGGCGCCAGCACGCCCAGCGCCCTCGTCGGAGACGGGGACGCGGAGGAGGCCGAGGACTTCACCTCCTCCTCCCACTGCTCGGAGCTGTCGCGGCGGCAGAACGAGCAGAGGAAGCAGGGCTCCTTCTGCGACGTGACGCTGGCCTTCAGCAGCGGGGCGGCCAGCGGCAGCGTCCAGAGCTGCGAGTTCTCCGCCCACCGGTCCGTCCTGGCGGCGGCCACCGACTACTTCCCGCCGCTGCTCGGGGGGCAGTTTTCCGAGTCGCTGTCCGGTCGCGTGGAGATGAAGGAGTGGAGCTCGGAACTGGGGCCGGACCCGGACACGGTGGAGAGCGTCATCCAGTTCATGTACACGGGAGAAATACGAGTCAGCACCTGCAACGTGCACGAGGTGCTGGAACTGGCGGACAGGTACGCGGGCAGGTGGCTTTCTGTGTGGTTCTTCTGTTTGTTGCATCCAAAGCGTTTGTTTACGTGAGGCCTAGCCGGGCCGGCGCAGGGTGGTGTCATGTGGTCACATCCCTCCAACGCTTGTGTGTTCTCCGTTTGCCCGACAACAGATTCCTCCTGCTGCAGCTGAAGGACTTCTGTGGCGAGTTCCTCAAGAAGAAGCTGAGCCTGACCAACTGCGTGGCGGTGCACAGCCTGGCCCACATGTACACCCTGGACCAGCTGGCCCTGCGCGCCGCCGACATGATCCGCCGCAACTTCCACAAGGTTATCCAGGACGAGGAGTTCTACACGCTGCCCTTCCACCTGGTGCGGGACTGGCTGTCCGACGCGGAGATCACGGTGGATTCCGAGGAGGTGCTCTTCGAGGCCGTGGTCAAGTGGGTGCAGAGGAACGCGGAGGAGCGAAGCCGCTACTTTGAGGAGCTGTTCCGTCTCCTGCGGCTGCCGCAGATCAAGCCCACCCACCTGACCAGGGTGGTGAAAGCCGAGCCGCTGGTGGCCGCCAACGAGGCCTGCCTGCGGCTGGTGTCCGAGGCCGTAGAGGGCCACGCCATCCGCTTCGAGAACCTCAAGTCGACCGACATGGAGTTTTGGTCCTCCCACACGTCCTCCTTTCAGCCCCGCTTCGGCCAGAACATGGACGTCATCATGGTGGTGGGCGGCGTGTCGGAAGGAGGGGACTACCTGAGTGAGTGCGTGGGCTACTTCATTTACGAGGACCGCTGGGTCAACCTGCCGCACATCCACAACCACCTGGACGGCCACGCCATCGCCGCCACCGAGTCCCACGTCTACGTGGCCGGCTCCATGGAACCGGGCTTCGCGAAGACGGTGGAGCGTTACAATCCCAATCGCAACACCTGGGAGCAGGTGAGCAACCTGACCACGCGCAAGCACTCCTTTGGCCTCACCTGTATCAAGGACATACTGTACAGCATCGGGGGCCACGGGAACTTCAGTCCGGGTTTCAAGGACGTCAGCGTGTACGAGCCCGAGTACGACAAGTGGCACAACCTGGAATCGGCCCCCAAGATCCTGCGGGACGTGAAGGCGGTGAGCGTGGAGGACCGCTACGTGTACGTCACGGCCCGCACGCCCGTCGACACGGACAACGAGGACGGGCTGAAGACGGTGACCACGCGCTACGACACGGAGAGCCGCCAGTGGCAGGACGTCGACTCCCTGCCCCTCATCGACAACTACTGCGTCTTCCAGATGGCGGTGGCCTCCACTAACTTCTACCACACGGCCTCCTGCTGCCCCAAGAGCTACGCGGAGCGCGAGGAGGTGGCCAAGCAAAAGATCAGCGGGCGCATCTCCGACGAGATCCTGGAGAGCCTGCCGCCGGAGGTGACCAGCATCGAGGGCGCCGCCATCTGCCACTTCGACGAGGACGTCTTCATCATCGGGGGCTGGAAGAACAGCGACGACGTGGACAAGCAGTACCGCAAGGAGGCGTACCGCTACTGCGCCGAGAGGAAGCGCTGGATGCTGCTGCCGCCCATGCCGCAGCCCCGCTGCCGAGCCACCGCCTGCCACGTCCGCATCCCCTACCGCTTCCTGTACGGCTGCCAGCGCTACCCGATGCCCCAGAACCTGGCCCGCCAGCGGGATCGCATGCAGCAGATGCAGCAGCTTCACCGGCGCACGCTCACCTTGCGCCGGCAGCTCCAGTCGCAGATAGAGTGCTGAGGCGGTCCGCTCTGAACGTAGAAGGGAGGGGGGGGGGGGCGTCAACCCAGCAACCCCTCACTCCCACTGAACTCCGTGCCCTCGGGCCTCTGGTGCTGCGTTGGGTCCATGGCTGATTCGACCCGAGGCCGCGAAACGTGAGGACGGGTGTGCACCGACCCGCTGGTCGTCTCTGACGAAGGATGAGCGCGTTGTAAATATGTGAATAAGAGGATTCTATCTCGTCCAACAACTGAATCCGTTTGTCAAGTATTTTGGTATAGCTGTTTATTTGTTTGTACATAAATAGGATAACGGTGTATATGTAAACATTTACATGGGTATGTTACATTCCTTTTATTGTGTGCCTGAAGTGAGGAGCATTACCAATAACTGCATTCCTACATTAAATTAATCTCGCTTAATGAAGTCTCATTCCATTTTAACACTGTGACAATCTCTTCATTTAAGTAGAACTTATGTCTTAGTTCTACCTTGGAACGGCTTAACAAAATGTGAATGATTTCAGAAAGGCTTTTCATCTTAATCTTTAGTTTACTTTTATTTTCCCTTCAAGAGTATGCTTATTTATAATATATGTTTAACCTATTAAACACAAGAGAACTAGGGATTTTTCTCCTGGCATACGGGGGGTGAGGGGGTGTTGTGTAATTATAAGATAACTGTGATATTGAAAAGATAAAGAATAAGCTATAATATGTCATCTTAACATTGAAATGTTCTATTTGGCCATTGCATTGGGCGTGAATCACTGGCAATGGCTCAATCATTCCTTTCTTTTGCACTTGGCAGTCTCCTGCTCGGTGCTTTTTTATTAGTTCCTGAAAAATTGTTTATATGTCAGAGTGTGTGTGTGTGTGTGTGTGTGTGTGTGTGTGTGTGTGATTTTGGTTCGCAGAGCTTCTCTAACTGCACTTTTTGAAATGTAATTGTCTTAAAGAAACAGGGATTTAAGTTGCCGTTGCACTTTGACTTTGCTTATGTTGTTTGTTTCTTATCAGACAAGTTGATTGTATTATGGAAAGGCTTGGATTTAGCCAAAAAACCTTAAAGTAAGTATGTTTTGATCTTTAACAAACACGTTCTCAATATTCACGGACTTGTTTCCAACATGCAATGTCTTGTTAAACCTTGTGTTATTGTCCTAAATTCCAGCTGGGTGTATATTATAGATCTGCTATGTTGTTCTGTTGTCTCCTCTGACCCTTCTTATAGACATGAAAATGAGATAAAAGGGATCAAATGTACAGGCAAAACAAACAGGACTGTTAAAGGAATTTGCTGTGACTGAGAAATTCCCGCTGTGCAGCGCCGATTACAGCGTCAAGGTTTGCGGGGCGCAGAAATTATATTCATTTCCACTTTTGGGACCAACAAAAATATCACTGCAAATATTGAGTGGAATACACTTTGTAATTTGCCTTGCATGTGATAATTTGAAATGGTGTTTTCTTTATATCAGATGTAAGAAATGCTAATGTCACTTGCAAATAAATAAAGTTGTTTCGTTAGTCAAACTGTTGCACTCAACATGTATTACTCTTTTGTTTGACTTTGAGCCTTTGACACAAATCTTAACACACCTCTACTAAAAGGTAGGTATTGAAATGCATTATTTAAAAATAAGATGGTCGAGTCTTTGTGAATTGGCCCGGTTGTATTCCCTCTACCATCAAACCCCGGTGCAGAGACTGGGTAGGAACCTTCTGACCGGGTTTTTGCGTCGGGGGGTTGATTCACACGTCGCACCGTAAGTTATATAAGTTGAGATGGTGCATTTAGGTCTCGTCTCGCATTTGGGAAATATACGAAAAAAATGTGAGGGCCCAAAGAATGCATGGCATCTTCATTTTTATCGTTTCTTTTCCGAAGACTGTCCCTATTAATGGTTTCTAGTGAAAGCCACGTCTCGGTTGCAGAGAGAAAAGCTCGGAATGAACTGTTTACAACTTTCTTTTTTTCCATTGAAAAAGCATTCCTACACTCTCTGCAGTACCGGAAGGCAGCATCTCAGCTGACAGCTACACCCGGATGATTCCGTCGCTCCAGTAGCAAAATCAGCGACAGACTAATCATACGCCTCCTGTCACCCTAAACTGAGCAGTGACCCATTTCAACAAAATGGTAATCATATTGGTTTGTAAGTTAAAGCTTTCAGGGGAATGCAAAACAATCAAAAGAACAACAAACCGGTAAACTAGCAGGCTAGCTTAGCTAAAAATACCCAACTTTAGCTCTTCGCGATAACGGTACCTATTTGGCTTTCATAACTATCGTACAGTAAATTTACTGTAAAAAACATATTAGTATATTTATCTTCGTCTTAATGTTTGCCACTAATGCAAGTTGTGTGAGTAAGTTTGCTGAGCGGCGGGTTTGAACACGCTGCTAGCCGGTGAGCTAACGTCAACTATCTGCTGCACAAACGCTGCCCGAGGCTCGTCTTTGCTCGTGTGTGCGCAACATCTGTCTCTCCAGCTGTCATATATTTGTCTTTTCACTGTTAAGATCGCAGAGTTATCCAACCCGTCCGTGTGTATGAAGGACCCTCAGAGGGTGCAGGAGATCCTGGAGTCCATGGTGAAGGCTGGTTCCAACACCGTGCAGGTAACTAGTCAACTAGTTAACGGACTTTCATACGACATTCAGATGTTTCTGTGTCTCCACTCCACCCCAAACGAACTCAACTTTGATCTAAATGACTGGTGAGCGAATATAAGACGTTGTGTTTTGGTTTCTTATTTCTCGATCCAGGTGATCTCTGATTTTGACATGACTCTGACAAGATTTGCCTATAATGGCAAAAGGTGCCCGACGTGTCACAGTAAGTCGACTAAGATTCAGTTCGATGTTCTCTTCCGGCTAAACGTGGCTGTCATTGACTCCGTGTGTTTTATTTGCAGATATTCTTGACAACAGCAGACTCATCTCCAATGACTGCAAAGTGGAGGTACTGTAATAATGAGGCCCATTAAAAAATATCTGTATATATAACAATTAATACAAATTTCACAGTAACCAAGTACTGTAAGTTTGCACTGTTATGCTTTACATTTGTTTTTAGGATTAAGGTTTAAAATGTAATTGATCAATAAGTAATCAAATCAAATGCGTTGACCTAAATACTTGCACTACATATTACATTTTAACCATTTAACTAGTAATCTGTTGTTACATTTCAAAAGCAACTTTCCCATCAATGCAAGTGAACTACATTTTTTGGCCACGTATTAGAAATCTTTATGTTAAGACCATAAGTAATAGACTACATACAAAAATACAGTATTTACTTTAGTTTGGTGAATAATGTATTTATCATTTATTGTGTTACATATAGTCTGCCATCTACATTTAGCGAGCAATAGAAAAAAATAACATGGGTTTTTAATCCATTCAGATGCAATACAGAAATGTGAAAGGTTCTTTTTCCCTGGTACGTTTGTGTGTCTTTACTGACGCATTTCTTTCAGTACGAACTGTAATATTTGGGGGAAACATGTTTTGAATAATTCTCAAATCCCTAAAAAATATAATCTGGCAACAAAGTATAAAACTGAAGATCATCTCCAAGTCTATTTGGGTGAAACCTCACGGTTTTCTAGATGCATGTTTACGAGTCATGCAAACCTTACTGGATATTATCCTTTGTGTTTCAGCTGAAGGAGCTGCTCGACACATACTACCCGATAGAGATCGACTGCACACGTCCAGTAGACGAAAAACTGCCTCTCATGGTGGAGTGGTGAGTATCTAAAACCACTTTTACTATAATAGGATTTAATGTCTTCATGAAACTGTTCTGCATCCTTCATCTCTCAGGTGGACTAAAGCTCATGAAATACTGGTACAGCAGGAGATTAAGAAAGACCAACTGGCGGTTGCGGTACGGGAGTCCGAAGCTAAGCTGAGGTCAGAAAACCTGCTGAAATGTTTAAAAAAACAACAACCTTTGTTTATGTGTGTTAGTTAACATTTAGTGGGTGTTTTCACAGAGACGGTTACCAGCTCCTTTTTGACCACCTGCATGAGCACAGCATTCCTCTGCTCATCTTCTCAGCTGGAATAGGAGATATTCTAGAAGAGGTCATTCGACAGGCGGGAGTCTTCCACCCCAACGTCAAAGTCTTCTCCAACTACATGGACTTCGACGAGTCTGTGAGTAGCCGCACCGCAAACCGCCGTGCATGCCCACGCCAGAGATGGAAATAATGCATTCAAGCCTTCCTCTGCCGCCACAGGGAGTTTTGAGGGCTTTCAAGGGAGAGCTGATCCACATCTACAACAAAAGGGAAGGTGCGCTGCTCAACACCGGCCACTTCCAGGAGCTGCGCACGCGGCCCAACGTGCTCCTGCTGGGAGACTCTCTGGGTGACCTGAACATGGCCGACGGGGTGCACGACATGGAAAACATCCTCAAGATCGGTTTCCTCAATGACAAGGTAAATAAAATAGATCTTTGTAATCATCAACATGGCTCCGTATTGTTTACATGTTCATGCATTCATTTCTATTTAGACCATTTTAACTCTTTTTCTACTTTGTACTGAAAATGCTGCATATTAATATTGAGTACCTGCAACCCACGCACAGAACGTGTAGTTTAGTGTTATCTAAAAGATTTTTAATCTCATGGCTGGATACTCGAGGCCCTCGGGGGAGAATGCTGTACACAGTTGGACTTTTCGCTGCCTAATATTCAGATTTCAGAACGAGACCTCTCCTCGAGATGCAGCTTGGAAATAATAATTAACAGACCGGGTCAAAGCAAAAAGTGGGGAAAAAAGCTCCCGGTGAATAAGACCAATTAAAAAAAACTGCTGTTGCCATTAGACACAAACACACGAGGAGATAAAATCCTGGTTGAAAGAGAGAGCAAACATATTGTGACTCTCTAATAACACTTGTGTTTGATTTCCCAGGTGGAGGAGAGGAAACAGTCCTACTTGGACGCGTACGACATTGTGTTGGTAAGAGATGAGACCTTGGAAGTCCCTAATGCTGTAATGCTCTACCTTACTGGCAATAAGTGAGCGGAGAATATCACTGGCCCCTTTTGTATTTCACGCTCCAGCCCCCTTGGTTAGAAAGTAACAGTTGAATACTTATTTACAGGCAACTAAGAACGTTTCACGATCATTTCATCCACTAGTCCGGTCAGCCGCATCCCTTTGTGTTTCTGGTAAAACTGTTTGCAGCACAAGCTCGATTTGCACCGTTTACCTCCTCCGCATCATGTAAAGAGTGTGCGTGCGTGCGTGTGTGTGTATGGTTATGGGTGTTTTTTTTGTCTGTTTGTTTATGGAAGAGATTAGCGTGGTGTCTGCATATAGGGTGTAATGATAAAGGGAAAGAAAACGCACAACACGAAAGGCAGAACTTGACTCGGCATCCGGTTTACAGTCTTTTACAATAAAAAGCTCATCTCTAGCTAATTTTACCACAAAGATTTTTTTTAAAAAGATTTCATGTTTTCTTACAGTGTCGAGTCTTTCATGTTCAGGTCATATTGTCAAGCAAACAGCAGATTTTATGAAAACGGTTGTTTTTATATTGTGTGATACCACAATGTTACCAAGTGGTGAACTGTGACAACAACAGCTGACTTTAAGAGTAAAATAAATGCATAGTTACTTTTTTTTAAAGTATGATAGGTGGTCAGTGAGCGGTCATGTTATTTGTAAGAAAAAAGAAAACTTAATTTTCAGAAACAACAAGTCAAAAGTCATTTTCCACATTAATATACAAAGTTGAATTAGATTACATCTTAATTTATTTTAGTAATTTGTGGGCTATGTGCCAGTCCGTAGTGCATTTCTTGTCTCCTTTGGTCACAACTCATTGCATTTTCATATGTTCCAACTTTTCTCAAATAAAACCTGTTAATGACTTTTCGTATTTCATTTCGTATTTCATTGTGCGCCAACTTGTGTTGGCGCACGAGTGCATTTTTCTGGTTTTTGGTTGACTTAATGCAGCTCTCTAGGACTCGAGGATGGTTCAGATTTGGCGGTCAGAGGTCACTGCGACCTTTAGGATAAAATGATGACATTTTGGACCGACATGAATATTAACTGCGTTTGACTGGTTGGTGAAGGACTTCGACCATCAGGTCAAAATTCTAGTCAAAAATGTTTTTTAATGAATGATTAATTATTAGTATTTAGGCCACTGAATCGTACTCCAAACTAATCCATTGGTACTTATCTGTGAATTGACATTGTGGAAGAAATAAAGCAGTGTTATATTTTTTCTATTCAACATTTTGTTGTATAATTGTCCACATTACATGACATTGTATAAATTAGCCACTCCAATACACTGTACAACCAAAGGGTTATTCATCATTTTTATACAAAGCATTGCATTGACTTTTTTATAAAGTAATATTTTGGAAGAAAGGCCGAGCCCAAATGTGCAATATAGTGGTATAAATGAGACTGCCCCTATGAACACGACACCATTTCCCTACACCAATGATGACCTTATGAACCTGACCACGCCAGTTCCTCACCCCCAATTAAATGTCGTCTACAGCTCGTCTCTTATCACTTGTTGAGGCTCGCCATCCACCTTGACTTTCAGTTCATCTTCTACAATCTTCCCATCTTTATTTTCGTCCTGGTTATTGAACATGTCCTTAATGATGCTATCAGCATCGACCGCTGGCCGAAGACGACCTTTGCCCTCTTCAACTTGTAGCATGATGAAGGCCGAGAACTGGAGAAAACAGGAGATGGGGATGCACTGTTAAAAGCTTTTTTTCCCAATTACGGTTAAGAGGAAGGAGGTTAGGTTGGATTGTCTGCTTACCTCCTCTAGAGGTACCTCTCCGTCACCATTGAGGTCCATAGCAGGAAAGAGGGGATCTGGGACGTCTCCCAGCCACACGAACATGTAGCCTTCAGGCACGCCCTTCGTCAGCTCCACTAACTCCAGCTCGAAGAAGAGCACTGCGCTCTTGGGAACTTCTCCAGCTGGGGAGCCCAAAATACACAAAAGTTAAATGAGTTAAGTGTGTCTGGCGTGCAAATGTTGAGTAGTGCAAAGTCACTGACCTCCATTTTCGCCATGGCCCCAGTGCGGTGGAACGACCACCTCTCTCCTCTCGCCCAAACACATGCCAAGCAAACCTTCCTCCAGGCCGAGGATCACCTTGTTTGCTCCGAGAGTCGCGAAGGAAGGTGTGTCGTGGTCCCTGTAAATGGACACATGACCTATTACCACCAAACAGTGTGTGTGGGGGGCTTCATTCCATATAGCAACACCTTGGAACATGCTATCGTCATGGATACGTAAAGGGGTATGGTGTCTGCAATTGTCGGCAGTGATTACATGCATGCAGCAGGAAGGGGGGGTGAGTGTAGCGGAGCGTGCTCACGAGGAGTACAGCAAGGTTCCGTCCATCAAGGAACAATTATAGCGATACTGGATCAAATCGTCCACTTCGCTGGTCACGTTGCAGTCCTGAGGCTTGTGGGTAGCCGTGATACCGACGGGGTCTTTGGGGTTGTGGAAATCAATGACTTGAATGTCAAAGACCAGCACAGCCGAGCTGGGAATGAGGTCCTCTACAGCGGGAGGTAAAAGAAACAATTATTTGCAGTTTTTCCAGATCGTTACCAAAAAATACTTTGGTAAAAACTCACCGACTCCTGCTTCGCCATACGCCAAGTGAGGCGGGACAGTGATCCTCCTCTTCTCCCCTATGCACAGCCCAACCAGGGCTTTATCCATCCCTTGGATCACGTATCTCTTGCCGATGTAAGTGTTGTAGGTGCTGTTCCGCTTGTAGCTGTTGAGGAAAGCGTTCAAACTCTCAAACGCCGCTCGCTCGCATGTCTGATGACCCTCTGGGAGTGGAGGAGTGTCGGGTTTACCTGGAGTCGAAGGCCGTGCCGTCCTGGAAGGTACCGTTGTAGTGGTAGCGGATGTAATCTCCGGTCACCGTCCTGCGGGTGCAGCCTTCAGGAACCTCCTTCACCTGAACTATCAGATCGTCCTTAGGGTTGAACGCATCAACCAGCAGCACCTCATACACCAGCGTGGCCTGAGGAGGAATCTGAGTTCCTGTCAGGACGGGAACAAAGCTTTTTAGTGGGTCTGTATCTCACGGTCTCATGTCAACCGACTATATCTTTCTTTGCTGTAAATCAGTCTTAAAGCATTCCGACATTCCAGGCGGCCATTTTCTTCCGTTCATATTGGTTTGAAACTTTAGACTTGCAGTGACTTGCAATAATCAAACAGGAAAACTGTGAGAATCGCACATGTGTTGGAACACTCCAGAGAAGCATTTTCAAGATTTTGCCTCTCAAATGTAGCGACATGCAACAATAAAAGAAAGTTAAAAAAATGAAAAACAACAACAGATATCTTGACTAAAGCCCCTTTTCCACTGTTATGGAAATGTTCCAGCAACTTAAGCACATGACATAAGCCGTGGCTGCTTTTAGTTGCTTTGGATATGGACCAACTTGTAGTTATTTTCTGATCCAAGTACAACAAAGGTAATACTTTTTGGTTTAAAATGCTAAACTTTAAAAAAACAATAAATCTCAATAAACAACAACAATACATGTAAGTGTATATTTTGATACTTGAAATAATTTGTCACCACCACAGTCATCTTGAACATTATTAGTTATTACCATGACCAGACTCTCCATAGGCCAGGAAGGGAGGGATGATGATGATCCTTCTCTCCCCAAGGCACATGCGCAGAAGACCTTCCTCCAAGCCCTTGATGAGGTCACCCTGCCCCAGGTAGGTGTCATAGGTGGTATTCCTCGAGTAACTAAAACAAAGTTTCACAAAGTGTGCCTGGGAGTCACAGACTGCGAAGCTTTTCTTACTGCCACAAACCTAAGGTGACCTCACCTGGAGTCGAACGCCTCCCCGGTCAGCAGGGTGCCGTTGTAGTGGTAGCGGATGTAGTCCGACGCCACGGTGGTGCGGCGGCAGCTCTCGGGTTTGCTGAGCGTGCGCACCTGGACTTTGTCCTCGGGGTTCCAAATGTCCAGCAGCAGAATATCGAACACCAACACGGCGTCAGGAGGAACCACACCATCTGTCGGAGGAAAAGCGCAGAATGGCACAAGCCCCATGGCACGGATAATGTGCCCCTGCGGTCCCGGGGATGCGCACCTGATCCGATGCTCCCGTAGGCCAAATGCGGGGGGATCGTGATCCTGCGCTGCTCACTGACGCACATCCCCAGCAGACCGCGGTTTATCCCCAAGAGGAGTCTGCCAAGACCCACCTGGCTGACCGCGGGGATTCCTCGGTCATGACTGCAGATATTAAACATTAACGTTAGGTAAGAAAAACAACAAAAAGGGGAGGCTGGGTCCATGGAAAGGTGATATATAACATAATAATCGCCCAAATCCATCGTCCCGATTAGCTTTATTATGACCACCCCGTTATTTTAAATCAATAAATTGATTGGAAATAAATACATAATGTCTCACTTAATTTTTGGATACTAAATCAATGGTAAAATGTAACTCGTGTGTTGCTATGGAGACATTGAGAGTAAAACTCGCACACCAATGTACGGTGGACACGTGTGCACTGATTATCTCCGCCGCAGTATTTGAATCCATCAGGAATATGGCTGTAGAATGCATATCATGTATAATAGGCCTTTGCTGATGGTATATATGTACTTTAACAACTGGAAGTAATATTTCTGCAATAGACCTGAATGTTTGTACTTTGCATGGTAGTTATATTGCCAGTGTATAATTAGCGTGGCTCGGTCTTAAAAAAGCCAACATTCCTGCAGAGACACAGACAAACAACAGTTTGAGCTGTGAACGAACTTTCTAAATGAATTGGTAAAAGTAAATGTTGCATTTCGCAGTAACTTCACCTGGAGTCAAACTTGGTCCCATCTGCAGAAAAGCTCCCGTTGTAATGATAACGGATAAAATCTTCTGTTTGCACTTCACGGGGACAAACCGTAGGTATCTCGTAACGATCAACAACGACATCCACTAACGGGCTCGGGTTGCCATTGACGACGAAGTCATGAAGGCAAAATACAAGCGTTAACAGGGTCAGATCCATTTGGAGAGTTGTGGCAATAAGTGCGGAAACAGAGGAGGGATGGAGGAAGGGGGAGAAATGTTACTGAAGGACGTCTGCTCCACAGTTGATGATGTGTCAAAACACCGGGCATGAGGGACAGTACTTCCGGAAACCATTACCAAAATAAAGACCTCAACTATTTTACATCATGCACCATTAAATTCAAAAATATAAGTGTTAAAACGAATAAACGCAAAGGTTTTTCCTCAGTCTGCAAACATTCATCAACTTACTGGGACTACCACATTTTGAGACATACTCTATTTTATTTTCCAATGTCTTGTTTTGCCACACTTTACAATGGACAACGAGGACTGTTAAACTAATATACAAATTAAAAATGAGTAATTTAATCATAATTAATCATATTTTCATCTTTACATTTCCAACACAAATTCTATTTCATGCCTACAACATACTACATACACTGACTTTATACTTTTTCAGCGCACCACACCAAAGGCTCTTTCATGACTTTCTGCTGTAATATGGTTTTTTAATGGATATTTAGATGTTGTCAATATGTAATAGGCCTACTAAGGGTTTTTTCAACATTCTACTTCTACACAATAATGTATATTTCGTGACGTTTATTGTAACCAACTATACTATGACGTTTTTTGATATGCTATAGTATAACGATTAAGTTATTTTTACATGCCATGTTATGACTTTTTGGAAATCCTCTGCCGTGACTTACTCTGACTGATCAATATGCAATGTGCAATAAAATATATATATATATATAGATTATATTTATATTTAAATAAAAATGCTTTTTTGCTTTTATTTTGAACGGGAAATGCATATCGTTTCCGGCCATGGTCGGTCTTTCTCAGTCGAGCATAATGCGTCTTTCGGATGAATTTCTCCAGAGAGCAGCAGGAGGAGCTGCCCTGGTTCCCTCCTACTTTTTAATGGAATTCTGCAAACGTGTAATGCCTGGCCCAGAGGCCCACAGGCCCACAAGCCCGGTTTTGTGATTTCAGTCACGAATGAGATGAGGAGAACATGACAAAGTTAGTTTTGGATGGTTAAAAAAGCCTGAAAAAAATCTTGTGACTTTACCAGGAGTATTGGTCGCCTCCTCATACAACTATTCACAAATATGTTTTATACATTATCCGGCTTCAGTTTGAGATCTGGAGGCAAAATGATTGAACCAATAAAGAGTTTTGGTATATTTGATACCGGAAGACACTGAGTAAAACGGGACCCTCTAACTAACTAACTTTCTTGCAAGCGAACTCTGTGTCAAGCCAACCACAGTGATCACCATTCATACCGGAAGTACGGAGATCCTTCTTCAAGTTAATGTTGCATTTGCCAGCAGTAAAGCTTTATATCCACATGTATAATCAATTGATGCATATATATTCCCCCTTTTTATTCTTTTTGAACGACTAAAACCATCAAAAATTTGGTTGTAATTTCGTTAGTCTTATCTTCTGTTAAAAGTTAAGAGAAAATCCAACGGATCTAGACATTTCTCGGTGGATGTTGTGGGAAAATGTTTTCATTTCATTTCTATTTTTTTAAATAATTTTCTGTAAGAACAATGCCTTACTCTTTTTTCAATCTGTATGCAGCATACACACAGTACTTCATCTCAAAACAATTACTTTGAGATAAATGCAGACATGATGGTTTTTTTTCTTAGGGAAGTTGATGGACAAAAAAGAACACCTTCAAAAAACTAAAAGGCATTCGTTGAAGCATGGCTGAAAAAAACCCTGTATATGTGGAATCAAAATAAATGGTCTAAGCATAAAGAACACCAAAAGAGCAGTCGCACAAATAAAGGCCTTTTATTTTGAAAGTTTTGACCCACGGTTCTCGTCTGCAGCATCTCGATGGACGCGACTTCTACCGCCTACGTGCAGGCAGTCATGGTTATTCCCTAGAAAAGAAAAAAAAGAAGCTCCTGATTCATTCAAAAAGAAGACCTCCGTCCCGCTCGGAGCCGCCCGAGGTCACGATGCTCCCCAGAAGCTTGTGTCTGGTCCTTCTCATCCTGGCCGAGGCGCGGGCTCAGTATGAGAAGTACAGCTTCAGAAGTTTCCCCCAGAAAGACATCATGCCGCTGGACTCCACGTACAGCTACGCGCTGGAGCAGTACGCGGCGGAGAAGTGGAAAGAGAGCATCGAGTACCTGGAGCTCAGCCTGCGGCTCCACCGGCTGCTGCGGGACAGCGAGGCTTTCTGTAGCGGCAACTGCAGCTCCGTCCGCCGGGACGACGGCGCTGCGTCCCCCGACGGCAGCCTGCGCGTCATGCGCCACATCCTACTGAGAGCTGCGTGCCTTAAAAAGTGCAAGGCGGATTTGCCAGTGTTTAACCTCTCGTACCCGGGACGGGACCTACTGGAGACGTTCGAGAATAGGGTGCCGTATCGGTACATCCAGTATGCGCACTACCAGGTGAGACCAGATGTGCCCAAGAGTGCATAGAAGTGGCTTTGCCACAAAGGTTTATGTTGTAGAAATGTCAGTGAGACGTCAGTTCTGAACCTATTGACGTGCAATAACACAGCAGCATCGATTACGGTGTGTGTATTCAATCAGAACTGTGCGCAACGGGCTCGGTGACGTCGGTTTCACTCTCCGGGGGACTTTTCTAGTCTGTGAGGTAGTTTCCGTACTGCTTTTTTGCGCCCTCCTGCAGACCGAGCAGGGGCTGAGCATGTGCCACGTCCTTTCCAGTGTCCCCCCTTTAATAGACCCCTCATTCTTCTCTGGCAGGTGTAGGTGTACACGGACTGGTTTGTTTGTTTTGTCTTGTTTTACCAATCCGGTAGATTAAAATGTGAATCAAAACTCTTAATCTGGTGATCAAGCATTCAGGTCCACAGACATCTTTACAGGATTTACATTGCTTTGATTTTAATTACCAGACCAGAAATATACGCAATTATCACAAAGGGGGTTCTCTTTTAGGAGATAAATAGCCACTGGAATTTTGTTCATAACGTGTTTCTACTGTAAATATCTGACTTTTTAAATTATTTAATTTTTTCACATTAGTTTTCTGTTCACTGACTCAGCAGTAATTCGCATTCTGACATCAGCGATCCGCGTCTGCCGGCAGTTGTTGCAGCAAAAGGGGTCAGAGGTCACGTTATCCAGTGAGCAGTGCTAATGACGCAAGCTGTGGTTGCCCTGAGTGACCGAGATGCTGTGTGTTACTTCAAAAATCCACCCCCACAACACTGTGCTGGTCATCTGAAAGCTGTCTATTCTCCCTCAGCTTAACAACTTGGAGAAGGCCGTGTCGGCCGCCCACACCTTCCTCAAGAAGAACCCGACGGACTCCTATTTGAAGAAGAACATGAAGTACTACCAGACTCTGATGGAAGTGGAAGAATATCTAATCGACCACGAGGAGCAGCCGTATGAAGTTCGTACATTACAACGCTGCCGTTCTTACCCAGAGTGCAAACCAAACACCTGTTCACCCACATCAACTTGTGTAATCGCGTCTCTTTGTAATCCAGAGTGTTTTTCTGAAGAGCGTGAAGCTTTACAACAACGAAGACTTCAGCAACAGCGCCCGCAACATGGAGCAGGCCATCACACAATACTTTGACGCACACCGGCTCTGCTTGGCAGGCTGCGAGGGCTCGTATGAGATCTTAGAGTTCAAAGACTTCTATCCCACCTTGGCAGGTAATGAGGGAGAAACTCAACTGCTGTTTCAATCCAGTGTGTTTATCCGATAAGTAAATAATACGCTTGTTTGTTCCCTCAGATTTCTTCACAGATGTGTTAAAATGTAAGGTCAAATGTGAGGAGAACCTGACACCCAGCGTCGGAGGCTTCTTTGTGGAGAAGTTTGTAGCCACCATGTATCACTACCTCCAGTTTTCCTATTATAAATGTAAGAACTTGGACAAAGGCTCCGGGTTTGGCTTTTTAAAACAACAATGACAGTTTGACCATAGATTGTTCCATGATGCTCCACAGTGAATGACGTAAAGAGCGCTGCTCCATGTGCAGCCAGTTACATGCTGTTTGACAGCGAAGACCAGGTGATGCAGCAGAACATAGCGTACTATCGCTTCTACCGGGAGCAGTGGGGACTGGAGGAAATAGACTTTCAGCCTCGGCCTGTAAGTGAAACAAAGACCTCGTTACCCTTATGGACTTCCTGGACTTTGGTGGTCGAAAGAGTTAAAGGACCATTTTAATGAACCAAAGAAGGAAAACTCTGACATGAACATGAACAAAACATCTCAAAGTGGCAATTAGAAAGCCGTGTACTGTCGTGAAGGTAGACTTGTTTTCCTGTCTTTCTTTTCTTGGTTTTGAGTTGTCAGCAGCTGCAGTCCACCAGCTCTGTTTGTTAAAACGTCTTTGCCTTTGGAGGTACACAAAAGGACAACGGGCCAAATTTGTTGCTTAGTGCCGAGCTATAAAACCGGCTTGTTCTTGGCTGCTGCTCGGGTCAACAAACCGGTTTATGTCCCTTCTGTTTTTCAGGAGGCTCTGAAGTACTTTAATGAGACAACCAAGCAGAAAGAGATGCTGGAGTTTGCACTGAACTACCTACAAACTGAAGACGAGGTATGTTGTCGGACTGTTAGTTACAAAGCAAATGTAGAAGCAGAAGCTTTGGTTTTGGGCACCAGGGTGAATAATAGAGAAACATCTTCAGTTTCTCTACCCAAACATCAGCTAACATCACACTCTTCTGGTCACACCAGACCAAATCCGGTTGCACGTGCCAGACCGTTGCCATTACATTATTGCTGCAATATGTTAATCATAACAACTTTACTGCACCAATTCAATTCCATCAGCCGCCGTGGTGCTGAGGTGGCGGCAGAGACGTTTAAAAACCTCAGCAGATGAAAGCTAATCTGTCTGGAGAGAAAGAAGGGAGGAAAGCTGCGGAAGAGAAAGCAGCGGGGAGGTGGGGGACGGAGGGAAAGGGTGGGGGAAGGGAGGCGGAGGGGGTTGTTTTCCGCTAGGAGCTTGTGGTATGTGGCTGGGAGGTGTCGGCCTCTCTGGCTGTGCCACATCCGCTTAACTCAGGTCAGCCCATCCCCTCGCCACGCCTGGACCTAAATTACTCGGGGGACTGAGAGAGTTGGGGCTGAATTTCAGGGCAGGTATAAAATATGCTTTCTGCCAGGTGGAAGTGAGATAGTAAAATGCATGCTTGCTGTTTCTTTTACCTTTAAGGGCGAGGTAAGTCCAGAAGAAATGGCGTCCTCTCGCACAGAGCACCCTGACACCGAGTTTGAGGGTGTGGGGGACTACGAGGAGTCCTTCCTGGCGGAATGGTGGCAAGAACCCAGAACTAAGTGGGACGGCGGAGAGGTCGCAGACTGAGCAGAGAACCCCCTCATCAAGCTCTGTTCCACCGCTCCTGACGGCCTACCAAAGAGTGTCGACTTCCCTTCAGACACACAGCAACCCGACAGGATTCGGCAGAAAAAAATCACAAACCGTCAGTGTTACATCTCTCTGCAAAGGATGAAACGACTAAATCATCTGTTATGTGGATCGAGATTAGAGATGGACATTTATGTTTTGGCTGTGATCAGCCTTTTAACACTTTAACACACATCTGGATTGTCAGTGTGTGGCCTGAACGGCATTCCTCGTCCGTATCTTTTCTAGTTCTTATTTAATGACAGCTGAACGCCTCTGTACCGTGTTATAAGGAAGGTGACGTGTATCTTTTCTTATACTGAACCATTTGTCGACCACCAATTGGGTAGTTGATCTAATAATTGGATCATAATTAAAGTAATATTTTAATATATGTTGTTGTTGTTTTCACCTATTTCCAAAAGGTCAAACAAAGCCGCGAGGAGCAACATTCTATTAGATTGCAGTAATGTTAATTTGATTTGAAGATTCATTTAGATTTAAAAAATAATCATTTATCATTTGAAAAAGAAATGTGGAAACCCGGTGACCAATACGAATAAGCCAAAAAATATGAAAGCCATAAGAGTAACGTAGCGAGAATTTTATTTCCATTTCAAATCAACTACAAGCCTTAGTTAATTTCTCTCTTCATCTACATTCAAAAAGTGTCTAAAAATACGGCATACAATGCATCTTAATTTTGCTTTTTTTTCGATGATCTTCATCAAATTGATTGTTACAATCTCTGTACATATTGTAATAATCACAATAGTGCATCTGCCGCAGTGCAAAGCTCAACCGACCCAAACGGACCTCTCACACGTTTCAGACAGGCCGCCTCCCGGACCCAAGACTACGTCTCTTTAATCTCATTTACAGTGGGGATCATTACAAAGCCTCTGGCCTGAGGCGTTCACCCGGGGCGGAAGGATATCAACAAATGTACAAAAGGTTCATCACATTTGAGAGATGGCTGGAATGATGAGAGAAGTGTGACAGCTAGCTGAGCTCACACGCCACATTTAAAGATGCACAAACAGGGTCGACTAGAGGGGAGATTTGCAGACGCGGGGTCAGTCGGGAGACTGACAACTTGAAACGGATACATCTGATTATTCTTAACATAGCTTTTTCAATAAATCTTCCTACGGTGCATTGAACATTCGGTACATCTTGCACATATTTACATATTGGTGTGCATACAGTTTGGCTAAGTGCTCGTTTTTTGAAGATACACGACATTAAAACTGTTGGATTCATTGATAAATGTGCTGCCGTGGCTGCAGTAAACAACAGTTTGTAGAAAGAGAAGATGTTCTGGAGGTAAAAACCTGGCATCCTACTCAGCACACCAGTCGTGTTATTAGTGTGCACGGACACAACGGCTGTAACACGCATACATTCGTCTTCTTTTTAAAAATCTCTCGCACGCGTACATTCACACATCTGGCCTGGAATTGGTGAGCAGGCACACAGACAGATGTCGTGGAATGTCCGTTGGTCAGTCTGTGGTCGGCGCCACTAAGTTACAGTCTCTGCGGCTTTAAAGTTCAATTGTTCGAAATGATCCCAAAACCATAACACCTAGCTTCCCTTCTGGTACCTGAAACTTGAGAGTGTGGGGGGGGGCGACGAGTAGGAGGTCTCGTGTTAAAAGGGCAGATGACACTGTACATGAACTCGGTTATCAGGCAGGGCTCCGGCTGATGGCAGACTGGGCGTTTAGTCATTGTTGATATGATCAATAGTGCTTCCTCAGACTCTTTGTGGAAAACAACAGTCCAATATATCTATTCAGTTGTCCACGTTGCCAAACTTGCACATTAAAACAGATAATTGTCCACTTTGTCCAGACCTGGTCTTGGAGGTGGAGAGTCTCAGGTCCTTCTCCTGTAAGAACTATTCCCCTCCTGTTGTTTACTTCATTTCAGTTTAATAAACAAATGGCCAGTCTGTGCGATTGTCCAACATTTGGCCCGTGGACTCAGTTGCTGGCCGGTTTTAGTCCGGCATTGGAAAGACGTGTCTCATATGAAAATGGTCCACCGTTGATATGTTCACCATCACACTGTTCAAGATGAGAGTAAAGGAAGGACGCACACACACACACACACACGCACACACACACACACACACACACACACCGGATCACATTCTCTGAGCCACTGGGCCGCAGGAAGATCCCGGTGTCTCCCACAGAGAGAGCCAGCTGATCGCTCTAAGCGTCCCACACAGTCCTCAGCGGCCTGCTGGAAGAAGCCACACGAGTGTGATACGGCTGGTACAGTGAGAGGAGCCCCGAAGGAGGACGGAGCCACAGGATCAGACGGGGACGAGGGGGAAACGATAATCGGAAGAGGCTTGGAGAAGTTTAGTGGACGGGAGTGGAAGACTTTGTGTTCCCCTCTTCCTTGATGTGGAAACGGTGGAGGAGTGCAGGAGTAGACAGGACAGAGGGACAGAAAGACACACAGACATCTCATCCCCCACCAGATCTGAAAAGAGACAGAGAAAAAAAAAAGGGGAAAGAAGTTAACTGCAAAAACATGAAATACTGACTGTTGCATGGGCGTAGAGAAAATGACGATGCTTGAGAAATGAAAGAAGCCATTCTGTTTAAAGGGAATAGAATAAGATTGTGGACAGTAGATGTGGAGTTGGAAATGTGATGAAGAATTGCAGCCAAAAGGAGCAGTGAGAGGCACGTTGTGCGCGGCGCTCTGCATGGATGTTGAGTCGAGGGATGAACTTCAGGTGGACGATGAAGGAGTAGGAAGCCGTGCAATGGGATGGGATGTTTTGGAGGACAGAATACCACATGGTAACGGTCCGACAAGGTTATACCTTCCTCTCCGAATGTTCCTGCATCCCGTGAGCACACACCGAGAGAAAAGACCAGAACAAAATCATTAATGACATTAGGAAATATGACAGACAATGACTGGCAAGCTACTTGAAGAAGCCGTTACGAAGCGCATCATTACAATGGCAATAAATGTAAAGAGCAAATAAGCTGTAACAAATTATAAAGAACAAGAACATTCATTAACAGTTACAACGTGATAAACAGGCTTTAAAGTGAAATGTGGACTTAAACTTGTGTTTTTACTGAGTTAATAACTCAACCACATTACAGATTTTAGGACAAAAACAATGAATTGAACCTATTCAATCCCATGCAGCAGGTGCACAGTGGTCAAAGCACCATCCATCTCAGCCCCATAGAGTCTGAAAAGGCTCCACACACCAGGAACTTCTACACATAACCCCTCAGCCGGAGCCCTGACTGGGAAAGAAAACTTCTTAAAGCTCATGCACACATGCACGGACACTTACCTCAGGCCTTAAAAGGACTGACTACATGCTACTATGCCACACACCATGGCAAACTCAAATTTGGCTTTTTTTTAAACCTATTTTACAACCTATCATCAGGCCCACTAATCTCATGAATCCAACTGTGAGCAAAGTAGGCGCAGTCCCTTTTAGGTCAGAGCATAAGGAGTGAACAATAGCCAGCATGCACAGGTGGAACAGTGGCGAAGGAGCACATCAGCAAGGGCATTTGGGGTCAGGATGCTGGCTGCAACACAATAACGCAGGCTAAAACAGCACCGGAGGTAATACTGTAAAAAGGGATGCTTATGGTACATATATCTACTGTAAGCATTACGTTCCTCCATGAGCGGCTAAAAGCCGCAGTGGACTTAAGAGAAGAGCTGCAGCGACTGCTGGTAGACCACAACCTCAATCCCGTCATTACAATAAACGGGACGGAAAGGCGCAGGATGCAGCCGCCCTGATGTTACGTGGAGATTTTGACGCCCGCTGCATTTGCACGGTTAAGCTCAGACATGACTTCCCCCTCCCCCCGGGTGTGACGACCATTTGCAAACTAGCGGTTTGGAGAGGTGAGGGGCTTCCCTTAGGTAAAAGCAGACAGGTACACAAAGGCATGCCAGAACTCTTACTTAAATCCCCATCCTGTTCCCCCTAGGACTATAGCTGCCAGGAGAATAGCACCTGCGATGGACCCTATTATGATATTGGTGCCACTGGGACCTGCGCAGAGGAAGGAGGAGGGAGGAAGGGTGCGGAGGAGGAGGAGGGGCAGAAACAAAACAGCACCACTAAAGAACCCACATCAGAGGACAGCATCAACACAGTACATCAACCACAACAACCAGAGAGAGAGAAGGTAAGATACCTGCAGACAGAGAAAGAGAGATGAAGCGAAGGAGGAGGAGGAGGATGCCAGCACGTGGGGTGGAGGTGAGACAACGGGCGGGTGAGCGAGGGACATCGGGGGAGACGACAGCAACAGAATAAAAACAAAGGAGAGAGAGTTGTTTTACTTTGTTCTCATTCCCCCTCTCCTGCTCTTTCACCTGGACCCCCTCTCGCTCAGGGAGGTTTCTTTTTTTGTCTCTATCAGTGCAGCAGCTCAATTGCTCTGTGTCATTGGCCGACTGCAAGAGAGTAAGGAAGACACTCAAAAGGTGGCAGTGGCTGCAAGACATACCTGACACGTGCACGCACCTGTACACTGAACGCGCACGTACGCTCAGATGAGCAAACTCTTCAAGTATTACAAAAACAAGACTCAGCAGGAAGTAAAACACTGTATCTACCACACGAAAAACTAGGTGAACTCTTTGTGTTTGAAGATTCTGGACTGCACTTCAGTACGTAGAAACAGTGATAATGGGTCGAGAGAATGAGGGGAGCATGAGAGGCAGACAGAGAGAGAGAGATGAGCTAGGACGCTATGGACCTTTCTTCTCCGGGCCGGTCGGGACTGTCGGCTCAGGGATGGGATCAAACACGCTGCAGTCTTTCCCCGTGTAGTCTCTGTCACAGATGCACTTCACCTCGTTACTGCAGGTCTAAAAGAGCGAGAGAGGAAAGGGGAGAGAAAGCGAAATCAAGTGCAATAGCCAAGCAAGCACGGGGTTAAAATCGCTGTTTAGACAGCAGGCAGTTAGTGATATACAGGTTCATGAACATCAATGAATTACTCAAGTAATGAAATTAATATAGCCATTGTGACAGTGACAACATGCAGGTTGAACCTCTTTCACAGCGAATGCAATAATTAGACTGAAACTGTCTGTGCACAGACAGAAGTTAATAAACTACTTTTGCATTACAGTATAACAATTAGAAAACACCAACTTGACCTGCGACCTCAATCATGAAACCGTAGTTAAACTTTTCTCCGGCAATGTCGCCAAAAAATTGAGTGAAATATTATAGCACGGTTTCCATTAAATGACATTATTGTCTACAGAGCATGTGTAACTCATACGTCCACATGTCTTTTACCCCGTGGTCGGAACAAATGCGCCCGTAGTTGGATCCTGAACAGCTGCTGAGATTGAACGCCGCCACAGGGAGGCAGCGTCGCTCCAAACACATCATGTTGGGCCCACAAGGAGTGCCCTCCTCCACGTAGCCCAGGTCGGAACCGTCCTCCAGCAGAGCATGGCCGCCTCTGGTTGAAGCATATAGCGATATGTCACACAGGCAGGAGAGGACGCGTGGAAATGAGACATTTGAGGACGCGGTAATTCTGATCATAAACTCTGTTAGTTGCGGCGGATCAGAATCAGACGGCATGAAACCCACTGACCTGCAGTCCAGGTATTTGTTTTGGTGGTAGAGGGTGAAGCTGGTCACCTCACCCTGCAGGTCTCCAAACTTTGGTTTTGTCGTCACATTGGCACAGAACAGGAAGCCACATAAGACGTCCCTATCAGGAAAACAGTACAAAAGCTGTCAGCTTCTGTCTTCAGAATGCATCAGTAGCCACGTATTGACTAAAAAGACACGGAGCACTTTAATAGAAAAAGATATTGCCGTTCTTGGTCATTCGCTTTTAAATAAGTAAAGACTTAAACTAAATCAAGCCGAGGCACCAAACAAAAGCAGCAAGTAGCGAACACACTTATCCTCCTATGAGAATATCAGCAAGAGGGTATTGGGATTGTATGACTCACGGTTTGTTGCACTGCAGCCATCCTTGGCCTTCAGGACCCGGACCACAGTTCCCTTTCTCCGTCCCCTCAGCGTTCAGCTTCTCATAACAGAACCTGTCTGCTGAATCTGGGGGAGCAAAGAAAGAAACGAATCTGACTGCTTGCAGGTAATATGAGACTACAAAGTTGTAGGCGCTTTATACTTACTGTAACCCCAGAGGCCTTTGCACTGTCCATCACGAGTCCTGCATCGTCCGCCGTAACAGCGACCCTGAAGAAACGGGGCAACATTAAACATTAAAGCATCTGCGAGCTTGAGCTGCAGAGCGGAAAGCGCGGCGCGAATTCCAGCCCTCACCTGATTAGTATCGCACATGTAGCCGTCTAGCTTGTGCACATTATGAGGACACTGCAAAAAGGAACCAGAGTACTCAATGTTCTGGATGCCCTGCTCGATCCCTCCGGGGGGGGGGGGGGGGGGTACTTTCAGTGCAGTCAACTCTACCTGGCTGGAGTCTCCGGTGCAGTTCTCCGGGATATCGCAGTCGTTCACAGCCTGACGACATACGGCGCCTCTCCGCTCGTACTGGGTCACGGCATTAAAAAGGCCAAACACGGTAAGTTGCACACAACTTGGGGATACATTGTGTGCATAAGTACTGCATACTTATAAAAACACACACCAGGAATCCCTGCACACTGAGAGGAAGCCATGTCTTATATCTAGAAGTAATTCCTTGTTTCTGCTATCCTAATTAGCACAACACCATGAAGAAAAAAATCTATTACTATATCAAGTTGTTCCTTAGATGGACCCACCTTGCAGCTACTGCAGCAGAGTCCGTTACTGCACATGGCGTCGTGGGTGAGTGTGCACTTCTTACAACAGGCTCCTCCGCTACGAGCGCACTCCTGTAGCCACAAACGTGAAAACAAACCTTGGGCTCCGCTGCAGACGACAGCTTACAAGAGTTTTTGTACATGATGCCCAGCAGGCTACTCACCACCTGGGACCCACAGTCACATTCTTCCCCAGGCTCCACAAAGCCGTTCCCACACTCCGGAGGGTCCAACAGCTGAAGGTGAACGACAGATATGAGCACATACACACGTATGTTTTTACAGTATATATATATGTACATATGGCCCTCACCTTGTTTGGCTTATTGAAGAGGCAGCTCCCGCCCCCCTGGAGCAAGAACTGGGTGTACTCATCGACACTGCAGCGAGAAAACTTTCTGGGCAGATAGTATCTGTACTCACACACACAAACACACAGCACAATGCTTTTCTGCCAGTAGGCAATGCCAGATGCACTGTGCCATCACTTTGTAGGCAGACAGAAATCTTACCATCTGTAGTAGGATATTACTCAAATGAATCATCTTTATTGTTTCATTCGGTAAGGAGAGTGAAACACAAATCGTGCAAACTGTATGATGAATAGATTGAATTAAATTTGTAATTCTTACAAGGAGTAAGTTGGGACACTTTTCTCTGATGTTTCAACAGTTATTTTCAACCCATCCGATACAAGCTGTGATTATCCAAAGGTAAAATATCATTTTGGGACAGTTGTCAGTTTGTCTAACTCACTGAAATGAACAAAAGAAAGCGTGTGTTCAGCGTGAAATCGTGTGGATCTTTACCCCGTGTCTTCCATGATGCAGCCTAACCAGGCGTCTGGGCACCGGCAGTCTCCTGTGAGGAACACCAGGAGGAAGAAGAGCACAGATGAGACGTAAAAAGCTTGATAAAAAAAACGCAATGAAAACAAACGTGATTATCACCATTTACACAAACTAAAATTGAGACACTTCACATGCCGCAGCACGTCTTGAGTAAATGATTCGTGATCAACAGAGGAGAAATGAATTTCTCTAGAACAGAGAGGAGAGCGCAGAGTGTGTACACCGAGCTCTTGTCCTGGCATTGCACAGTGGAGCCGATGGCTCTTCAACATTAATCACAGGGCCCATTGTTCACCTTCCTCTCCTTCTTGGACTCAGGTGACTAATCACCTAATGGAGAAGTCTAATTACAGACGAGAACTGGACCGGGATCCCAGCGCTCTCTCTAACACCCCGTCTCAATACAGCACCTTTCTCTCTCGTTTCAATAATTCATTCAGTCCAACCCCGGGTTTGTAGATCCCATCTTCCCTCCTGCGTTATCAGGCTTTCCTGTATTCTTTTACCTGCGGAGTTGCGTGCGTTGTTCCACCTCATGCCGATGTTCTGGCCCAGACTCTGGCACAAAGTGATGGCCATGGCTCCCACGTTCCCATACTGCAACCGATGGACATAGAATCGATGAAAAGGGGTTGACGTAAAATACTTAAGGCAACTTGATGAGAAGATCAATACCACTCCCACGTGTTGCATATAAGGCTGCAGTTAGCTTAGCTTAGCAGTCCCTTTAGACCACAAATTGAAGTGCTTAGGTGCCTTTACTGAAAATGCACCCTTATTAGAATGCCCTCACCTCGTTGATGCCTCCCCCCCTCGTCAGAGAGCAGACCCCTCCTGTGTAGGCCGTCCCACTGCGGCTGCTGTGAAATGTGCGCCCTCTGAGGTGCAAAGGAAAGATATCATGATAAAGACAAATGAACGAGCACCCAAATAATATTCAACATTATGGCGATATTAGATTTCCCTCACGAGAAAAGTTGGATGAGGTCACTCTGATCTTTGATGTTGTCCTTCCTGTATTTCATGAAGTTCTGCAGCGTTATCAACGGATCTTCTACCAGTGGCATCATATTTTTAGACGTCCAGGTCTCCATAGCAACCAGCACGATCCTCGTGTTCAACTGTTCCTTGTAGATCTGGGGACCGAAAAGGACCGTCAGACCATCGCTTTGTTGGTGGGACACAGTGAACGCTGTGTGCAACGCGGGATGAATCAGGTTCAAATCTGCACTTCTTGACAGGTGGCAGCGCGTATGTGCAGAGTTTCGGAGAAGGATTTACAATCCTTCAAACAAAGCCCTTACCGCATCTGCCATGTTGACCACTGCTTTGGCAAAGTTCTTGGTTTGGCTGCTGGAGCGACGCAGCTGTATAAACTGTGGACACGGAGAAGCACAGGTGGTGTAAGGGAAGGATCGCATTCCCTCACTCACGCACAAATGCACACACGCGGGTATTTAGATCGCTATAAGGACCATGACATGGAATGCGCCACCGTTTTTATTTTATCTTGAGATATTTTTTATTTCTACACATCAATATCCGAACATTTATCCCTCTGAGAACAGGTCTGATGCTGAGCCGAACCATTCTGCCCATTAAGTTGGGACAACTCAATTTAGCTGTAGAGAAAATGCCCAGCAGCAAGAACCCGGCGTCCACCTCATTTTGCTTTCAACTCACCATTTCATTGTCGTTGACCACCATCAGCTCAATATATTTGGTCTCGGTCTGCACGGAGGGTCTGCGAACATATCTCTTGGATCGCTTTAGCCCACCAGACACCTGCTGCTCCCTCACTTGGTCCGGTCCGTCGTCACCACCATCACCTCCTCTGCTATCCCACTCATCATCCTGTGGACAGTCTGGACACACAGAGAAGCAGAACTGCGAGTGCTTCTTGCGCTATGAAAAAGGTGCAGTGCAAACATTCCTATCGCAACTTAAGTCTAAACGTTAGACTGTCTGAAGCAAGTTAATTGGCTTCCCATTCAATTAAGAATTGTCTTTCCTGATGACATTTTTCATTTATTTATTTTTAAACATAGAGGGTCGCTTCAATAATTGTGTTGGAGGTTCATTGGACAGTGACATAAGGAGTAAATATGCAATTTATAACCTTGTTTTATAACCTATTTTAAAATTATTGAAATAGCGGACAGAGGGTTGTGCATAATGTTCCTAATTTATAATATATATTAACATTTCAAATTCAAATAAGAAAAGACTCAAAGGTCATGCTATTCCAATGTGAGAGTGTGTGTAGTTGCATTTATGCTTAAAATGGAATCGTGTACCTGGGCAGTGGGGGGAAAGTCTGATATCAGGCATTCTGCGGATTAAGTGAGCGCCATCAGCCTATAATAGAGAACATCCATATGACATCAGGCAAAAAGGGAAATCAGCACTCATACATGCAATGATTTATCACTACAACTACGATCCTCTGACTATTTACCTGTTTGCTCCCGTTGTGAACAGGCTCAATCCCATAAGAGAAGAAGCCATCAGAGAACATGCCGCTGAGGACCCAGAAAGAATCTTAAACGTCTTAAACATCAAGCAAAATAAAGTCATTACGTCTGCAGAAAAATATAGCAGGACCACCGACGGTCAGGCTCACCACAGGCCGTGGCAGGTGGAGAGAGCCGCCCAGGACTCCGGCAAACCTCTTACCCGACCCTGGTAGTAGCAGTGCTCCCCTCCCTGTGGACACAGAGCACCGTTGTTTAATGAAACAGTCCCCACCGACACATTCCAGGCTTCACAGGCTGTCTTTCATCTGGCCATTAGAATAGGTCTGCTGTGAGGGGAAACCTCTCACAGCCTCTGCAAATGCGACTTCCCCCTCCGTCGTTTCCCACTATCGCTGTTTCTGTCACGGTTTGCGACCCAGTGTTCCGCTTCACTGACAATAGAGGTGAGGGAAAACCCGCCACGAGCGTCTCTTCCATAAATTAAGACTCAGGTTGGCTGCATCTGCATCATTTGCTCTTTTCCCGTCCCCTAGAACATCTTTGACAACCACAATAGCGCCCTAGCTTTCGTCTCCATCTAACACTGTGACCTCTTCACGGGAAAAGGTCACAGATGGGGAAGATGAACCACCGAGAAAGGTGGGAAAAGTGAGAGACGCTCTTTCACCTGGATCGAATTGAGTTCAGCAGGGTGTCTCAGCCTTGCCGCAACAGCTCATGCAAACAACTGCTGTTGCTTTAAATGGGGGGAAGAAAAAAAAAACCTTCACACGACAGAGAAAAGTCTGGTGACGTGCTGCCCTGAACGCATCACGCCTGCCACGCCGAGCAGCAGCAGCAGCGGCATCAGAGGCATTACGTGACGTCTCCGTCCAGCTGAGGGACAATCTGGTCTAACTGCAGGTCCCCGGCCCGGCCAGCCACCTTTCTCTCTCGCCACTCTGGGAGCAAACCCAAATTGTCGGTAATCACACGTACAACACCCCCCTCCCCACCAAGTAGCTCCTCCCTATTCCAAAGCAGGTCGTGCCTTTGTACTAACTGACATTTTACTCCTCATTTTCCCTCCTCCTCCTCTTTTACTCGCCCTTTCCTCCATCTCGCTCTTCTTTTATTCTCTGCGCTGCCAAGAAGTTAATGACTGCTGAGCAAACTGGTTGCTATAGAAACAGGCTCGCGATTGGTCAGGAGGACTGATGGAGAGTTTGGAACGATTGTGGGACATGGAGTGGTGGTTTGGTGGGGGACTGCTGGGGACGGTGGGGGGGGGGGTGATACATTGTCCCAACAGTGGCACAATGAGACACAAAAAGGAGCATTGGCCATCCCTCCTCTAGCAAAATGCAGCCACATTTCCTCTGCCGTGTCCTGACAAGAACACGTCACATCAGATATAAAAAGGCTTTCATCCACTTTCTGTTCTCTGTCTCTATTCTTTGACCTTGTGGTTTTACATCACAGGCATCCTATGACTTTCTTCTGTCTGAGAGGCACGCATGCACACACGCTGACAGGAATAAGCCAAGTATGTAGAGCACGTTAACGCGCAGCTAAACGGCAGCCTACTTTTGAAGCAGAGAGCCCACAATGGACGTTCTATAAATAGATCTTTTTTTAAACGTGAGGATGTAATCAAAGTGTTTGAACTTCATAAAAAAATAATCACATAAAAAGATCAGCCTCAAGAATGTCTTGAATAAAATGCCCCTGCATGGCGTTAAAATATAAATGAGACATAGGCACTGAGCTATATAAAAGCTCCGGAGAGAGATTTCATCTGACAAACAAAACTTTAAATGTATTCTGAGATTTACTGGCAACAGCAGCAGCGTAAAAGTCTCGACTTCTGCTGCCAAAGATCTGAAGGCTGTACGGCCGCTCTGGTCACCTCATTGATATGCTGCCTAAAATCCTCACACCCCCGCCCCACGCAAACGGTCTTACCACGGACTGCGAGGGTCTGCCATTCTGCTTAAAGTGCCGTTCCACATATTCTGAAGACAAGAGGTGACTGCAAAGAGAAGACAGATGCCATGAACACGACGACCTCCATGCAATCAAAACGGGCGTCATCGGGGTTACTTTGCACCTGTTGCTCACACAAAAAAATGTATATTTCATGAAGAGTCAGTCAACATATTAACATGCAGTGTTAATAAAAATCAGTGGAACCAGCGTGAGTCTGTAGGGTTTTCAACATTGGTTTTCCCCACCTTGTCATGTGACATAATAGAGGCGCTGAGTGCATTTGCTTAAGTGCTGGGAAATGCTAATGAGAACAGCTGCAGTCGATTCGGCGCACTGATGCTGTATTGAGATGTGTACAAAAAGGATGATGCTTGTGTACAAAAAAGGACGATGCTGTTTTGGACAGTGATACTAACTGGTTTAGCTCCAGGTCCAGGGTGAAGGTGTGTCCAAAGGCTTCCACTTGGAAACTGCTCTGGGCCAAGTGCACAGCCTGAAAAACACACAGCAATACGTTGATCAATCCGAGTGCCACAAAACATTTGTGGCTAAGAGTGTCGCTGTGCGAAAGCCGAGGAGTGATGCGGAAGGGTTCTATGAATAATTCAACCAAATCAATAGCGCGTGCACTGTAAACTCGCCGACTGAATTACTATGATTGATCAAGTCTTCATTGATCGACGCTGAATGCCGGCATTCAGGCAGCCATGACTGCAGACATCTATGGGTGTCTACGAGCTGAGGTGGGATGGAGACGGATGGAGAGAGAGCCGGCAGAAGAGGAGGACGAGAAAACTTTGCTGGACAGCTGCCCGAGCCGAGGAGACAGCAGGGCCATGAGTGAGAGGGAGATTTATTGCCTCTCTTCAGCCGCCACGTTCTAGTCTGTGGAAACCAGGCTGCAGCTTTTACAAGAAATTGCATCACTATGCTGTAATTATTCTCTCCAGTTGAGTGTGGACAGATTTCTGAAGGTGAAGCGTGGTTACATCAAGGCGTCTCGGCGCAGTAATGTTCTACAGTTTACATCGGTTTGATCATTATGTGACACGGCTCTTGGTAGGTGACAAACTTTCCACCAGAAGGTACATTAAGTAACTGCTGGAGCTTTTGATCATTCCGCATCATCCATCCATCTGTCTACAGGCCTTTTTGAAAAAAAAGAACATGACTCATTATTTTATATCAAATCAACAAACTGCTACGTGGGAATTGGTTTCACAAACCTTCAAATTACTACTTTTCTTTCCTTTACAGGAAAAATAGAGGCCAAAGTAAATTTCTCGGGACACCATGTGAACCTGAAATTTCTAAATAATTCTAATTCAACCTGTGCTATCAGAAAATGTAGTCTTTTGAAAACATTGAAAAGCATAAACACTCATTTGTCTTTTCAGTGCCAACTGTCATCACAGATTTTTTTTTAAATGAACTCAAGCAGAATGCTGCCTCACCTCTTGATGACGCAGCATGACGTGCCAGAAAAGAAAGAAAAAGCTCAGCTCATCCCCTGCTGCTTCTAAATGTATCCTAAATACTTCAAAAACAAAACAGCAGATCTAGTCCAGCAGCTGAAAGGAAGGACGTCTGCAACTGTTGAACGGGACCAACATTTGTTTCTTCTGAACGTAGAATCCTTCTTGGTGAAGGCGGTTTCTTCTCCAAGGGCTTCACCGTTCATCCCAACTATTGTCTTCAAACAGGTGAGTCCGTGTGTAAGGATCCCAACGTATCCTCTCACAACAATATGAACAACACATGAGCATGACAGAGATGTGCATGTGTGTGTATGGGGGGGCTCAAGCCTCTTGCACCATGCAGCACTTCTTGCTCAGACCTGCTCCATAATTAATGTGGACATACTTCAACACATCGCTGAATTATGAAGAGGTCGGGGGCTCAGCACAGCAGCCGGCTGATCGGACATCATGACTGAATATTTCAGGACCGGCTTAGCTTTGTCCCGAGTAGATTAAAGGGCCATTGCAAAACAAAACACGGAGAAAAAGCTCTTTGATGAACTGCATTTACCACAGCGCTCGCACGGTGCACGGAGAAGGTCGAAAGGTTTTTGTTTCAGAACTTGCACGACGTGTTACGTCCCGCTTTTAGGCAGGAGACAACTTGTCTGCCTTGGTTTCCTCTCAGCTGACATTAAATCACAGTGGACATGGGGAAAGGATCTTCTAGTACCTAACTGGGTCAGAATACCTTGGAGCGGACTCAATACTGCGAGACACCACTCCCCCCCCCCCCCCTCCCCGTGAGGGCAGAAGCTGCCTGAGCAACGGAGAGATGAATGCAGCACCAGGAAAATGAGGTTTCCATCAGCAGCACCACCGTCTGCGTTATATTGTCAAACCCATTTGCACTCACCAAGACTTAATACATTGCAAGCTTAGCACTACTGATCTGCACATTAGGCTCCAAGCACCCTTTTCCTATGAAACATGTTCCACACATAAACCTTCTTGCACATTGCTTAGCTGGGATAGTTTATTTTTAACCAAATCAAAAGGGAATTTGATCTATTTCTAATTTTTGCCGGGACGTTACTCTCAACTTACCAAAGTGTTCCTGGTGCTGTTCTTCACCCTGGTATCCAGGTGGTCATGAGCCATTTCCTCCGACGACTCAATCTGCTGCACCAGCCTCTTTGGATGGGTGACCTCGGTGGCAGTGTCCCCCCCGCCCGACTGCCCCGCCGGAGTGAACCAGTCCCAGAGGCCTTCATTCGGGATGCTTTCCACACCTGCAGGACCAACAGAGATACTCTCACTGTGGGCAGAGGGCTCGGCACAGTGGGGGACACCACTACCAAGTTGGATCTAGTAGCGGTGTGGAAATATAGGCAGAAACGAGTTGATATTCAGGATTCAAAAGTGTTACATTTTAAGTTCAGATCAGTGCGAACGGTTTGTTGACCTAATTTATCTCACTGAGCAGTTAATAGCGTTTTATCGGTCACTGCTCAATAAGAAGGATTTCGGTGGACATGCTTTGGTTTTCAACTTATCTTATAAATAAATCTATAGCCTGACGTGGCATCCCGTAGCTACACAAAGCCATGCAGCATTAACTCAACAATCACCGCGTTAAACATATATGTTTCATATGGGGCTGCGATGCAAATGCGTTAATGCAGCAAATCTAACGCAACGGAGAGAGCTCTGGAGGCAGAGGACCGGTTGCACGGGTCGGCACCGAGCTCCCGCTACAAATAAATCCCCACCTAAGTGCGGCTGCAAGGGGGGGGCGTGCAAAGGAAACGAAAAGGTTGCTCCTGCTCCTCACCCAAAAACCCTCTCCCTCTCTTCTCTCTCTCTCTCTCTCTCTCTCTCTCTCTCTCTCTTACCTGAGACCGCGAGCCTCTCCCCCACTGCAGCAAAGACCATGAAGCACCACACCGCCCGCATGATCTTCACATATTCTCCCGGATCACAACATCCGAAAGCCGCAAAGGTGTCACAAACCCGGCCGACGGAGGGGAAGACAACGATCAACAAAACGCACAGGAGGAATGATGGCGAAGAGCGAAAGTGAATCTGATGAACATCTGATGGATCTCTCTCTCTCTCTCTCTCTCTCTCTCTCTCTCTCTCTCTCTCTCTCTCACTCTCTCCCGCGCGTGCGCTCGTTCAGCTCCAGCAAAGACCACTGTTGACCATTTGGATTAGCATATCAAAAGAAATGTGGAATCACATCGATACAGCTCAACAGATTGATCCGAGAGGAAGTAGTGGCAGTGGTTGTACGTGTGAATCCGCCGTATGCGGAAACGAAGGGGATGGGAGAAGCGAGGAGAAATGCATCGGGTCTGCGGTGAGGAAGACACGTGGGGCCGTGGTACCCTCCCTCATCCCGAGCAGCCTCCTCCTCTCGTTGCCAGGGAGAGGATGCGACAGCGCGGGGGATGAAGCCACGAAGAACGACATGTTTGTACATTACGTAAATGTAGTTCAAATGTATGAATGGTAAAATATTTCGAAATACATGAAGAATACAGATATACAAGATGAACAACAAAACTTACACTAGAGGCCCTTTCACCACGTAGTCTCATGCTCCATGCACTACAGTTGTTTATTTACTGACAGCACTGATAGTGCCAGGTGTCAGGTGTGTTCACCTGCAATTCCCTCAGCTTGATTTCATTATCTCTTACCGGCCCAGATTCCCCCTCTGTCAAATAACATATATCCTGTTATATCCTGCAGTTTTCTGCGTTTTTACATAATTCTTCTCTGAAATGCATACTTCAAAACAAGCGTCAATACAAACATATTACTGTCCCCGGCAACATGTTTAGTAATACAGCAGTGATTTAGGTAAACATGACACGTACCAGCATATTGGCTCCGTGGTAAAGATAAACACAAATCAATTGCACATTATAATACTGTAAAGGTCAAAAGGGTTGATTCCATGATGCGGTTTAAGTATTTTTGCAGCTATCCTGCAAACCTATCGCGCTATTTGAGGCATATAGTGCACTGACAGCCCCCTCTGAATATTTCATCACGCCCCCCCTCCCCTTGAGAGGAGCAGGGATCAAGAGATAGGGAAAATATGGGGGGGCAGCGGCAGACGTGCAGCATCAATGGCCAAGTATATATGTGCATTGGTCCTCAGACGAATACTGCATTAAAAAGTTTGAGATGTCAGCCAGTTGTGAGGAGATTCTGCACTCACACTCGAGCAGGCTTTTCAGTCCATTTAGACGCTGACATCTTTTAGTCATTTCCAAGTGTTTTCAACGGACCTCCACTGTAAATATACTCTTACTGACTGCGGATCCTAAATGAGCTCCGAAAACCTTCCTTTTGTGTGTCATTTCTCCCACATTCTATATGGAGGCCTCTCTGTGATGTCACAGAATATTCTAAACAGCGTTCTGCCCCTATTGGTTGTAGCCTTTTTTTCTTCTTCCTGGAAGGTTTACAACTTTGACTGTAATACTGTTTCAAACATTTAGTGATGATTATAAAATAAATATTTTCTTGAGAAAAAAGTTGAACCATGTGGTTAATGTTGTGAAAATGGAAATAGTTCATTATGTTCGGACAACAGAACTACCGGGTTGGTTCAGGATAAGATGATGGTTTGGGTAACGTAATAACGTCATATGTATATTGATATAAAAATGTCAAAAGTTTGACTGTTCGACTGCTGAAGTCACATGACATGACATTATCGGCCATGTATTTCTAATTTCCAATTTCCATAAAATACACATATTTCCCACTTTGTCCCTGATTTGGCATGAAAACGTTATTAAATTTGTCCTTTTATTGAAGAAATAGAATAAAGATAAAAAAAGAGAAGAATAAAGCATTAAAGCATTTCAACAACAATGACAAAGTACTTTACAACCCTCAATTTTTCATTATTTTTGTCAAGCCCAATTTATCTTTTTAACTTAGACTTCCGCGAGGTAAACAGCAGGATTACCATGTTTTCCCAAAGCAATTTGTGTTTGCACTTGCTTATATTTTATGAGGAATCACAACAATTTGGAACGTAAACTCTAGCAGCACAGCCTCATGTAACCTTTGATTACAGAGTTTTTGTTTTCTGTACCATCTTCAGTGACATACAGGGGACGCCTAAAACAATTTCTTTATTAAAATCTATAAGGACACACAGATCAACTATTTTATCGGCTATATTAGCTGCAGGGTTATGAGATATTTTGAGTTAAACGCATACTGCCCTCTACTGTGTGAATAGTATCATAACGTTAAAGTCTGATCACGTTTGGGAATAGGTTTTGAAATGTATATTCTTTAGGTCATATATACTTGTACTAAGACCAGGCACCTGCACAGATCCCCGGTGGTGCTCAAGCACCTGCCTTTTTGCCCTGGATGACAAAAGTGCCCCTTCTGCTGAAGGTCAATTCTTTTCTTCATTCATCAATATCTAAGAGTAAAAATTACCTTCTCTGTCATCAATTCCCCCTGAATGTGTTTTGTCTGTTTTTTCACGTTATTCAATTTGAGTTGGTTTGTTAACAAAAATAAATAGGTAAGTTGAAAATATACGGTGTTTTTAATTGAATTATTATTATTATTTTTGGGGTAGTGTGCCCTTTTGTTTTGGTATATCTCTCTCTCTCTCTCTCTCTCTCTCTCTCTCTCTCTCTCTCTCTCTCTCTCTCTCTCTCTCTCTGAGTAGCTGCCACACGTGTTACACTAATGAGTTCACAGCAATTAGGTTAATTTGTTTCAGCTGTGATCTACTTCTGAGGGGTTGAATCGGTGAACGCTGCCGGTGACCCGACGATGCCAATAAAGCAATCACGTCATTTCTCGAGGATTTAAGACATGCGGACCTGTGCTGTCATCAGTCCATTTTTCCTTCACAGAGGGGGGTTCGGAGCATCTAGAGGAAATGAATGGTGTTCACAGCGGGGAAGCGGACTGCGGTCCGTCGCTGCAACTGCGCAACTGCACCCACGCGGGCTGCGGCGCGACGTTCACCCGAGACTGGAGGCTGAAAGAGCACGAGACGGTGCACACTGGGGAGGTAGGCTTCTGCCTTAATGTCCCACGGAAAGGAACCGTTGTGTTTATTGTTGGAGCATGTTGACGGATAACCGTGACCTGATGCCCACAGCGCCCGTGTCTCTGCGCCATTGCCGGCTGCGGTCGTCGTTTCACGCGTATCTCTCATCTGAGGCGCCACATGCTGAAGCACAGAGGGGTGAAGCACTTCCAGTGAGTCAAATTGGCACTTTTTGCTCCTGGGGGGGAAATAACTACGTAAAGCGAAATTTAACTCACTACTTTGTGCAGGTGCAACTTTTTGAACTGCACGCAGAGTTTTTTCCACGCGGGCCACCTAAAAAGACACGTGCGCTACGCCCACGGAGACAAGAACAAGTATTTCAAGGTTTGTATGAAGTACACCACTGTTTCCATCAGATGGCGCTAGAAGCCCTCGATGCAGAAAAGCCAGTTTTCAAGTCATTTGTGTCATTTTTTTTACCACTTTTTTCCCTCTTCGCCCTCCAGTGTGACCAGCCAGACTGCACATTGACCTTCAAAAAACGCAGAGCGTTTAAACTGCACTTGCAGGAGCATGAAGTGGTTGTTAAGTCAAAGTACGTCTGTGGCACACGGCCACTTATCAGTAAAGGGAGGGGGGGATGATGGGTATAGCTGGTGTGAAGTCTTGTGCGGCCAAAGCCCTTTGAGTCAATGAAATGTGTGAGAACGTGAGCGGTTAAAGATTATGCACTTGCCATTTTTTAATTAGATGTTTAATGCGTAGAGGACCGGCTCTAGCCGAGGTAAATGAGCGTTTACAGGCCGAGTGGGGTTTGGTCCCAGTTGACGTGGCTAAATGTTTTTTATTTTTATTTTTTTACCTCTGCCCGTCCCCGGTGGGGTACTCAGGTGTTCGACGGAAGGATGCGTTGCCATGTTCGACTCCCATGTTGCTCGCAAAGCACACGAGAAGAAGCATGCAGGTCTGTAATTTCTATTTAACTTGGGGGTCCTTTTCTCAACCCTGTACACTCATTTTGATCAAATGGTTTGGATTTGCATGTAGGCTTTTGTTAATGGCTTGGTTCTTCAAAGGGGCAAACTGACCATCTGTTGATTTCCTGTTGCTCATTGGCCTTGTCGGTGTCCCTGCAGGTTACCGCTGCCCCCGAGCTAACTGCCAGGTGTTGGAGCACACCTGGGGCAAACTTAAGAAACACATGGCCAAACATTCAGGTAAATGTGTAGCGATCATAGTACAAAAATCCTGAGTTTTGTAGTTTTTAAAAAATATATATTTTTATAATATCTTGCAGCCACATTTACATGCCAAGCATGTAAGAAGGTGTTTAAGAAGGCTGAGGCTCTGAGGAGGCACAAACGAATCCACGCCTCCCACAAGCCCGTGCTCGTATGTCCCAGGGAGGACTGCCATGCCTACTTCTCGACCACCTTTAACCTGCAGCACCACATCCGCAAGGTGCACCTGGAGCTCCTGAAATACAAATGTTCCTTCCCGGACTGCCCACGCATGTTTGCTATGAGAGTAAGTAGCCGTGTCTTCTGTTTCTAGTCCTTAATGGATATATCACAAGTTTCTTTACAGTCAATGACTCAGAACTTTAATTGCCTTGTGTAATTTGCGTAATGCTGAAATGCCATTTCAATAAACTATATATATATATATATAATTATATTGCAGTTGTGACATGGCTGAGCCAAGAAAAGGTCTCACCATTTTAGGATTGTTGAAAAGAACATGGCATATAAACTTGTTGCTTGTCATTTTAATGTGTACGTCTTGCGTTTAAAGGAGAGTTTGACCAGACACTTGCTTCGCCATGACCCAAGTGCCACCACCCTGAAGGCAAGTCTGCGCTAATACACTGCACATGTGGACCAAAGCACAACACCGCAGTGTATTTTTCATTTGCCTTGAGTGGGCAGTTTCCTTTTATAAAAGCCTGTTCAATTTAGTGTTTAGCAGTAATGTATCAAATGCAAAAACTCTTTTTAAATGGTGTTTATCTCCACAGAAACGTAAGCGGACCAAAAAAACCTGGCAGAAGCGTCTGGACGGACACCATCTGCCCCGTGTGGAGGAAGACCTGCGCAGCCTCTTTGCTCTGCGCATGCGGATCTCCCGACGCGCCAAGGTGGAAATGAACCTCGCGGGACTCTTCAATGAACGCAAGATCCCTCATTATGTTGACACGGAGGTCAACCTGCGCAGCCTGTTTGGAATCAAACAGCCCCGCTTTGTGGAGGAGCCGGTGGTTCTGTCACTAGAAGGTTGAAGAAACTGCAATTGGGATTAGCTGCGCATCTTTACTTTAGAGTTTTAACTTCCTGAAATTGGTGCAGGCTTTAGAAATGGAAGGGTTAATTTTTTTTTTCTTAAATGTATGAAAATTGGGTCTCTTTGGTTGTATTTTTGTAATGTAGCTGATGTACATTAAACTACTTAAATGTCACTTGACACATTAATTAGAATGTCAAGAGCCTGAGAATTTAAATTGACTAATTTTCTTAAAGTCAATTAAAATACTTAATTTGTAATGTGAATTTTGTACACCCAATAAAATGATTTACATTTTGATCTTGGTAGTTTTTCACTTTGACTCAAGTGTTAAATTAAACTGTCTGCCCATGTGAGGCAGCATCTTAAGGACTGGCCCGCTTATTACAATGCCAAGATCTCGGTTTGCACGCTCAAACATCTGTTCCCGTATCTCCTTTGGGCTTGTTTAGGCCTCACATTCTGATAACTTGCTGAACACGCTAGAGAACCAAATATGTTAAAGTGCTTCCAATGAGTAAGCGCTGAGTCACTTATGGGCGAGGATTAGACTTTGAACAACAGCTGTTAAATCTTTAGTCAATGTGAATTTAAACTGTTATTTTACCACATTAATGGAATGTTTAGAGCAGCTTTTTTTTTGCTTAAACTGATGGAGGGTATCATTGACTTATTGCATTGTAAATGTGCATTTTGGGTATTTAAAATTCAAATGTAGCATTACTAAATTGTCCAATGGAGAACTTAATCACATTGAGTCAAAACCTGAGCATAGTGTAACTTTTCCCCACTGGTTTTAAAACTGGTTAATGAAGATGCCATGACTAGTTTCTTTTACAAATGGGGCTCGTGATAAAACGTTTTCTTGTGTGAAAGATTAAAAAAAATCAATTCCGTTTCCAATACTCATCCAACAAAGGACCTGGTTTGGTTTGTGTCACATTGTTTGAAATTGAGGTGAAGTACAACACTTTTGATGCAGCGGTCAATTTTAACGCTTTGGCTAAGTTGTGTTGCAGCTTGTCCGTTTGTGCTCGGATGACGTCCTAACTGCTGTGTTTTCTTTGCTCTTTCAAAGGTCATTCTCTCGGCTTTGCAGCCTCAGATGACCTTTCGTCCTTCCTTCACTCTGCTTCTCTGCCTATTTAGGTACTATACATTCACCCCCCCCCCCCTACATCCTTCATTATCTGACCTCTGTCAAACGGAAAGGTCTAAACACGGCTTCACAATACGGAAACACATGTGTCAACAGCTGGCAATGTCTGCTGCATCCATAACGGTCTTGAGTGTATTTATTGTGCGTCGTATTCCTTTGTAAAAGTCAAAAGCGTGTATAAAAGCCTCGGTCACACACCAAGTGCTCTCTGTTCATATTGCATTGTCGAATGACTTTCAAAGACAATCTCCAGCAGAGCAGGACATATAAAATGATGGTCTTGTTTCTATGACGATGGAACACAGTGAACATGGTTTTCTTATATCTTTTTCAATCTGTTCTGTCTCTGTGTGTGTTCAACAGGTGAAGAAAGCACCTGATCGGTAAGATGTTCCTTGTTGACAGCAGAGTTGTTGTCCACTGGTGCAATAATGTCCCACAAGAGCAATCGCGCTTATTTGTGTCACAGGAGCCACATCAGCCTCTGACCGTCCAAAAGACCACGTCAATTATCCACATAGTGAGCGTGACCTTTGGTGTAACATGCCACAACATTCCACATTTGTTTATTGTTTACATATGAATCTTTCATCATATATCACGATGTCTTGATCACAACTCATTAGAGGCTCATACTTGCGAGGATGTATTATCTCACACCTGTAATTCAAATGTGATCTGTTTAGCTGGCTCACCAGTGTTTCCAAGCATTCATTTCTGCTGCCCCACTTTTTAATAATAACAACCCAATTCACAATAGGCCTTAACTCTGAATTGGGAGCAGAGAAAACCTCTGTGCAAATGAATATTCCCGACCATTTCTCCTGTCATTTCTGCACCACCTTATACGCACTCGTACTGGTAAACCAGCCATTTACAAAAATATACATTTGATCATTTACAACGTTGTTTTATGAATGTGTTATTGAAAAGATGTCAATCTAATTTCTTTCATTTCCTCTCATCAGTAGAACAAATAAAATGTATGCTCCTCTTTCACGTTAAATTCATCAATAACAATACATATATAACAAATATTAGGACCATACAAACATTCAGCTCCCATATTTTGGTCAAACCTCTCAAAGTTCTTACATAAAAGATAAAAATTCCGCAAATGTATTTGCCAACAATATTAAAATCTCCTGCAACCAACCTGTGGACATCTCTGATGCCAGAGATGCGCTTGATTGTAACTGCATGTTGTGAATCATTTGTGTGCCACTGAAGAAAGTGGATGTTTACACCAAGTAAATAACTGCACCTTTTGCTTTGATCGCTGTAACACTCTTACAGATCAGTCAGGGGGACAATATAGATGGTTGAGTGTTGTGACCCAACTATGACCTATAACTATAACCTACAATAACAAAATATTGCATTGCACTGATTTTGCGGAGGTTTTAGTGCACACAAGTTAAAGTAACTGTATCAGCCTCCATAGAAATAGGAAATCATAAAAATCAAAAGCCCATTTCTCCTAAACTTACAACTAAGAGCACATATTTCTACAGTAGAGGCCCTAATAAATACTAAATCCCTAAAGCTTTTAGCAGCTTTTATTGTGTTCCTGTTTTTAAACCTCTTATTTATGGAGTCTTCTCCTTTATTCTACATGGATGTTCATTTTTGTAATTTGAGTAGTTACCTACATTCGCGTTCTTCAGTCCAAAACTGAAAGGAATCATGCACAGGAGGAGAAAACCGTTGCTTGAGAAAAATCTGGAAAGAAGGAGATAAATGGAAGTAGGTTAACCATACAGCCGTCGTGCTCTTATTTAGCCTGCCTCCTCCAGAATAGATGACCCAGAAGCCCATCGCCTTTCAACAGGAGAGCTTCTCGTTGCCGTAACTGCTAAACTGACGGAAGGAGCTTAATCAACCGTTGAGCCAAAAGTAAATGAAATTGCAAAATCAAAATTGAAACATGTTTGCATTACTTTAAAAATATAATAATAAGGATTGTAGATTTTTAAATGAATTTGAATATGTTTTGCCTTCGCCATGAAAAATGAGTCTGGATGATGACGGGGGCACTGGAAAACAATGATGGCGCTTTTCTCTGCTCTCGCATTTAGCAGACAGACGCAAGACACTGAGAACAAGAACAAGTTGTGTTCTGAAATATTGATGCATAGTTAGCAGCTATGAGGTAACACGCCGATAAGCAGGTGTAACGTCACACCGTCTCGCTAATATCTGCTAATGAGGCTAATGGAAGGCTCATTAGTTTTAAAGGCATTTGGACGTAAAGCAAACTAAGCAAATATTTTTTTTCTTGTTTTTGTTCTGCCTGCATGTAACGCGTCTTTGGGTATTTAGAAAAGCGCGTCACAAAATAAAAGTATTACTATTTTTGGAATTTTCACTTGATAAAGGTCAGAGGATCAGTGCGTTTTGTGACGCACAAGCATTTTGATTTGAGGGATAGAAATTTAGCTTTTAATACTAAAAGCTTTTTTTTGAGCACGGTTGAGACACTTGTATTTGAACAGTAAAAGGAATCTGAACATCAAATACATACTAGTTGTTGCATTATTCCATAAAGGCATCCACTCCTGCCTTTCAAGAGACCAACATGACCTTACAGTCCTTCAAATGAACCCCACACCTACTTCAGTCCTCCTCACTGACCTTTGAGGAACATTGTGGCATAATTGAGTGTGCTCGAGCAATCATTCCATTTCAACTCTCACCTGGCTAAGCTCTTACTCCCCATGATCGTATATCCCTTCCTGGATGTTTGAACAGTCTGAAATTGGGCAAATTTGGCCTCCCCCTGTTTTGTAGCTCGCCTGCTTTCAGTCAAACTTAATGATGCAGCAAATTCACGACTCTTATGCAAATTAGCTAATGAATGGGAAGCAGCGCAGAGGGACATCTGACAGAAACAAATGGTGGGATCTTTATCCACGCTGGCAAAACTTTGCCCAAACAAATTTATTTGGATGACTAGACTAAATATCCAAGCGGGAGGTCCCAACTCCTTGGAAACTGGAGCAGTGACCAGGAGGCTGAAAGTCCTCCAAAGAAGGGTGGATTGATGACGTCTGTTTGGCTGAGTGTCGGGAGCTGGGACCTAGAGGAAAGAGCATGGACCAGCTGGTGGTCGACTACCTCTTCAGGTACCTAGACTATCTCCTGATAGACTAGGAGAGCTTGTTTTTCCTCTCATTTTGTTTTTGTAAACATCCCTCAGTGACCTACGTCCAGCAGCAGGCTGTTTATCATCTCATGTTGTCCATTAAATTCTGCCACATCAAAGCTCCCCTTTCCTTCGCTGCCGTTTATCGTAACTGTCTCCCTCTCCGTCTCCTGTCGGGGTACTTTTCATGGGAGAACATTCACTTACAATCAGTCCAGTTTTGTGTTTGCATCAAATTGTGATACGTGCAGTGGAGAGCACAATGAGGAGAGTGTATTTCTCCGTCTCAGGCAGAGACAGAACATTGATTATTTATATATATATATATATTTTTGCATAACAGATGACGTTGTGTCTCGTAATGGTGCACTTTGTTATAGAGAGTTAGAAGGCAGCTCTGCATCACGCGATTTAAATAAAACTCAATTGCAGTGAGTCACAGGCCCACCGGCGGGCCGAGGATCGATGGTGCGTGTTACGAAAACACGCATCGTTCCTTAATGGTTTGCATAATAAGTTCATGAGCTAAGGGAATATTCTCTGAAAATTTGGCGCTGACAAGATTTATCGTGGCGGACTATATCAGAGTCATGTTGATCAGATTAGAGGCGGTCTGTGCTGCCTGAGATGAAACATGAGATGACAATTTAGGGTTGATTGCACTTCCTTTTGCTGAAATCACAACATCTCACATCCCCCATTTCCTCATATTCGCCTATACGGCTCCATCAATCCCAGCCTGGCTTCCGATAAGTGCATTGTGCTCCTCACCAGTAATAAGTAGTAACTAGTAAGTGCTGCTGGGGGGGCAATCAGGAAATGTGACAGCCTCGTTTTTAGAACATCTTGAAAATGGCCAGCTGAAAATGTTGGCCATTATAATAATTTATCAAAGCTGCCAAATAGCAAAAACCTGATTAAATCGACCTTGACGCCAAGCACATCTCTCCCGGTTGAATTCAAAATGCTGTTTAATCATCAAACAGGAAAATGCAC